ATCTTTCAGATGCTTCAAGTTTAAAAACGCTTGATAAAAATATATATCTACATTAAAGAAAGACTGAAGCAAAAAACGCAGAAGAACTGGAGATAGAAACGCAGAAGAGTGGACAACTCTGGCGTAAAAAATGAGGATCTTTCAGATGCTTCAAGTTTAAAAACGCTTGATAAAAATATATATCTACATTAAAGAAAGACTGAAGCAAAAAACGCAGAAGAACTGGAGAKAGAAACGCAGAAGAGWGGACAACTCTGGCGTAAAAAATGAGRATCTTTCAGATGCTTCAAGTTTAAAAACGCTTGATAAAAATATATATCTACATTAAAGAAAGACTGAAGCAAAAAACGCAGAAGAACTGGAGATAGAAACGCAGAAGAGTGGACAACTCTGGCGTAAAAAATGAGGATCTTTCAGATGCTTCAAGTTTAAAAACGCTCGAAAAAATATTGGCTCCACTTTTTTCAATTTTCAATTTTCAGCAAAATGTTCGACCTTTTAAAAAGATTCAAGAAATTATATCAGATACTAATATATTATATCTCAAACAACGGGGGCAATTAAAATTTAAAAAAAAAACGTTCAAGCAGGGTAACCCTTAAAGTCTTCACTACAAACATACGTTCAAATAATTCATTTGAAAAGGCAGCAGTTTATGTAAAATCAAAATTTTGCATATTTAAAGCTTTGCTGTTAGAAATTGCTGGAAACGCGAATTATAAAAACTGTCTGCTTACCAATTTTCCTCACATCCCCTGCATTGTTTATATTAACACAGAAATTATGTATTCACTTCTTTCTAGTTTAGTAATGAATAAACAACAAAAACCAGATTATAAATATCTGTCATCTGCGCTCCTGTAAAAAAATTTGAGCAATGAGCAACCAATAATTATCCTGTCTTATGGCTATATATTTGAAGAAGACAAACTAATTAATTTACACTAATTAGGTGTTGAACTCACCTACTGACGATAAAATATGTTAACAAACCAACACTAGAGCGGGATCCAAATCAGTGTTGTTAACATGAACAGTGAAGGAAAGTGTTGCAAAAGTAAAAAACTTGTTTGGCCCGCCTTTGACTCTTGGCAACTCACACAAATACTACTTGTCAAAATAATTTAGGCTTAGATACAGTACGTCTTAGTTTCCATAGAAAGAGTGACTATTTCCATAGCAAATAGGGCTCATTTCAGATACAAGAGAAACCTCAAGAATTTTATTGGTTTGTTGGGTCATTTTTATTCACATATTTGCAGGAAATTTTCGGCTTTTTTCAGTTCGCTCATTTCGTAAACAATCTAGTACGATCCATAAATAGGATATGCGAAAAATGAACTTGGTCCACACCCCCGATTACGTCAGGTCAAATTCGGTCCACTTTCCTGAACACGGAAGGACCCGACCTCGTAGTGATAACGATCCAAATTCTTGCCAATAAATGCAGCCGAACAGAATAAAACACGAAAATTATTCTTCGGTCATTTATGTGTTTAATTTCATAATCTCATAGTTAATGCAATTTTTTAAAGTGGAAGGTAGAAAAACTGCAGCTCAGTTCTTAGCAAATATTGCAAAATACGCTGAAATAACTGTTAAGGTAGAGAAAAATAAAAAACATTATCAAGAATCCCGTGTCCGCCCGATAAAACAAAATTTCTATATGTATCCGCAAACCAGTCCAAATGTATAATCAACATTTTGTTCTTTATAAAATACCGGGTTGGTACTAAGAAAATGTAACTTTGAGTTTTCGAAATAAGACCCAAACCCTCATCATCAGTGGGCACCGCAGAATTTCTGGCATTTTTGTTAAATATGTATTTTCCAGTCGATTTAAAAAAAAAAAACCCAAAACAGGCAGATCCGTCGTCTTTGACTACGGTGGAAAGAAAACCGAGAAAAATTAATTCAGTCACTGACGATTTAAAAAAAAACTAAGAAGAGCTGTAAAAAATGCAGGTAATGCTACATGAAAAATAAATAATCTACATTCAAATATTTATATTTAAAAATTAGTATTGAAAGAATACCTTTAGTAAAGCATTTATTTAAAAATGTATACAAAAACCAGTCCATTTAGGTCTGGCCTGCCTTCAAAACCGATCACTAACGGCGTTTGGATTTCTTCTTTTGATTAGCTTTCTTCTGGTGAGCACCCTGCTTCGACTGAGAAGCTCTTGGGGAAGGTTCTGCATTGGATGCCGGACTCATCGCAACTTCATCCAATTTCTTAGAAAAGTCGCTAAAAGACAACATTGATTTCAAACACTTAACACGGGAAATGTGAACAAATACACTTACTATTGCTCGGTTTGACCATAGGACGTGCCCTGAGACCCCTTGATGACTTCCTTAGCCCTTCGATCACGCTTCTTTCTATAGCCAGTTCTTTCGTATTTTGGTAGCCATCGTTCAGGATCAGGTTGGGCACTAGAATCGTAATTCTTGGGCAATTTACCCTTTCGCATTCTATGCCTTCTCTTTCGTTTTTGGGAATCTGGATCCGACTTTGGAGTGCTGCAAAATGAAAAATGAGAATACCAAAATAATAAAAATCAATTTCCAGATGAATTTCTCCATTTTTCGTATGTTTCACAGGACTAAAGCACAGGTATGTTCAGTCGCCTGTTCCAGTTCAGCCCCAAACATGTTACAGAGAAGTTAATAATTACCTTGGCAAAGAATCTCCTTTTGTTGCTGGACTTTTCTTTTGAACCGGAGCTAAAGTATGAATGCTTTCATAGTCAACACCCTTTGCCAGCTCCTCGATAGAAGGCAAGTCCTTGCTGAGTTTCAAAGCGCGAGCTTTATCAAACTACGGGAATTGTTTCACAGTATTGAAACGAACTAGTTTTATGCAGAAGTTACCTGGGAACAAGCTAAGACTAGTTGGGCGGCTATTTTCTTATCATCTTTATTAGCAGACAATAGTTCCTCAAGGCTATTAGCAGCAACTTGCGGATGTCCGTTTCTAATATGGAAATCTGCAGCTTGTCTCCAAAAGCTTGAAAGATCAGCAGATTTGACCTGAAAAAAAAATATGAAGAGATTGACTGAGTTAGTTAGATGGTTGTTAATTAATTACCTTTCTTTGCTTGTAAAATGCTACAGTTTTCTCAAACACCTTCAGTGCAGTAGATTCTTCCCCAATAGCTAAATAAAGAGTAGTAAGAGCTCCAACTATTCCAGGTTTATAGGCGTCCTGACCAAGATTCTCTAGCACTTTACAAGCTTCAAGTTTATCTCCTTTAATTAAATGAAATTGTGCAATGCAAAGATCCACATATAATTTGCTAGTTTCATCTTTTTCTCCTTTTCTCAACAAATTGATAGCATCGCCAATTTTATCCGCCTTTACCAGATTTAAGGCTCTTAGAATAGTTACAGAAGTGTGCAACTCCGGCCATGTACTTTCTATGGCTTTACATGCTTTTTCACATTGATCCGTTTGATTGATGTAATAATTCAAAATAGCATTATTCAATGCGATATGTTTTCGCTGCAATGATGGAAGTTTATGGACCAGTGTATCATTCAAGGCAAGTTTCATTTTCTTCTTTGAGTCAAAAAGATTTTGATCTTTATTTATGCACACAATATTATTGCTGGCCACGGCTTGCAAAGCTATATCTTCTAGCTTCAATTTCAAATTAGATGCATAAAGGATTTGAGCTTCTTTAACTCTACCGAGCTTGTGATAGACGAAGGCCAATTGAATTCTAAAAGTACAATTATTTCATGTAAAAATCAGATTATTGAGCAATGAAGAATTACAAAAGCTACCTAATTAAAGCCAGCTCAATATCAATTTCTTCGTCGGCCATATCTTCATCTTCCTCAAATTTTTCTCTGCAAAGTTTTTCGCATTGTTTTAGTTTCTTTTCGGCTTCTACATATTCTTCTGAAGCAATTAGCATGCAGGCTTTGTTATAGCACAGCTCATAAGCATCTTCTTTCAATTCCAGATCAACCTTAAAGTGAACAAATTGCTTAGAAATAGGTTGAAGAATAAGTAACTGGACATACCCTATCATCTTCATCAAGATACACCATTGTGGCATATAAGTTAGTGAGACGCTCTTCTTCATATTCATCGTCAGTGTTTTTGATGATATCTTGATAAATTGCATGAGCATCTTTGTACTGTTCTAAACGATATGAAATTTGAGCTTTCAACTCTTTAGTACGATAGTCGATTTCGCTTTCACTTTTCTCTATAGTGGCTAAGGCCTCTTGGTGTTTATTTAAGCGATAGTAGCAATAAGCTTTCTCAAATATTAAGTCCCTATAAGGAAAATGTGTAAAACTCATAAATTGATGTGAAGTAGAGATCTTACTGAGTATACTCTGGATTTTTGTTCATCTGGGCAATGCCTTCATCAAATCGTGCTAATTCAATTAGACAAACAATCTTGCAATGAAAAGCCAGAAATTCATGAGGGGCTACACCCAAAACTGGAAAAAATAGAACAATTCCAATCCATATGCCCTACGAGGTTATTAGAATAACTCACTTTTGTTTGCTGCTTTTAACGCTCGCTCATATTCTTCATTTTGACCAAACTTGTGCAATGCCGCATATTGTGTGGACACTGTTTTTTCTTTTGCCGTTTTTTCCGTCATTTTAAATTAGAAAAATTAGAGAAACGTACAATTTAAATGTTTTGATCTGTGACTTTCAGCATAGATAGACAAAACCAATGGCAGCTCGTCTTTATTTATGACTTTCAGTTTGACACATGCACAGCGACGTGCACAGAACACCTCTGACGTGTTTCGTAAATATGCATGGCTGCCTACGCTACAGGGGATGGCCGGTAGAGGGAATCGACAAAATAGAGAATCGAAATTTATACATAGAGCTAGGGTGAGGTGATCAATTTTTTTGCAATTTAAGAAAACTTTGATTTATGGGATTTCACGTTCATATTGTGTGAATGCATTCAAGTCCAAAAAATATTATTTAATGGTAAAGTTAGGTGAATATGATGAATTATTGTATGATTCGATCGAAGGCGAAACTTTTTTGAAGATTAGAAATTTCATTTGACGCAAGAGCTAGATAGATATAGAAAAGTTCTATTAAAATGGCTATTAAGACAAATCAGATAATTTCGGGCGTTTTCCAGATATGAGCAATATAATTAAACGCTTTTCATTTTCTTATTTTTCTTTTTTCTAGGAAATTTATGATCAGGTATAGTTCTTCAACCAGGCTGTCAAAAATTTCCTTATGCTTACGCGCTCACAGCATGCTTTCAACCATTTTTAAGATAAAGTGTGTTTAAGGATTCAAAGACTATCACATTTTTAAATCTTCTTCGAGGTTGAAATTTTCATATAAAACCTAACTGGTGAAAGATGGTTCTAGTGACGGTCCATCGAAAAGATTCTTCGCAGTGTTCCAATATTTTCAACCGTTTCGGAGATATGACGATTTAAATATCCCTTGAAAGCGGGCGAAACTATCTAGTCCGATCAACACTGTTTTCATACCAGAATAAATTGTTGATAAGTTCTATATTGTTAAGGCGGATTCATTTTTTTACAAACTGCTTGTTGGGTATTTCGCCTCAAATATTGTTGTCTTTAAAATGACAGAATTTTTGCACGTCTTTTATTACAGTATTCAAATATTTTATTATTATTAATTTAATTTAAAACAAACAAATTTGAGGCGAAATACCCAACAAGAAGTTTGTAAAAAAATACCAGAATAAAGTCGAATAAAGACACTTTGGAAAAGTTCTTTACGATGAAAGCCATTTTTCATCCATATTCAATATGAATCGCGCCAACAAAAAAACGTGAAATTTTGAGGCGTATTCTAAATATTAATTCTGATTGTTATTGTATATTATTCTTTTTTCTCCTATTTATCTTATCAGTTTAATCTTAAATAAATTTAAATAACACGATTTCAACATCTTATCTGCACTTTCAGCTCATCATACTTGCATAAGGAAAATATTGTTATGAAAGACGGATCTGCCTGTTGTTTTTAAATTTGTTAACTTATTTTCACAATCGCCTTTAACCCGGTAAATACTGCTGTTCAGTCATCTGCTAAAGTTGAATAGTGTGGATTCAGAAATGGCCTTAAAAACCTTAAAAAATGTAGATTCTAAGTGTATGTTCAAAACAATGGTCTTCGTGAAAAACATTCTTCGACGTATCCTTTTAATTCATTACTGAAAATATATTGCTTTGGATATTTTCCGATGTTTTTTCTTAGGACAATTGACTAATAAATCAGCCACTAAGGGTAAGTACTTCAGTTTTCGAAAAATCACTCAAATATGGTTATGTGCTGAACTAGATTCACAAAAATGTTTGGAATATTACTTAAAAAAAAAGATCGCAATTTTGTATTCAGGAATTAAAAGTTCTGGAAGGAAATCGGAGATGTCACTAAAAATGGAAATCAATTGAAAAACGACTAAAACCAAATAAAATGTTTTATCAGCAAATTCTTGTAACTTTCAGTAATAGTTTCGGTAACTTTTATCGCATGATGGCGCTGCCACATGGAAAGCTTCTAATCATAATTTTGTCACGTTTAACCAGGACCGTTTTCAGAGCGTTGTAATTTTTTCAGCAATTTTCGACTGGGAAGATCCACTCAATTTGGAATCGAACCTAACCGAAGAAGAAAAAATTATTAGAGACCAATTCCGTACCTACTGCGAAGAAAAATTGATGCCCAGAGTTATTGAGGCAAATCGACATGAAAGTAAGAAATTTGCGATTTATTACTCTGCTAAAACTACCACCGATCGCCCATTTTATAGCAAAACTTTATATTTTATTATGTATATAGACAGGGTTTGTTTAGCTTCTTCCACGAGTAAAATAGTTTGTTTCTAAAGACAGTCGAACCACATTTCAGGAGTTATTTGAAACCGACCAGCAGTTTTCTATGCGCTTGCTTGTTCAGATTCCATGTTTGAAGAATACCAATAAAAAAATAAACATGTTGAAACATATTTTATTTTATGCGTAAAATAAAGATTTTTTTTCTAGAATGCATTTTTGGTAAGACAGAGCTGTTGTACCCAGTGGCGTAGAAATGAGCACCAAAAAAGTAACGCTGTTTATCTCAAATATTCGAATGACTAAAAAACATCATTTTTAACCATCATTTAGTTTTTTTTCATTTTTTTACCATCAATATTTTATTCTATTTTGAACGTACAACACACTAGTGCGTGAACCATCATATGTTTGGGTCACCCCGTACAACTTTTCCCAACAACACGCATAGACAGAAAACAATCGCACAAGTCGATAAAGTTTGCGAATGACGAAAAAATGGCTTTACATTTAACACGCCGCATAAAAAAATTGAAGGAGAAAGGATGATTGTCCCAGGAAAAAATCACCCTGTAGATTTTGTAATCTATAGTTCAAATTTGAACTGAATGACTGTAAGACTGCGAAGTTATAAAGAAAAAATCTTGAAATTCAACACTCCGTGGGTTGGAAACCAAGCGTTTCCGACCTTTCTTTTTATGAAGTTTTATTTCTAATTGTTTTAGAATTTTGTTTAGGAATTAGGAAAATTATAACATTGTTTTTTTCTGTCGCTACCTATTGACCAATTAACCCAAACGCGTCAATAGTCACCTTGGTGCAATTATTCACAAAATTGAAACATTGGTCTTGTATCGCTGTGAGCGAGTATTTTTCGAAATTTTGAGAGAGGAAAAACCTCGTTTTCAACGCAGATGACTTTATTAAAGTCCCGACACCCTGTATACCTTTCACTTGGACAAGGAAACGGTTTTAGTTCTTTCAATAGACAAAATGAGCAGCGAAGTACTTCATCCACTATGTATTTGGGTGTTAAGGCCTCTAAGGAAAAGTTTAAAATAGAAGTATATTTATAAAGGATAAAACTGAATATGAAAAACGATAAATACAGTAAATCTTTTCTAGTTTTCCATAAAGAAATTATGACCGAAATCGGGGAGTTGGGAGTTCTGGGTTGTACCATCCAAGGCTACAATTGCGCTGGTGTTTCAAATGTAGCTTACGGTTTGCTGACTCGTGAGGTAGAAAAAGTGGATAGCTCCTATCGTTCAGCTGTGAGTGTACAGTCGTCGCTAGCGATGGGAGCTATTTACATGTATGGGAGTGAAGAGCAAAAGCAACAATATCTACCTGCAATGGGTAAGCAACGAAAAACACACTTGAATTTTTTTGAGTATAAGATTCTCAGACGCCTTAATTTGAGAGTTCGATTTCAGCAAAAGGAGAACTGATTGGATGCTTTGGACTAACTGAGCCGAATCATGGAAGTGATATTGGGGGAATGGAAACAAGGGGCAAATATGATTCCGCTAGTAAAACTTACACGCTAAATGGCAGCAAAACTTGGTAAACTATCTAAACCTTCTTCGATACATCAGCTCATTAAGCTCTAGAGCAAACTTGTAAAAATTGAAATCAACGAGATTTAAAATGAAGTCTGGATTTTAAGGATAACCAATTCACCTTTGGCAGACTTGTTGATAGTCTGGGGCCGATGCGAAAATGGCAAAGTTAGAGGTTTTATCGTCAATAGAAAAGAGCACGGACACGGATTGAGCACACCGAAAATAGAAGGAAAATTCTCACTAAGAGCATCAACGACTGGCATGATTCTGCTGGACAACGTGAAAGTGCCTGAAGATCATTTGCTGCCTAAAGCAGAAGGAATGAGTGGGCCCTTTGGGTGTTTAAACAACGCTCGCTATGGAATAGCATGGGGCGCTTTAGGTACCAACTCACTTGTTTGCTGAAGATTATGAAAATATACTTTAGGGTTGTTTCAGGCGCCGCTGAAAGTTGTCTGGGAGTGGCAAGGCAATACACCCTGGAAAGGCACCAGTTTAACCGACCGTTGGCTCAGACTCAACTGATGCAAAAAAAATTAGCCGACATGGTGACGGAAATCGCATTAGGCCTGATTGGTTGCTATCAAGTGGGTCGACTGAAAGACCAAAATCTGTAAGCCTTAGAAAGTAGCTAGTGGTTCGGGAATCGATGTTTTATTTTACAGTCACACTCCAGAGATGATTTCGCTTTTAAAAAGAAACAATGCGGGAAAAGCGCTAGAAATTGCTCGAATTGCTAGAGATATGCTAGGAGGAAATGGCATCCAAGATGAGTACCATGTAATTCGGCATGTAATGAATCTGGAAGCTGTTAACACCTATGAAGGTGAGATTGAAATATGGATGAAGAGTGCAGATGTGAAGGGCTGGAATTTTCCAAATGGTGCTAATTTAATTGATCTGTTTTAGGCACGCATGATATCCATGCTCTGGTTCTGGGCAGAGCCATTACGGGACTATCCGCATTTTAAATGAATTATGTCCTATAAGTTACTGTTTCCATATACAGGCTGTCCCGTAAGCACATGATCAAAAGGGTACTGCGATATTCTTTGCATCAAAAGAAGATGATCTGACCTAACTTTTATTAACAAAAAATGTCTGGCTCCTCTGCTATTGATCTTCAAAATTCTTAAAAAAAATTATTTTTTGAACTATCGGGAGAATGGTACGATGTATATCGGTGAAACTTGCTGTGAATTTGTTCATATTTAAGAGTCATATTTTGATGAAACAAACGAGTTCATTCGTTTTGGACAAGTGGTGAATTCTTGAGTGTCGTGGTACAAAAACTACCAGAACTTTTTATTTGGTGGATGAAATCAACTAATTTGGTTTGGTTTTTTTTTTTTTGGTTCGGGTCTAACCTGAGTGTCTTTAACATTGTGAAGTGGCAACAAAACAGTTTTTTATGCAAAAACTATGAATGCTACAAGATTTTACAAAGAGCACAAAACTGTAAACTGATCTTCTAAAAATGAAATGATCTTCCAAAAAAATGAGTTGATTCCATCCACCGAATAAAAAGTTCTGGTGGCTTTTGTACCACGACACTCAAGAATTCACCACTTGCCCAAAACGGCTGAACTCGATTGTTTCATCAAAATATGAGTCTTACATAAGAACAAATTCACAGCTAGTTTCACTAAAATACTTCGTACGATTCTCACGATATTACAAAAAACATAAATTTTGAGGAAGGAGCCAGACATTTTTTGTTAATAAAAGTTAGGTCAGGTCGTCTTCTTTCGATCCAAAGAATATCGCAGTATTCTTTTGATCATGTGCTTAGGGACACCCTGTACATTTTGTTATGATTAAACCTTTCATATATATGGCGGGAGTTTTATTCCTTGCTGGTTGCTTCCTGTTTGAACATCTTTGGCAATATAAAAATCGCAGCGGATAAATTAGGCTTATTGTACATATTTTTTTAGAGAATTTATTTGCCAAAGCAATCCTAAGCAATTTGGAACGTTTCCTCTTCCCAAACTATCCTACAAAACGTTCTAAAGATATGGAAGAGTTTCCCGTCTGGGAATTAAGTTCTTTTGAAATTCCAATATCTGAAAAGCACATCTGAAGAAAATTTGCTTGATTCCTGTTCGCTGATTAAGAGTTTGTGATTTAAAGTTCAGCTGAAGTCCAATTGTGGATTCAGGAGGCAGTGAACTCGTTGATGGAAGTTCGGAAAACATTGAATCTACGAGTGACAAAAAACCCGTTGCTGCTTTGGATAGTGAAAGTGCGGTAAAAGAACCAATTGGAATACAAGGAGTTTTTTCTCTTGATTGATTGGAGACTCTGACGCTCCCGAGTTATACGGCAAGAATGGTTTTGGGATCTGTAAGATCGAATTTTTGAGGCATATTTCTCGAAGGCTTGGTGAAGAGTTCGATGACTCAGAAGCAGAATCAGAACGATAATTTGTTACTAAATGTACAGCGATGTTCCATCTGTTCGTATAACTAATTCCAACGAAAGGAGTTGAAGCGACTATGAAGAATCACCGTCCAAAGACGATTAAGCCATATAACATGAAATCCCATCATCCAGTATCGCAAGTTCTAAAAATTCAAGACAAAAAAGAATTTGGTGTGGAATACTTAGATAGAAAATTGTCCTAGAATGCAGGCAGAATAAGTAAATAAATTTGCCTGCAGAACCCCGGGTGTAAAAAAATTGTTTTGGAGAAAGCGCAGTTGGCTAAAAACAATAAAGTTCGAAACTGATATTTACCATCAAGGCAAAGCTCCGGACTTCGGGCGATTTTTATAAAGACTTTGACATCTTTAGAGCAAAGTCTCTTCTAAAAGTGCTGAAAATTTGACATTGTAATCAGCCCTAGTTTAGAAGATGAGATTTTTTAAAGTAGAGAGCCCGCAGTTGAGGGAAGCGCTATGAGATCGACATTTGCTAATTTGGAGACCCACATTTACTAAGCTGGCAAAAATGGGGCTTTTGGGCAACTTTTATGAATTTTTGAAAAATCTGTCGAGCACAAGTGCCTTCTAAAGATGGTTCAAATTTTTTTGGTTTGGAAGATGCACATTTTCAAAGAAGAGATCGCGGCTGTGGTTCATTTGGCAATTTAGAATATTGATAGAACCAACTAGAGGTCAGACTCTGAATACGCCCTGGTCCTTCCTTATAGATGAAAACTGAAAGAAAATTTTCATCATTTCTCTAAACGAGTCGTAGAATTGCTTAAAGTGGACATGCGACGAGCAAGCACTAAGAACTCGAGGGAAAAACCAGGAATAAAATTGCAAAACATAATTTGTAGTAAGGAGGGCGGAAGGTGAAGAAAATATGAAAGATATTTCAGACCATGATGGGAAAGATGCTGCAAGACTACCTGAACATTAAGGAAGAAGTTTCTAGTGACCTTAAGATATTTGACTCTATTGACAAAAACAATAATGCTTCGAAAGTAAAAAAAATATCTGTCGGATGCATGAACCAACTGAGTCTTCTCTCGGTCAGTGCCAGCAGCAATAAATTATATTAGTGTATGGAGAAAAAGAAATTTTTAAATAAAAATCATTAGGATCAAGCGATTTCAATTTTTCCCAAAAGCACATTTATAAGCACACTGCCGCTAAAACTGGTGTTTAATGCCAAAAGTAAGTGAAAGAAAACATCACTTCTCTTCCAGTTTTGAAACTGTTCAAATATTTATTGTAAAAATGCTAACTGTAATGAGTTTCTAGATAATTTTTCAACCTAAATGTAATATACAATAAGCAAAAATATAGATATTTTTGCGTGTATGAGAGTGTAGCCATGCTTCATTTTGATGGATCCTGGTAATAATCAGAAAGAAAGGGGCAGGAGATTTGAGAAAGTTTGGGTGGTAATGATTTCCTGCAACATGCGCGCAAAAAACGGAACTTGTTATGCTTTCAGACGCAGTCAGAAGCGCGCTTTCACTGCGCTATAATACTTGATTCATTTCTTTACCCAATTTCTTATCAGTTAATTTGATAACGTTTTATTGTAGACTTAAGGTGGGCGTTATCATTTTCGAAAACTATTGAAAACTGAAATGTCTACGGTGTACGCTATGGATACAGTCGGAATTTTGTGTACAGTAGTGGTTGGATTTTGGATTCTAAAATTTCTTCTAGGAGTGATTTATAAAAACTTCTTGGCAACCGCACTAAGAATTAATGCGGTAAACTTGAGAGAAACTGGAAAATGGGCAGGCAAGTACATCATTTGATTATCTCTAGTCATTTGATTCATCTTAATTCCTGTTTACTGTACGTTTTATTTTTATGCGATATATGTTTTTTTTAATCATGTTTTAACGGCGTGATGTTAGCGATCGAGATCTGAAGACCTTTTTTGAATACATATTTTTAATTGTGCCGGAAGGTAACTTTACATTTTTCTAGCCTGTGAATTTATTTGCTACGATAAGAAGTATTGGATTTCACTGTTAGTTAGAAGAATTTCATGAAAGAAATTTTAAGCAACCATTTAAAAAATTGCATACTGTCTAAAAAGCACACTAATAAAATATTCTATAATAAAAAAAACACTCTGTTATCACTTTTTTCAAAAAACATATTTTTTTGCCTGTTAGGTGCATGTCACTTATTTGGTTTAGGATATCTAAGTTTCTAAACAAGGTACTTTATAAGTATGGTCAAAGCGTGTTTCAAAAGTTTTAGAAGGTAATTTAAAAAACCATTTGCTAATAATTTTTAAATGTTCTTGTTGCACGTCTGCAGAAATAACTGAGTCAAAATTTTCTGAAAATAAAAAAGCTCGAATCATATAAAATTTGTCAATATTCCTCATTCGCTTCCATAAGGGACAAATTTATACGTAAAAGATGAAAACCCTATGGCTATAAGTACGAAAAAATGGTAAATAGAAAATATAATGTGGTGTTGGCCTTTATCTCTGCTGGAATACCATCGGCAAGAAAAAGTTTTCATTCCCAAAAAACAGAGGTTTTTCTGTTTAAAAAAAATATTTTAAACGAATTAAAAATTTGAACGTACGTGAGCAGCTAATGAAACTTTGGGGTATGCAAAAGAAAGTCGGTGTCTTACTCTAAAAGGGGAATAAATAACCACGTCGCTATCTCTTACCGCTTTTGAAACGTTAATTTAGAAATTACCCCATTTTAATAATTTTTCAAAAAAAAATAACTGTCGGCCAACGATATGCGCTAACTTTATTTAAATCAGATATGAAGACTTAATTTTGGTGTACTATTTAAATATATATTTAAAAATCCAAAGTTAATGTCGGTAGTGATTCCCCCTATATTGAAAAATAATTTTACCATATCCAGGCCCCAAATTATGATAACGAAGTATTTTCATTTCTTTTCATCTCTAACCGTTTGGAGTTATCCAAACTATTTCATGCTAACTTTTCTTATCCAAAATATTTCATAGGAACAGTTTTGTATCCGTTATGTATATTTGCTTACTATGACTTAATTATTTCAACGCGAAATGTGGGATTAAATTGAGAGCAAAAAACTGAATTCAATTAAGTAAAACATATTAACAAATCGACAAATTTCTTATTGAAGATGTAATAAGAATCTTACTCATATCGATGCATTAGCAAAGAACTATTAGTGCCTTATATAATATGTAGGTAAAGCAACGTAAAAAAGACTTTCTCCTACACAAAGTGTTCAGATATATTGAGATAAATGAATTTAAATGTAACCGAACCAAGGAAAGTAGAAAGTGCTATCCGTTGCTGAAGAACTTGACCGAGAGATGCAGGCGAAGAAAAAGGACTGCATGCCACGGGATTGGGCCCATGCCTACATGTTTTAAATTTTTGCCGCTGTTCCAAAAGACAAAAATGCACATTTTATCGATGAAAATACATACAATGTTTGATACAAAGCAGAATTTTCTGTCGTTTACTCTTATCTCAACAGTAAAATTATGAAAACGTATTAAATATTATAATTAGCTACGATTGTTTAAAATTTAGCTCGATTTATTTAACCGTACGTAAAGTAAATGCATACATTTATATGCTACAGTCGCATGGTTAAGCGACTATTGTTTTATTTCAATTTTAATTGTAAATTGCCCATTGACATGTTTTGTTTTAAATTGGAGTTGAGTTTGACCTTATCAGCGTAATTTTTGTATAGTGTATCTGAGTATTTGCAAAGTAACAGTTCACAATGGCACGTTTTTTTAAATATTATTAATAAATTGCTTACTGATGGTAAACGAAAACAGGTCAACTCCCCAGCTTTGTATGTACACGCATTTTGCATTTGGTTGTTCAAGTTACATTTGGTTATTCCAATTTTCTTGTGCAACAAATCCAATTTATCCACATAACGGATAAACAATATGATATAACGAGCGACATTTAATTTCTGTCCTAATTAAAACAATTTCAAGCAGTAATTAACCAGGGAATTATTATGTAAGGGATTTTCAGGCTCAATAATTTTTGGTCATTTTAACGAGTTCTTACATGGAACATTGATGATCACCTTCTGATGCAACAGCCCAATAGCGTAATAACCCGTAACAGTGTGTTCACATTTCTGTTATTAAAATATCATTTCCTTTTTATCGGATCAGTGCCTCAAAATAATCATTGAATTGTTTTTAGTAATAATAATCGTTTGAAAATATAGTTATAGGGACGTGATTGTTTTGCTTGTTCTCGTCGTGGAGAATCTCCACCGGACGTTTCGCTTTTATGAGCGACAACCAACATCAATTAAGATTTCTTGTCATAACCGTACTAGTAAAAACGTTTAGTGCATGATATAATCAATTAATATTCTGAAAGGCTTTTTCTTTATTTGTAGTGGTCACTGGTGCGACGGACGGAATAGGAAAAGCATACGCGGAAGCGCTCGCAAAGAAGAAACTCAATGTAGTCCTCATAAGTAGGACACAATCTAAACTAGAGGATGTTGCTACTTCAATAACACAGAAATTCAATGTAGAAACGAAAATCATTGCAGCAGATTTCACTAATGTGGCCGAGATTTACCACAATATCGACAAGCAGCTTCATGGATTGGATATTGGCGTACTCATTAATAATGTGGGGATGAGCTATCCGTATCCGGAATACTTCTTAGAGCTGAAGAACAAAGATGAAATTTATGACAATATTATAAAATGCAATATTTTTTCAGTCACGAATATGTGTAAAATTGTTTTGCCTGGAATGGCGGAACGAAAACGGGGAGTTATTGTGAACATATCGTCTACAGCAGCCTTAATTCCCAGCCCATTGCTGAGCATCTATGCAGCATCAAAGTCTTTTGTTGAAAAGTTTTCTGAGGACCTATCGACAGAGTATTCTAGACAGAATATCACCGTCCAATGCGTGCTGCCAGGATATGTGGCGACCAACATGTCCAAAATCAAATCAGCTACTTGGATGGCACCAGCCCCTGCCAAATATGTGGAAGAAGCTCTATCTACCATAGGAGTAAGAGAAAAGACTACGGGATATTTTCCTCACACCCTACTGGTTGGGGTAATTCACTTTTTGGACTCCATATCGCCTCGCTTATCCAGATGGATTATCGTCAGAACCATGACCAATATTAGATCAAGAGCATTAAGAAGACAAATTCACTAAAGACAATTTACTACCTATTTAAAATGTATGATTAATATTGGAAAACAATATGGATTGGCCATATAATCGTGAGCTTTGATAATAACTGATCTTACTTTGCTCTAATTATTAATTAATTGTGATTATATCTATACTAGGTATAATTCCGAAGAGGGCCAGTTATGCATTGTTTAATAAACCTTGTGGGTTACTCTAGAATTATAAAAAGTTGAAAATAAAATAGTTTAAAACTGTTGTTGATCATTTTCTTTGTACCTAATCTTTGCTGCTAAAGACAAGTAGTACGTATCTGTAAAATATCCCAAGTTTTTTGGCTTACAGACGCAATAATTGTGGTTCTTTTTCTATTACAGAAATTTGATGCTTTTAACGTATGGCATTCATCAAATTGTTGCAATTCGCGGAATCATTGAACAAATTTAAAATTATTGATTTGATTTTCTGTGTTATTTTCGTATATCGAAAGGGCCTAAGCAATATTGTGAGGGTAAAGAACAGTTAATTTTGCTCATATTTCACAACCATCGTTTAGTTCTTGTATGAGTTACCCATATTTTTGATCTATTTTCTTCATAATTTGACTGCAGGTTTACCACCAAGAAAATACCACACTTTAACGTGTACAGTTAACGCCAGGAAGTGCACAATTTAGGCAAATTCTTAGCGAAAGCAGAGAAAAGTCTGTGGCGAAAGTAAAGAAAGTGATTTATTTACCCAATTAATTGCAAATCTGGAAATTAATCTTACTTTTGCAACTATAAATAATTTACATGTCATGTAAAAAGTAAATTGGTTTCTTATAGAGAAAAATAAAATTTCTGCACTTCCATCATGCAATAAAGGAAAAATATTTATAAAATAGAAACGTTTTTTCTTTCAAATGTGCAAGTAATTCTGCTTTTAAATGTCTTGATCTGATATAAATGGATATATAATATTGTATGTTCTCGATCTAAGAAAAAGCAACTGGCAGAAAAGCTGCAAATGTTATCTTATTGTATAAGCGAACATACTTTGACGTTAAAGACATTGACATTAGTTGTGTTCACAAAATATCCCCCCTGGGGTATGTTCTGTGGTTGTGTTCGTTATTGCGTGACATGTCTGTGATGAGCAGTTGTTGTCAGTGACACAGAACATCCCTAAGGGGGATATTTTGTGGCCAGTGACCAGATTTCCGAAACCGTTGTCGGGCTTTGTCGTCTAAAGTCGCAACTGCTGTGGCGACAATCGCAACAGTGTTGAAACATTGCGGCAACACCGTCTAACACGTCACTCACGACCCCTAGAATGTTTATGGCAATTTCAGAGGGTAGTTTCGGTATTTAACCACAACAGATGTTTGAAAAGCCACATTTTGTAATACAAAACTGTCTGTAATAAAAAACACCTTATAAAAATTATGCATATCGACTTTAATGCCTAAGCAAACTTTTTAAAACCACGTCTAAAGAGATAATGATTTATCAAATTTTGCCCACAGACACAAGAGAATACCCACTAAAAACAAAAAATTCACATGAGTTATTTTTTCTGATGTGCTTTATTATTAGTACACTCCACGGTAATTTCATTAGAAAATATTCTTTTTCGTCATAAATAATTGTAATTTAGTAAAAAAAAGTAATTTTATAGAGGCGAAGGCGGACATCATGATCAGACAGTATAAAAAAGTCATATTCATTTTAAGAACTATAATAAAGACAACGTCACTAGGGCACTCGAAGATATTCGACAAGGCAGAAAAAGTTTAAGGCTGCTGCTTAAAATTTAAAAATTCCAAAATACACGATAAGAAAAAAGGAATCACTATAACTGCAAAATTAAATACCATTGTTTATATAGTAAAATTACCAGTAATGTTGTGATACTCTATTGGTTTATTTTCTCAACGGTTAATTCGGTTTTTACCGTTAATATGTTTTTTCCTGGAAGAAAAATCGTTAACTACGCACAAAAGTTGATAACACCGATCACCAGGACACAAAAACGTAATTCTATTTCAGTTGCAGGAGGGTAAATAATTATTTTCATTGCATGTAAATATATGTATAGGCATTTGCTTACCTGTAGAATATGAATAATTTCTTTTAAAAAGTATACAAACTGCATATAAAGGTATTTGCCAAAATCGAATTTAATCATATAAATTTTAAAAAGTCGTAAAAGATAAACAGTTAGATACAAATCACCAAACGTTAAGGAAAAATCGCCCGGAAGTCGCTTGGCGACTTTCTCAAAATGTTCATCGCAAAACCCGAAAAGTAGCCCAATTTGCGATAAATCGCCCAATCTGGTCACACTGATCGCTGTCATATAAGTCTTCTATGGTCGTTGCACGTCGTTGTCATACTTGTCTTTATCTATTATATTTGTCGTCGGCGGTTGAGAGTTACGTAACATTTTCTACGTTGTCGACCTTGTAAGTATGGCTCATTTATTTTTGTTATTTGATTAATTCAGGTATAACAGACAATATTTTAACAAAAATATGTGTTTAAGATTTTCCTGGAAGACTTTAAATTCTATTTTCGCATCGAACTGTTGAAAAACTGGTATGGATTGCATAAATATTTAAAGATACAAAATGGCGCTGCGACACTTTACATACCTACGCTTAATTTGAATAGGATTCAAAAAAGCTTCTATTGAGGTTTATATATTAAAAAACTACCTAAATTGCTTAAGACGTTTTTGCCTTATTTCAGATTAATTTAAATAATGCCTTCCGATGCTGGTCACGGAAATATAAGGGGCGAACTTACAATTTTTGTGTTTAAGTGAACACTTTATTTTAAACAGAAAAAAATGTGGATTGTTTATAAAATTAGACGAGAAAACACTTCAAAAGTTGATAAAATGCAATATATTTAAACAAAACTTGACTCAGCGTCATCAAGCTGCGCAAAACGTTTGATGTTGATGAAAACTATGTAAAGAAACGGTTGGTATAAAAATCTCCTCGGTTTTAATTTATGCATACTAAACATTTTAATTTTTAAATTTTGTCTATAAATAAAGCAAAAAAATACCCAGATCAAGCTAATCCAAGAAGCTTTCATTTCAAACGCATAAGGGGAAAATCCAGTATCAATAAAGATTTATAAGTTTAACATAACAATGAAAAGGTAAATCAAATATTATTGCATAAAATACCGCTCTTATGAAAAATAGGAATAAGCAATGGTAACATAAGCGTCTTTTGTGTTTCCGAAGTGAAATGAGTAACCTGCGATCTGACTATTTGTTTAGTTGTGACTTGTTAGTAATTTAAATGCAGATAGCGCTATTCTTTCTCTTTTTGATGCATAAATAATAAAATTAGGGACTAGGAGAGTATTTTGAACGTTAAAACAACTGAACGATTTGAATCAAAAATTGCAGATAATATCTATACTTAAATCCGACAGCATAAAAATTTCTTTCCATTTAAAAATTATATTCAGGAGCTTAAACTATCGCTATAAGTACACTTGCAGTATAATGCAATGCATTCTGATTTCAATACCATCTTAATTCTATATTAAATTTCAGCAAAGTATGATCTGGTTTTACTCTGGATTTATTTAAAAATTATTGAAGAGTCCGTAGACTGTGGTGTAGACTTTAAGGGACACGTTGTTGTCTAAATTAAATATTTAAAGTATTTCTCTAGCACTTACCCGAATTTCTTCTTTCAGAACATGTTAAAACGCCATAGCAAGAAGATCTTCTTCGAAGCTCTAGTTCTACAATAGAAATTGCATCAATTAGTACAATAAATGTAAGTTTAAAAAATTATTAGATAATTTTGTAAATTGTAAAAATTTGCCACACTCAGGCAGTTTCATAATGAAGACCCCAAATTATTGGAACGTTCATGTGTGTGGAAAATTAAGTTGGCTTATTGTCGGTATGCTTCCGAAGCATTGAATACGGCATTAGGTCATACAAGTTATTTGGAACATTGTTATTCATTTTTTAATGTTTATAGTAGCCTGATATTCTACACCAAGTAAAATATTTTTGCCGTTCAACAGGTGACTAAAATACTGAGCTTTAGATGATAAAACCCACTTGCTCACGAAGATGTGAAACCCCAGGACTTCTCTACAAAAGATATAATTTTTGAATATGTCAATCGAGGACATCCGATCGCATGACACTATAATGTAAGTTTAATGCAAATTTGGTTCTACTGCAAGTTCCTAGAGCTAATTCGGCTTGTCGTACCTAATTGGCGTAAAAATCTTGCTAGAACAACGCAAAAATGTCACATAAGTGAGTGTCCTATCAGTGGGTATCATTTGTGAATCATTTTTTACAATTTGTTTCACAAATTGATTTGTGAATGGTTGCATTGTCTAATTTTTACTTTTATTACAGCATTCAACTAAACAGGCCAATTTCGTCAAGGCGCCAGTGGATCAGGATTTACTTTTACTGTAGACTGCGAAAAATTGCAATAAAGAGTTAAAATACATTCCTTTGTTTGTTCAAACTGACACCCGAAAGTTGCTTTCCAAAATAATTCCAATACCTTTTAATAAAATACCAATGCGCTTTTTTCGTTTTCGTCCATGGCCACTAATATCACGTTTTCTTTGAATAATTGAACGGGAAATTGTTCGGATGGAATAAGGGGTGAAAGGTATGCAAATCCACAATATTAAATACACATTTTTAATCCCCAAAATTCACATCACAACGACATTAAATATATTTCAAACCATAGAAGCGTGTAGAACACCTTTTTTTTCTGTCGATAATAAATCATAAAAGTAAATACATTTCAATTAACTGTAACAACATATAAATTTCAATTAAATAAAACAAAATATAAATATCTGTCAAATATAAACAAAAATAAATTTCAATTAACTGAGCCTTCTGAAGACAAAAACTTGAAAAGAAAAAGTTATTCGTATAAACTGAATAAAAAAAAGTAATCATTGCTGCACTCTTACCCTGACGAATAAAGCATATATATTATTCAAACAAAGCACTAAGTCTAGAATATAAAGAACCCATACAGGGAAGTTTTGATATCTCAATATTTTCATCAAGCTGAAATGGAGATTTCACCTCGACACAAAGATTTTTAAATTACTAGCGTCTTAATTACGATAACATCAACTGTTGCTAAATCTGGTCTAAAGTATGAGAAGCTGCCTGACTTCACTCGCTATCTTGACCGTCCCTAAAACAATCGATTTTGAAATAATGCCCTATGCAAAAAAAGAAGTAAGTTTAATACTCACATCTAGCGTAACGATTAATTATTAGCGTAATACAATAAATTCACTGAATTTTTATCTCACCCAATATGATGATGAGGAGGCGTTTGAGGAGAAGAAACCGCAGATGCTTGAGGAGAAGGAGGTGTTGGAGTAGTACTTGGTCCAGTGTCACTGGAATTAGAGCCTGCAGAGGACTGATTTTGTGGAGGCCATTGGCCTTGCTCTGCTTGCAGCCTTTTAAAAAACATTAATTTCAATTGTCGCTATTTTTGAACCTAGTCATTCTTACCTCTGGTGAGCTTGTTGTCGTGCTCGAAATTCTGCAGCCTTCAGTTGCTCTAAATGGAACTGTTGTCGTTCTGTAATAAGCTGCTGCCTCTGATACTCCAAACCTTCTCTTTCTCGTTCCATTGTGGTTTCCAATTCTTCGAAATGACGCAGCTTGATTTCCAATTTCTTCATTTGAGTTTCTACTAACAACGCCACCAAAGATTTAATTTTCCTTTCCTCCACGGCAGCTAAGTGTTTCGCTTTGACAGCAGCAGCGGCTAAGGCTGCTGCTGCGGCACTTTGCATTTCACTGTCCTTAACTTTAATTTCCGCAGATGGACTTTGTGATGCTGTGTCATCAGGATCTAATTTCACCTGGAATCATCCACATCGTATGCCTGCCAGCAAATATCGCAAAATTTTACTTCTCTTTTCTCCTCCTGTGCTTCCACAGCAGCTTCCTCTTCCTTTTCCTTCTTGGGCTCATCTTCCTTTTCGCAGGCAGTTCCAGCAATGCCTGTTAAGGCTAAATTGGCCGGATCATATTTGCCTGAAGCTGAAGATGCTTCGACATTCTTCAGATGCGCATCCATGACTGCTGCTGGAACTACAAACTTTCCCTTTGAGACCATTAATTATTAATGGTCGGATACAAAATACCTTCATCTTTTATGCTGGCAAATTCAGTCATCGCTGATTTGGCTGCAGCTGCAGCTACTCTGGGATCAACAATTGACGCTAAAAACGCGACTGTGGACATAATAGGATTGCCTGCTTTACTGAAAGGTATTGGTTGATAAGCTAGAGGCCCTAAAGCGCCGCCAACCTCTGAATCTTCTATATACGGATCCTCAATTGGCAGTCGTAAAAAGTACAGTATACACTCGTCCTGTGTTCTGGATCCTACATGCTCACATACCTTATTCCAATCATCTTTATACATTTCCAAGCCTAAAAGGTTGATAACTTGACATCGTCAGCTCACACGAAACACAGCTGGTTTAATTCTACTGAACGACCAGGATCGACAAAATACTGGCGCCCAAAATCATACCTTCTAAAAGAAGCAGGGTTTCTTGTTCAGTCCAGTCTCTAGTCAAGGATGCAGCCGTTTTATTTCTAAATACAATCGGTTTTTTTGAATATTGGTCCAGCTTTAGACCGAAACTAGCCAAAGGCTCCCCATCCCTCTTCAGTTCTTGGGGCTTATCCAAGTCTAAAAGCGTTTTTGCTGCACTGGGTTGTGGCGTTTTGGTAGCATTGCCAGGTTGTAATCCGGAAGGAGTATCGGATAATACATGAAAGTGTGAAGTGGGCGGTGGGCCCACTGCAGACGGCCTGGAATCACTATCCACCTGATAATTTATTAAACCCCACTGTTCTAAAAAGGCATGTACTCTCATAATAGCGCAAACATCTCCTGCTAAGTTTCGCCTACAAGCTGTGCTTGTTATGTATTCTGTTGGATTTAATCTGTATGTATCCACCATAAAATTCCTAAAACAGGCGAAGTATGAAGAACTGTTCGTACATGCTGAACGCGGGTCAGATTTTTTAAACTATCTCTAAAAAAATTTGCAAATTAGACCAATATCCAGGGGTAACTATTATTGTTTGATATACCTGACGTTGGCCTGCATCTACGAAAAGCCTTCTCAAAAACTCTCAGCGACTAGTCAAATATTGCCATCGAAGATGGGCGCTGTAGATGCAAGAGAAACGTCAGGTTATAGAAAAAAAACTGCATTTTTCCTACAATGATAGTCCTGACCCTTCAATCAGAAAGGGTTCTCACCTATATGCAAGGTAGATTTCAGGCGATTTGGACTTGTTGCGAGAATTAAAAAATTCTGGCATAGCCCGTTTCTCTATTTCATGAATTGAATTGTAGTCAAACCAAGCAGAGTATGATGGAATAATTATATAGTGTGTTTGCTCCGTAACATTATCTTCCTGTCCGTCATCTTGAGTATTACTGTCGCTGGTTTTTCCTGTCTGCGAATTATCCTCAGTTTTGTCCTCCGACTCATCCAGTTCTGTGATAGAGCCACTTTTTAACGCTTGTGAGTCACTGTCCTTTTTCAATGCCCCCTGACTATTGGGCGATGATGGCACTTCTGTAAGAGTTGTTTCTGGCAAAGGATCCTCCATGTCTTTTGTGAGATCCTCAGGTTCATCATCTCTGCTGTTTTTTTTGTATATGCCAAGGCTCCTTCCACTTTTGCGCTTTGCGCTTTTTGACGAAGGCGAAGGAGATCGTCTCCTTTTATCTCTTTTCTTTTTACTGTTTTCATCTGATGGATTCATGAGATCTTCCACAGACATTAATCTCGGATGAACTTTCTTCCTACCCGTTTCATCAACTTCATAGTCTTCCTCGCACATCCACTCATTATACTGGTCAGTATCAAAAACCCAAGAATATGCAATATGCCATGGACCAGTCCTAGGACTTGGACTATCAGTTGATATACCATCAAGACCTATTGATTCCCAATTAACCCAAGTATCAAAAGAGTCTGGAAAGTAATACCAATGCATTAAGACCATTTTATCTCTTCGTATTACTGGCCTTCCGTATTCCTCAACAGGCGATTCCGCAATGTTGTATAAAATATGTGTCGCATTTTCTTCCGTATCTACAATCTGGCCATTTCGTCTTCTAACTATTTCCTTTATTTTTTGACCTACGATTTTATCAACGCTGGGCGCAATATACACCACAGGATATGTGTATAATTTAATTTGAATCAATGCTTTTTCCATTAATTGAAACATTTCGATGATTTTCTCAAACTTTGGATTATTCTAAAATAATTAGCAAAAGAGAACCTTTTTTTAAATAAAAACACAACACCAATTTATCATGCTCGGTCAACGTACCTTACCAGAAGGCATTTCAAAACGCCTCCACCCTTGCTCCATTTTATACTTCAACGCAGCTGTTAACAGCTGACATAAACCACCCCCCGGTTTAAAGTCGAGGAAATGTTTTACCTAAAAGATCTTATATAGAAATGCAAATTCACGCACACAGATCTTCGTAGTTAACAAAAAACCGGCAGTGCTTTTCGTGTATTTTGATCGCACAAAATAGGGCAAGTGAGAAAGCACTAACCAAAACCTTTAAAAAAGGTGTTCTCGTTTTCAATTAAGCAAAATAATAAAAAAAACAAATCCCCGATCCGATGATGAAAAACACACCTTACAAGTTTCACGGTGTCAGTAAAATGTGTGCACAAAATCCTACCACACATTGCTGGGGTGAAAACATTAAGATTTAATATCAATTGTCTAATCCAAAAGACGGTTTTCGAAATAATTTCGAAGTATAAGCATTATTTATGACTTGTGTTTGTGCACATGTCTTATAGAAAAACGGCTTTTTGATAGAAGTCTCTTCAGGCATCAAGGCAAGTTTAACGTTCACCGCATTTCTCGTGAAGTAATTAGTCGTACACTTCAATACCTCGTTAATTATTTGAAAATTAGTAGCATTCCAAACAAAATAATTATAAGTAGAGTAGTTTGTCGATTTTTTCATCTTAACCTTGACGCCCTGTATTTCAAAAACCGTCCACTTTCGGATCAGACAAATTAGATTAAATCATGTTTTCACCCCAGGAAGCTGTGGTAGAATTTTGCAGATATTTTACAGGCTTCTTTTGATGAGGCAAGGAAGGATCAGACTAGTTTCGTTTAAATCTTCAACACCAGGTAACTTGTGCTTTGATAAAACCAAATTACCGCTAATAACATCAATTACATCAGCTCGCAACTTTGATTACATTATTAGATGCTTAGAAGAGCATTGTAAAGGGCTAAAGTGCTGGTGCTAAAAAGATAGTATGAAAAGGACCATATGATTGTAATCCATGAGCGGCGCGAGTATAGTTAATGTATGGAGAGGCAGTTGAAAATTTATCATTTACTCAGGAACAGTCTCACTGGCTTATTAATTGCCTAACTATAAACTAAAACGCAGAAAATTTGCAATTTACTTCACAGTACGATGGGGTAATATGTATAAAAATAAATATCATTCTTTTTTACAAGTCTCAACAAACTTTGCATATATTGCAAAAAATTGAGTCACCAATTTTATCGATCTTTCTTGAGCAATAGACCTTAATGACAAATACGATGAAATTTTGAATAATTTAATTCGTTGGTGCAAATCAATGTTGGCAATTTTTCGAGTTATGGAACATTCAGTGATCAAACAAAAAAAATGTTTGTAGAATGATTATCTGCCACACTAACGCATTTACGTTACACTTTACGTGTGATCATCATTAATCAAGATATTGAAAATCTGGCGGTATGGCTGTATTTCTAGATTTAAATGGCGGATGAATAAGATATAATCGAGAGATGTTCTCTTAGGAAGAGTTTTGCCAAATTGCGCCGGCGATTACTATGGAGAACTGTAAATTTAGTTCAATTTCTCAAAAGAAAATATATTGTTTCAATAAAACACCCTTCGACAAATCGGCAACTTTCACATCTTCCTTCTCAAAAATGAAATGTTTACGGACAAACTTTCAGTCAAAATAAAGTACTGTATTGAATGCCGAGGTTGAATAAACGATCTCCTTGTAAGCGCTTTACGCGAAAGTGGTACATTGGAAACTACCCATGTTTTATAGCTTTCTTTCTTCAAATAATAGTGTCTGCAAATGTTGGTTGCTTATACGCGTTAGTAGCAACTCTATCATTTTATGGGGATTTTTTTAAACGAGTTTGGGCCAAAAATTTTCGAAGTCGCAAAAGTCGCTTGCAATTTGCGCGGGACGCATTTTTAAACATACTTACAGGTATTCGAGTTATGGGAGGTTTTTGTGCCTTTTTACCAAGAAAATCTTCCTGGAACTGAAGGAATTGAACAGCAGTTTGAGCAATTACCTTGTTTGTTATTGGATCATTGATGTACTAAAACAAGTGCGTTGAGGATGGTTAATCCCATCTTTCAGGGAGTAAACAGTAGAAAAAAATCCGAAAAATATTCACTCACTTTCTTCGCATTTTTTTGTAGCCAATTTTTTACACCTTCGAGGGCATTTATCGTTTCAGGGCTTTCAAAATATTTTGTGTTAGGTCCACCATCCATCTTGGGGCCTATCGACAACATTTTCAGTGATAAATGTGAATTACTGTTGTGTATAAACAAATTCTTTGTGCGAGTTCAACAATCACGCAGAATTTATGTTTTCATTGTTTGTTTGACCTATGACTTTGATGGATATCAGATGGTTTTTAACGATAGTGCGATGCTTTCCGTATCGACATTTTGCGACGATAAGTACTATTCAAATTAACACCGTCTTGACGTGATCATAAATGCACAAGTTTTCCTACTGGAATTTAGAAAATAACATTTTCAAAATTATGGGCTTTACCCAGAAATAGTTTTGTTTTTCTCATTATCGGCTTGGCCTGATATTGCCCATTGTGTGGCTGTCTCTCTCTGTCTGAGGCTTCTGCCGTCTGTCCAGAATTGGTGCCTGCGCGAAGCTTTTTGGAAATATAATTCTTACACTTATATCAAGCTGCTGAATGCTGAATTTTTATTTTATTGGCAAATTCAAAATGGAAACCGTAACTAAAAGAAAATGTGCATCACACAGATTAACGATAATTGATAAACCGATCAGGAATAGGTAAAATTTCCTTTTGTAATGTAAAGTGTATAGTTTATTTACAACATTTAACATTCAATAGTTGCAGTTGGCTCGCTGGTATTTATGTTACTATCTAATCCTACAAAAGTGACAATTGGTTTATGATAACTGTAAAAAGAAACGAATTGTGTTGTGTTAATTTTGTCTTGCTCGATCGTAGCGAAATTCTTCCAAAAGACGATCAGTCTTAAGTTCCATTTTACTGACAATAGTTCGTGTGAATTCGAACAAATGTGATTAAAACATGACAGCGGCCCACGCACTACACACTATTATATACACACGAACGACCCACAGACTACACACCATTATATCACACAACCGCCCTAATGGAACCAGATGGAAATTGCGGGAGGCTGTGTGTGCGCGAGAGAGAACTGCGTACTTGTCCATCTTCGCCAGAATAACGGCGCCGAAACGCATTCCAGTCCAATCGGACCGTGCCATAAGAAATTATCAATTCAAATTCAAAATTGACTACAAATACGACGTAAGGCTAACATGTAATTCAAAAAATATATGCCTGGAAACACCGTTCATTCAGAGAAAATGTACAGAAATATTTGTGAAACTGTTAAAAATTTCTCTAGGTGTAGTTTGAACAGTTTAGTGTAACGTTCTTTGAGTATCGATGCTTGCGCTTTTCATTACCGTCGGCATCGTACATTGACCATCAATTTAGCCAACTTAAAAATGAGGAAATTTTCGAGATTTGCTAGTAGATGGTGGTCAACATTGAAATTTTCAAAATAGTTTAGGATTCGAATTTTTTTGTGCTATTGTATTTCCAGAATTCTTAGAAAGCAGTCCGTAAAATCTGTGTTTCCTTAGAATGTTCGAAAGCAGTTCCTTTCAAAGCTGGTTGAGGCTGCTTGCCCCAGATGGCAGGGTGACTGCAGATGATCATTTATCATCCCAAGCTAAACTGTTTTTTGTAAAGTTAGAAAAACTAGTCGGGTTCGTTCTGGTGCATATTAAGATCTGCGAATAGGGAGCGTTGCGCTGGCCACTATAGATTTTCTTCAGGCCAAGTATCGACGAATCGCGTGCAACACCGGTGTGTCTACGTGCCCCAAAATTGCATTTTTTTCGCTAGTATACCGACAGAGGGACCTTTTGCACCTGCTTGTTCTTGCGCAGGTAATAGAAAAGCTTCAAAGTTGTATTTACGAGTACCGTGTTTTGTTGCCATAAAATAACGCGAAAGCGTTGTTATTGGAGAAAACCGGGCGATTTGGCCCCAAAAAAATAGTGCCATGGCGGCCACCAGCGTCGTAGTTCTCGATAGGGGCAACAACACTACCTGCACGATCAATCTACATGGTAAGTTAGAAAAAACTGTTTTTTGCCGCCACTGTTTCTCGCCTCGTTTTAAACACGATATGAATTCAAGAAAAAAAGAGACAAAAGAATCGCACATAACCTCACTAGTTTTTATTTTGCAGGGGCCACTGTGGTTTCGTGGAGAGTCAACAATCAAGAACAATTATTTGTTAGGTATGCTTCATGTCATGTCAAGCTCTTTTAATTATTATCAATTGCTTTATGTGTTTTTTCAGTAAACTAGCGGTGTTTGACGGCAAGAAAGCTATAAGGGGCGGTATTCCTTTCGTGTTTCGTAAGTATATTCAAAACAATTCTCTACAGATAGCTGCCAGATACACGAAAATTGCCAATTAAACATCCTTGGAATGCTAGTAGATTATTTAATCCAAACATAGTTTACCAGCTTCAAACAGTTAATTCAAATTCAGTTGGAGGACTGCAATTACTTGATAAGTTATCTTCAATTAAAACACATTTTTCACTCTTACATAATCTCTTCGCAGTAAATGAGCTAACGATCATGTCAAATTATCACTTATCAACGGCAGATATACAGTGTGTTCTACTCACAGCTTTTACGACCTTTAGAATTCCAAGGTTATCTACAACTTTTATTTGTTTCACTATTTTTGTTGGGAATGGTAAACAACGCTATTGAGTATCAGGATTTCCGGTCATTGAATGAAACTGCTGAGTTTTTCGGGATGAGTCGTGGTCGAAATTATTTATTTTTTGACGTTTCGCCAGCGCGAGCGATTTGCATCAGAGGTAGATCAGAGGTGATAGAAGAAAACGTTAATCTTTTCCTAATGTTTCACAAGCGCGACTGGCTTACATCTTCATGGGTGTTTAGCTGGGCGTAGAATTTATTGAAATTATTTAATGTCGAAGTGCGATTTAGTAAAAAAAATCTGACAAATTCGAAAACGAAAAAAAACACCCATTCTAAAGGTGAGGGACCTTCAAAGAGCCCTGGATTTTTTAGGAAGGATTTTTGGATATTGATCATTTATCTCACATCGACATAAAATCATCTCTACCTGTCTTCATTTATCGGTTTGGTTTCCGCACAATTTACACAGTGTGTCGACTTAAGGTCGTGTCATATGGGATACTTTTTGAAATTAATTTTACACAAAAAAGTATCTGCATCTTCTAAAACCTGAAATACAATCGTCAGATATACCTTTTTTCAGTCGTATACGAGGTTTGCCAGAAAATATTAATCGTGCCCAACAGTAAAGTAAATTAATTTTTGAAAATATCGCAAACGAATCAGTTATCGCTTTATTCGTTAAATATTTGATGACTTTCGTCGTCGATGACGTCTCGTAGCCTCTATGTTGCATTATTTTGAGTTTTTTCAGACCATCCGGAATCACGTAACTACGTTGTAAGTTATTGAAAGCATTGTTGTAGTTAAAAAATGAAAAAATATGTTTTTCCGTATTTAAAGGTTTTTAGCTCTGATCAATTTCTCTTAATAAAAATTTTCGATATTGAGAAAAATAAAGGTACTTTATTGAACAAAATTTATATTTCCTGACTCACATGGAATACGGCTGAAAAAAAATTATCTTATTGTGGTATTTTAAGTTTTGGACCAAGCAAAAGTTTTCATGAATAATAACTTGTCGTAAAATATAATAAAAGAGTTTCCCATCTGGTGAGAACTTAAATATACATATTGAAATTTCTCTGAACAATTTCATGTAGAAAATTACATACATTGGGAAACATGGTATTCACTTCTCCGTCTAAAAAAAAAGTAAAAACTCGACCTGCTGTCAAGAAAATGGTCGCGTTCCTAAAAGTTTATCAGTTGGATAATATTGAACGATACGAAACCGCGCTCTATTCGAAATGGAAATACCAAAACTGCAAAATGTATGTCGGTCGAGCAACTTGCTGAGACATCTAGGAGATTGAAAATAAAAATTCATAATTTTTCGTTATCAAATCCCGGAATAAATTCTCTTGGAGAATTAACTTGAGAGTTGCTCGACTCGATTCCAGGACAATTATTATGAAATCGCATCTGATGACTATCGATTAAGTTATTATCGTATTTAGCTCAATTCGGTCCTTGGTCATTTGGTCCGCAACATGGATTTGCAAGACTCATTCGATGGAACTTGGAAAAGGCTCCTGAGAGACTGGCCAGTGGCGACGTGGAAGCGATTTTCTCTCTGATGGATTCGGACTTTTCCAGATCCATATGGAATTACCAGTGAGTTTTCCAATATCAGTGCAAAATATTTTAGAACCTCTGGTAATACAGATGCTATTGCTGATATCGATAACGTTTATCAAAGTGAAATCTTCAATGGTTTTTTTTGTTTCAGATTTCGCCTTACTTATAGACTGATTCTCCGAGAAAAGGAACTGCATTTTAACATTGCAGTTTTTAATCCGAGTAAAAACTTGACGTTCAGTTTCAATATGCTGTTACATACGTATTTCAAAGTTCCTGACGTGCGTAGATGTCAAATAACTGGCTTGCAAGGTTGTACATTTGTGGATAAGACCAGGGAAGGTGCAGTATATCAAGAAGCGAGAGATGTGGTCACGATCAACGAATGGACCGATAGAATTTATCAAAATACGTCCCAAGAGCATATTATAACAAATGTGGTCTCTGGAAGGAAGATGCGTATTCAGAAGTATAATTTTGCCGATACGGTAATTTGGAATCCATGGCTGGATCATGCGAAGGACATGACTGATTTTGGTGATGATGAGTACCCCAATATGGTTTGCGTTGAGGCTGGGCATGTATCTAGTCCTGTTATTCTATTACCAGGTACTGCTTTTGAAGCGAGTCAAATTTTGCAAGTTATGTAAAGCTGCAACGTTCATCTGCGGTCCTACAGTGTGTTTGTTTTTATCTGGTTCACGATTTAATTTTACATTTTAAACTTATTGCATAGGAAATTCATTTTAGTTCTGTTGAATGTTTGATTGCAATTAGAGCTGTAAGTCTCTAATCTTGATCAACATTTCTGCAGAACTAAAATTAATGTTTTATCCATTTTATAGCTTTTAAATATCCATAAACTATATCTCTTATTTATCTCTATTAATTCAAAACAGATCAAGTTGTTGAAAACTGCAAATTCTTGATTAGCTCATAGGCGTTTTAATAGTATAATAAAAGTACGCGGCGTGTATTGTCAATTCTTATTAAGCTAATGAATTATATATCACACTGTATATCGTGGTTTTTAAGCAATTGAAAAATTCTTTAGAACGAGCGACTGAGCATTTAAAGTAATAAAAAAGTCGAAATGAAAGCAATAGAATTAGATGCGTAAGTTATTGAAATATAATACTTAAGGGACGTTCTGTGACTGTTCAGTGGTATGCGATAAAATATCACAGCTCAACATTCCGAAAGTTAGCCTTACTCTTGTATACGACTGGTAGAATGTACATTTTCGTGCAATAAAAATAAATAGTGCGTCGTACGTTTTGATAGTTAACATATTGTTAGACTTCATTTATATTTAAATAAATTATTATAGTGTGTGCTTATGTGCTTTATTTCGTCCTTTTATTGTCTTTCAATACTCACAAGAAACATTTGCCTTTTTGAGATTATGCTGATTTTTTTTGTTTGTGTTGTGCAAAATACTTGTTTTGAACCCTATTTATTTACTTCATTTTATGCGTTTTTGAATTATATTTCTAATCGCAAAAAACGTTAAGAAATTTTTTTCGGTTAATGCAGGATAAGCTTCTACAAAAGGGATCGGCATCGTTGGGTAAGTATATTCACTTCTAGTTGGGACCTATCCAATACCATAATGACACTAATTATCTGATCAAATACAATTTCTTATGGCGCGGAAAGTTGAAAAGATAGCATCCAGGAACACCAGTTAGGCTTGATCTTAAAAAAAATCTGTCCGTTATGTTAATATTTGTTTATTTCACGTTTGCCGCTTTTAGACAAATAGTTTTATTAGTTTGTCTACAGAATTTGTCTTCTAAATATGTGTTCTCGGGTGCCACGTTACATCGGTGATGAGCATCCTGCCTGTAGTAAAATTTTTCTAAATAAATACTTCTCTCAAACATGCCATACCGTTTTCTTAATGGTTTAGTTATTTGGTTTTCTAATTTTAGTAATTTTCAATTGGAAACGTATACAAACTGACTCTATTTCAATGTCCTCGTAACACCACTCAAGGCTCATTGTTATAAAAAAAAACTTCGGAATGGTTATAATATGATAAGTAATTATACTGTATTTGGCTTATCAATGGTCAATTTCATCGCGTTCGATATATTGGCAATTGGATTCGTCATGCAATGACACTATAAATAGACTCCAGATCAATTATGTGATAGATTTAGATTTTAAAAGAGCTTAAAAGTTCTGCTTGCTTGAATTTTTACCTGTGCCAGTCTTACGAAACGGTAGAGGCTTTCGAGGTGGTCGTTTGAAAAACTGCCTGGTTCTAGCAATTCATAAACCAACAGTTTTAGCTATGGCAGACAAAGCCCTGATGATAATATGTTATTATTATAATAAAATGATTAATTTATTTTAAAAAAATCAATACTACAGCTGATTACTAGTGGTACAAAACTAGTACAAAAAACTAAATGGTGATGGAATTTTAGCTTGATTAGAATTGCTTAAAATATGAGATTTTTAGAAGCACCATTTCGAATTTTTTCGAGTTAAATATTTCTGATTTGATCAAAGGAGCGGCTTGGAGACTGGTGCGTCGATTACACAGCGCTTTCAAGTAAAATAAAATTAATATTAATGGCAGCCGATAACTATCCAATTAAAATATCGATCACTTGGATGGGCTTGATAGTCATATAATAGTTTTATTATAATGATTAATTACAAAATAGCAGTACCTATTAACAGTCTGAGAAGAACAAGAAGTTGATAACTCGAGACGAACATTTCAACGAAATTACAATCCAATTCTAGCTTTGACCAGAAATAAATCGCAAATTACGCTTCTTGTGCCCAGAATAGCTGGACGAAAAAAAAAATGCAACGAATTCAATTCTCTGCCAATCAGATGTCAATATCTCAGCAACCACTTGAAATTTTGACCGTGGGTACCCAACGACTGGCTCGAATCGCAAGACCCATCTAATTGACATTGGTTAATGCTGGTCAATTACTGCTTGGATGCCGTGTTACCGCTCTCTACCCACATTCTATATATACACTGAGGTAAAAAATTAATTCATGTCTTCTCTGGATTTGGTGCACATTCGAAAACTCTCCGAGGAATAATTCAAATTATCTGCAGCAAAATATTTGCCCATTAAGTCGACAATCAACACCAGGTCTGAGTGAGGATATTTAAGAAATGACTATCCATAGCGTCTATTTAATGTTCTTTCAATGTTCCACCAGATACACGAAAGCTACTGGAAATAGAATATTCAATGTGTCTTAAGACAAGGGTACCACAAGTTAAAAGCGAAAAAAATTAAATGGGGAAAAAGTTGTAGTTTTGAATCCTCTACTCGAAGCCAATTGGAGGAGAGAATTATAATTCTTAAAAAATATGATACAAAATTTCTTTTTTGAGAATTCTCAAATGCCTCCGGGTTTTGTAAATATCAATACTGCAGAAAAATGTTAAAAAGGAAAGCTGCAGAAAATTAGGTACTACAAAGTTGTGATACCAGCAGACCAACCACCGATATTTTCAATCAGCCGCGGCCTTTTCAACTTTTTAAAATCGCGTCTTTATTCCTGTAAATGCATTTACAAATAAATTCTTCCCTGCAGAAAATCCATTTTTACAATAAATCTCGATTCACTTACCAAATATTAACGCTTTAGATGCACGGCTATTTGAAGTTAATTGAGTTTGAGTACCATCATTAAATTATGATCAAAAGCATTCTATGCAATACCCATTTGTGCTTGCCCTCATTTATAAAAACAAAAAATAATCGAAAAAAATTTCTTAAAACAGACAAACTGTATCTATCAATAAACGTCTTCTATGATACATTTCTAAAAAAAGCTGCCTTCTACGATTTATCTGGCATACTGTTTCCAAATATCCAAAAATATAGGACTCATTGCACCTATTTGACAAAACTGTGTTACATTAGGTACAGAATAGAAGAGAATAGGGTACTTATTCCTATGTTCTTGGGAAAGAAGCAAAAAATAACCAATCACAGGCAGAGGACAATGTCGCATTAGAAAAGAAGAAAATCAGGAACAGATTAATTTAAAAATTAAATAGAATAAAATTAATTTAAAAAAATCAATAAATAATTGGCGGAAATAAAATGATTTCAATTTGAATGGCCTCCGATGACTGGAAAACACGTAAAACAACTTCGACTGAATTTGATAATGTTCACCGAAGATGTGAACGAAACGTCGGCAAGCAATTCCAATGGGCCGGCAGTAAAAACTTTTACAGTCTGATTTTATTTCTTGTGTAGACTAAACAACCAGTAAGGCAAATACAAATGCAAAAAAATCGGCCGAAATTCATGGCCGTGAATCATTTTCCTCAGGAAAATAAAACGGGAAGTAACGCTGCCTTTGCAAGTGCGTCAACCCTCATAAAAAACGATTAATCTTCCTTAGTAATTAACTATTGATTTCAACATCAATCATTTCATTCAGCCTTGTAATATGAAGTTGGCCTTATTTCCATGCAGCAATTCATTCAGTTATGATTACGTGAAAATTCCCGGAGTTTGCGAAACCGAAGAACCAGAAGATTTTCGCGAGCTTGAAGAATTGATTCGGATTATATCTGCCTACATAAAAGAATTTTGTAAACATTCTTTTCTTCGGTCGCTGTGCATCTCATTGATAAATGAGTTATACTTTATCGAGAATACCATGCGAAAAGGTACAATGTTGTCAAGCTACATTTTTTATGTGGAAATTTAGACAGGCTGATGAACGGGGCCTTATAACTCCCTGTAAGGGTGGGCGTGATACTGATCAGAAAAAAATAAAAATAAATCCAATGATTAAGGAGCAGTGATTAAATGATAAGACACATTTCTTTGCATGTCCACCATACAAACGCATTAATTATAAGAAACCTCCTGCAGACGGAAGACCAACAAGTTTCTGCCATTCATCCATTGTTCTATCTGTTTCCTGCAAATTTCCTATCGAAAGCTGATTACGGACTTAAACACCTTCTAACTAAGTGAGATTTGTTTGATAAAAATTAAGTTTAATAATCACTACGTTTGGATTGGCAGCTGACTCCAATCATTTGCAAGTATGTTGATTGTTCAAACTTTTCACTCTTCTGAAATTCCAATGGGTTTATATTGGAGTATGTATAGGTTGAAGCTTTTTTATTATGGTACAGTTGAAGAAAGCAAGCGGAACTGCATTGTTGTGAATTTCAATCTTTTTAAGTCCATCGGAGTATGATTACCATTATGAAATTGGAGCTAAAAGCTCAAATGCTTGAAAATACCAGAAAAGTGTGATTTGATTAAAGTATTACTGTTTCAAGAGACTAATAGAACAGTGAAGCTAATGAAAAACGCTTTTAGTACCCAAAACCAGCGATATAAACAAGCTCTAAACATTTGAAATGTTTTATGCGTTATTCCTATTTTGCGAATTTTAGAATAATCGGAATTAGTATTAATGATTTGTTAGCATATTTGTTTGCCCTTTCGGTAACTAAGTACGCTTTTTAAATCCTCTATAGACAAATAAATTTTTGCTAGCTTCCCTTTGCTCATTTACTCAGTTTTTGACCTACTCGCTTTACTATCTTGTTATTTTTATTCAATTCACACAGTTTAATAAATATTTAAAAAATGTATTAATATAATTAAATTACGTTTTCTCCAAGTTGCACAAATGTGGACAATATTTGGGCTGGAATCAGTTTCTAAATATTCAATTCAAATTGTTATATTGGAAAAAGCAACCTGAACTAATCCAACGTAATTTAAATAAATTAATATTAAAACAGGACATTGAATTTTATATTGGCAAAGTGAGAAGGGCGCCTTGAACACAGTATGTATATATACATATTAATATAATATATAGAAAATAATAAAACTATTAAAACCAGTGTGGTTGACAACATTCTGAACTCTGAAAATGATATACTTTTACCACAAATTTTAATATTTTAACAAAATCGTCTCGAACGTAAAAATCGAATCCCATTCATATAATTGATTTTTCGCTGAAGAAAGTTTACTAAACATTTAAAAAAAGTAAACTAAAAGTTTTCCAACATGAAACAGCGATAATCAATCTTTGGTATGCAGACAACACTGTAATTAAAGCAGAAAACATCTAAAATGTGCAAAGAATGATGAACGGAATTGATAAATGAAGCCAAGAATATAACCTGACCCTTCATGCGAAGACAACCTGCGAAGTACCTAAACAAAGACCATAAGATAAGATAGATAATCAGCGCTTAGCAACATCCAACAGAATTAAAATTATTCCTATCGAGACCTACAGATAAAGAGCACCATTAGAGGAAATCAATCAAATTTCACATAGTTAATTCGTAGAATATAACAAAAAATACGCATAGGAAAAATTAATTAAATTAAAAGAAAAAAAATAGTTTGACATCAAAATTTTTTTAACGCTCTAAATTTTGTGGTCGAAACAAAAAAATACGCAAATCTATCCACCAAAACTGAAAAATGAAGAATTTACGGTGCTGTTAAAAAATATCGTGCAATAACCATCTACATATTTAATAATTGTGTCCATTATATTGGTCGATTGAATTCAATTTGCCAGACATTGAGCCGATCTTCATGTGCCACGTTAAAATGTTAACGTTACCACAATTGGGCTGATTTGCTATTGACATGGCAAAAACTATCCAAGAGTCGTATCCTAGGAGAACAAAAATTACAAACATGCCATGTTTTATTAGTAGCGCCTTATTTATATTTAAGTGTCGAACTATCCATGTTCCTTCGGGAGTCCTTTAATATCCTCCGAACCGGTGGTTTACTTTTGTGTGTGTCGTTTTCCTGCTCGCTACTTTTCAGTAAGTACTGAGTGCCTTTTTGTTTAACAACAATTTATAAACTTTGCTTGATTTTATTTTATTTTATTCACATTTCCTCCTTTGGTGGTATGCATATCTAAACTGCTGGTATTCATGTCGAAGATTAAATATCAACATGAGTATGTTTGAAGGGTTAAACAATTTATTTTTAATTCAGACCAACTCACTTAAAGCACATTCAGCGATAATATGATTAATAATATAGACGCCGATATGCAACACAATGGGAAATATATTGCTTAATTTAAACAATTGAAAATTGAGTAAATTGCAAAGTTAATATTTTACGACATTTTCTACTGTCGCCAATTACAATTGATTTATGGACACGTGAAGTGAATAGGAAAGGTGATACCTTTCAATAAAAATGAAATGTGCGTGATTTCGCATACAAATTAGTGCAAATTTTCAAAAACCTGAAACTTGAAGATACAAACAAAAGGAATTATTTCTAGAACTATGAAAATTGCCTAATGGATTGTTCGTCGCTTATTAGCATTCGTGTTGTTTAATTAAACAGCAGTCAAATTTTAAATGAGGTAAGTTTTGCACTTTACTTTTTACTAATTTCTTCGGCATTATCAACAAATTAACAATTTCATGATTAATTCTATGTGGCCTTTTATTTAACCAATGGGCGTTTTTCACTACTTAATGTATTGTAAAGTTCAATAGTGTGTCATCTCTAGAATGCTGACTGTAAACTTCTTGTAGGTTTCTAACTTATTGCTTATGTCAAGTAGAGCCCACAAAAAAAATCTTGTCTCATTAGCGTTCTCTGGGGCCAACTCTCTCTTTAGAGATTCACTGTTAAAACATATCTACTATCTAACGCTCTTCGATAGTTTATTATTTACTCGACGCTCATCCACTCAACAAATACTCTCTTAATATATTCTGTAAAGTTAATAAAAATTACGATTTTTTTATACACGAAATTCATAACAGTAATGTCTGTTAAAGTTTTTTTTCTTACATATAATTTTTGATGTAGCTAAAATATTTAATAGTTTATTGCCTGATTACTCAGTCGTAAACCCGCGGTGTAAGTACAGGCTTCAGGATAAGTCACAGCCAGCACAAAAAAAGTTGTTAAAAGTTGCCAAAGCGCATCTGATGAGGACTGATGAGGTCCGAAACCGGTCCTGGGAGTGCTTGCTTACGTATTTCTTGCTCACAATATTTAACGTTAAGCTAAAAACTTATCGAATTTCCGTTCATAGTTTACTAATAAGAAAAACTAATTTAATTTACATAAAAAATCAAAAATAAACTAAGAAATAAGGTGTTCCATTAGAAAAAAGTTAGTTTTTGCGCTATAATTTTTCTGACACACTCTGTATAATTGTGAATATTTTAAAATATGCGCCTTTAGTATCTTTATAACATGGTAATATTGCTTAAGCGTTCAGAAAAATTAGTTATTTTCTAATATTAATTACGATAGGTTCCATTTACGATAAAACATGTTTCCTTTGTGAAAGCTTTATTGCAATATGTATTTCCGTTTAAAACTAAGCTAGATTTTGTCGCAGAAAACAATCAATTTGGAGTCTATATTGTTCTTATGAATTGAACTAAACAGAAAAAGTTATGAATATAGGTAATATCGAAAAACGCCAGGGGAACAATTCCACAGGTTTTTCCTTCAGGAGTCCAAATTTTAAGCCATAACAAAATTAAAATTCTTATCTGAAGATTTAGTATTCGATATTTTATTTTTGACTGCGTATTAACACTGAATTCCACTAGTTTCTTAATTATTTTTTAATATTGTCTCCACCTTAAGCTAAGTGATGTGGACTAGTTAGATATTTGTAGTGTATATAGTTAGATCTAGTTGATAAATTGTTGTTCTAGCTATAAATGATAACGAACTGGTTCAAAAAACAAACTCTTGTGCTGACAAAGAAATTTATCATTGTTCACCTGACAATAAAAAATACAGCATTTTAACAAAGATTTAAAAAAGTTATTTCCAAACAAGGAAAATCCAAAATCATCAGCAAATTCCAAGAATGTAATACCTTAATTCCCGTTATATTCACAGTCCATTACTAATGGAAGATAGCAAGCAAGAAAAAAGTCAATTCACAAAGAAGAAAACCGGGAGGAAAATGTTAAAACTAATAATCGGGTAGTCAATTTCCATCACTAAGTCCCGAAATTGCCGTGGAAAAATAAAGAATTGGTAAGTTTATTTTTACCTGGAAGCATGTTGATTAATGCTGCGAACCGCTTCTTGTGAACCTGTACGAAAAAGTCAAAAAAAAGAAATTATTGTGGTACGTGCAGTGGCGTCACCCGAAAATTGCTCACAGAAAACATACTTGAGTGTTATTTTACTCCAGTTGGTGTAAATCATGACTCTAAGCCTATGTTTCTTCACCCTGAGCTAAAAGAGAACGTTTCTATCTAATTTTCGATAAAAAAGCCAAGCGAACATTCCAAAGCTGCAGTTTTCTTCAAGAACTAAACCTGAACAGATGCTGCAATCCAAGAAAAGTTTGGAGAACTTTCATAGCTACTTTGAGCTTAAATTAGGACAGGAGGACATAGAAGGACTAATCGAAAGTAGACAACTTACTGAGGGCACATCGGAGGAATTCCTTTGATGAGTACGCCAATGTGTAATGTTTCGTTTTCGCAGAACTTTTCTTTTTGGAAACAAGAACCGGGCCGCCTGGTTTTCTGCAGCGGCTCTACGTCCGGCATTGCGGTTTGCAACTTTTTAATTGCCCGCAACTTTTTTAGGCCCAAATATTATCTTTTGCCGAAGTGAAGGTTAGTCTTTTTAATTAAATAAGTTCAAGATGTTGCTTTTTCCTTTTCGGCACTTTAAACTAAATGCACCATAGGCGATTGAATGAATAATATAAGCGTCATATGAGAAAAATTTCAAGAATCCACTGCCAGCATCATCCAAAATTACTCATCCATTTGGGTTTATCAACCAAGTCAAGTGGGAAAATTTTTAGTTATCGAAACGCCTTTCGCAGACATTAACAAAAGACCAAATTTTGCTGGGAATTCAGCATAATTCACGTACTATTTTTGCTTGAAAGACAACAGCAAATTTGCTAATAACACAAAGTTTTTGAAAAATTATACACAATAATTAATTATAGCAGCATTTAAACAATGCATTAAACACATCAGAAACTGAACAGATTAAAATAAACCGGAGAAACATGACGACTTATATGGTTCAAAAGAGAATCACTTTGGCGACCTGATTTTTTAGGTCTTTAGGCGGTCGCGGAAAATATATTCTTCTTGGTTTGGTCGACGCAGCAACCACCTCTGAAGATGCAAGCCACTCCTGGTTACGAAACGTCAGGGAAAAAATTCCACTAGGACCTTAAAGCCCGAAAACTGGAGGGCATCTTTCGAAGCCAAACCTGAAAAATCCCTGAAAACAATAGGGGATTTTTATAATTACCAGAAAATTATCTACCAAAAAAGGCAATGATTATTTGCGCGATTTGCTCTGGGGTTTACCGAATACGTAGGACAAGTGACCATGGTCAAGGCTGGATTACTTCCAGACTGGATCTATTCCATTTGGAAAGTGTAAATCAATTCTAATTGAAATTAATCAATTCCATACTAGTCTATATAACTAGATGATATTTTGTGAATAAAATCAAATTAAAAATAATATGGCTTTTGTGTCACACATTCCTCTAAACTATACGAGAATTCATTTCCCATTCATAGTCAATAGAAATGGAATTGTTCGATAACTGTTATAAATTATTATTTAATTAAATATTAGTCAGTTGCGTGCATTTAGCATTGAATTTCTCATGGTACGCGACGCGACGCAAGCAATTCTCGGCCCTCACTTTGAAATCGCTTCGAATAATTAGTAATTTTTCCTATACATGTGGTTGTTTAAAATGGTAATGAATGTTTTTCCTTTTAATGTTTTCCGTATTACCAAATCAAGTGGACAGTGTGATTTAAAGTAAAACAAATATTGTTACTTCAAATGCCTTAATAGCTAAGACGTACTAAACATTTGCATAAATATTATTTTATCCTTCTGTGACGGCCAAGATGCAAGATAATATATAAATTGCACTTACTTACTTTGATGGCCTTCTTTTACATAAGCATCAGTTTCTTTTATCTCGATATCTAAGTACTTTGTAAATATTATACAAAGTTGGTTGTAGGTTGTAGATCGAATGCAATCCTACCCGTTTTCTGGCATTAACAATATTTTGCCTTTCAAGGTAGTTTCTATCTGGAATCACATTCCATTAATCCTTATGAGATCGTGAATTATATCAATTCATATAAAACTCTTATTACCTATTCACATTATACAGTGACTGTTTCGCTACTGTGAATTTTAATCACGTGCCCCAAAAAATTAGGGATTATTAATTTTTCTTCAAAAACCTCTTTCAACCTTCATTCGCACAAATAATTCATAGCATTCATATAACACAATAGTTGATTTTTTGAATTGTTTTATTTTGTTGCTGCTCGACAGTAAGGGTTTTACTTGAGAAGGCTCTTTTCAGTACATGACTTCGGTATCTCGATCTGACCGTAAAAAATCGCTTTTAGTTATCATCCGAACAGTTTTCTCGGCCAGATAAATCGAAATAAATTTGTGGTGCGGTGTTTAACTAAATGGCAAATTTATTAAATGGTCAAAAATAAGTGCCCTTAATTTCAATACTGGTTTTAAGCAGGAGCTCGCTTAAAGCTTCGAATGTTCAAAAAATTCTTTCAGGCATTCCTTAAACTTAAAATGCCGCTGGTTGCTACCCAAACTCGTTCAATGAATTTTTAACAACTCCTTTTTGGTCATTACGTCGGTTATTATTTTATACAAGTTTTTGTAGCATCGTTACCGTTCTTCTTTTTGTCATTTTTCGTGAAGATTCTTTCGATTATGTCTTGCCAGTCCCGTTAGAATTTTAACTCTCCTAAAAGGACTCACACCGGAGGCGCGTATTTTGTTCAGAAAACGTTTAAATTTTCAGCACAATTTTGTTGTTACCGCAAATAAATAGTTTAAACTCAAATTCAAATTAAATGCTAAGAGCCTGTAGAAAATATTTTCAATCTAAAAACTCATCATTGAATTATTAATGTCATTTAAAGACATTGTTATATTCATGTTAAATTATTGTATTTCATTTATTTATCTCTATTGTTCGATTATAAGCCTAATTAACCGCAATTGGCTTGAGCCTCATTTCTAATGAAGTGTCTGATGTCTGATTCCGCATTATTAGCTACGACATAATGTGCATTACTCGAATACCTGCTCAAATACATATCATATTATGATGTTAGTTGATTAGCTAGTGCTCGCATTTTTAGACAGTGTTAATTGCCTTTAAATTACCTGAATAATGCCGAGGATCCAAATATGAGCAACTTATTAATGAATTAACTATGTTAACACCTTAAAAATGTTGATATATTTTTTAATTATTTGAAGCAATTCAAAGTAATGTTAATATTTTTACATATAATTTAAGTTTAATATTTTTCAAAAATAAATAACTAATATTTATGAAAACCTACATTTCTCAGCCAGTGTATTCAGACTTGTAAAAATTTCAGACTTGTAAAAATTTCAGACTTGTTTGCCCTAATTGATCTTCAGTCACACCCCAAATCATGAACAACCGACTGTTCAAATTGCAGACTTAATTAGAAAATTCATTTGAAGATAAAATATTAAGATTAAACAGAAAGCTTCAAAATATTGCTAAATTTCTTGCTTAGCTAACAATTAATTTACTGAAAAGTTTACTTTAATTAAATCTTGCAACTTTGCCAAAACGAGCATTATCATATGAGTTATGAAAGTCTCCTAAAACAAGTGATGAAATGTGACGCAAACTCAACGGAGATATTTAATAACATTTGTTCATTATGTAAATAAAAAAACGTTAATTTCAACGGTGTCTGTATTTAATTAGTTTAGATTTTATACATTTTTAACAGGAGAGTGGAGAGGTGTTAGATTTTCTCAACATTTTTGAGCTATTGAATAGCAGATCGAGCAAAGTTTAATGGTGTACACGAATAAGCCATCAGCAGCATTGGGTCATACCAGCAATTAACCAAGTACTAGAAGATGTAATTATTTGTAATTAAAGCAAAGGTTTTTAAGTGAAAATATTAATTCTGATAAATTTTCAATGATGATATGCGTTGCATCAATATTTCTATTAATATCATGTTATTAGCTAATTTGATTACAGACGCCTGATAGTTACATGGAAAGACGACTGAAATAGATATTAATGATTATATTTGTAATAAGCTTTTAAAACCAGTTTGTGCAATTATTGCAGTACCACCATCAGATTGATGCGTTTTTCACCTAATCCATTCATGGCGTTTTCCGTTATGCAATAAATTCAGTTTCTAACTCGGTTTTATTGACTTGGCAAAGAAAATCACACGATACGTAGCTAATCAAAGTTTAAGTCTGTTTTTATTTAAGGAAAAAACCTTTATTTGAAAATTGAAGATGCAGTTGTGTTCACACGGATAGAAATGAATAATTTGATAGATTATGATGCGTCCAGCATTAGCAAACTGAATAACCTAGTAACTGTTATGCACGAAGAAAATTACTAAATGGAATGTCCAACAAACGCAGTGTTCAAATTTTTTTCTGCTTATTAGCATAATCAATCAAAAAACTGTTTTATCATCATTTCAAGCTACATTTATTTAGTTAGCATTATGAAATAACAAATCTAAATCGAAGTAAATAAAATTAAACTTTTACTAGTTTAGTGGCAAAAGAAGTCCTTCGTATACTTGATTCTACATGTTCTAACTCTTAACCTGTTTAATTTCCCAACCAGATGCATAATATTGAAGGAGCCAAGCAGAGCAAAAATCAAGCCGATTGCAGAAATTTTACTTAGTATAAAATATTTGCGAACGCTCATTTCTTTAATGGCCGAAAAAACATTAATCCATTTGTCCACTAATTGATTTCTGAATGGACGAAACACATACAAATGAGAAAAATGTTTGCATAATAAAGCGCAGAATTTATGAGGATATATTATTGGATGTTTATAACAGCAAGGTAAACATTCAATGGGGATATTAATTGGTTTTCAGACACATCCAGCAAGTTAATTACTAGCACCTATTATTCGTCGGTATTTTTGATAAGATTAAAGCAACAAGCAACACTGACGATTAAATATTATAGAACACTTCCTTGTGTAAGAATCTGTGTAGTGTAGGATGAGAGTGACAATAATTTATGTAGGTAAGATTGTTAGAATTTAATTTAATGAGCATATTTAGGTGAAAACCGTGACGTTTTCCTTCGGAACTAGCGACGTGTAAAAAAGTTGAACTGAAGAGTGATCTAAGAAGAATTTCCATAATTATTCTATTAGACAAACCAGTGCAAATTAATTGATTTCTTTCTCTAATATTATTTAATGGCAAGCGATTTACGTATTCGTTTAGTGCCAGTTTTTCAATGGAACCCCGTAAAGAAATGAATTATGGAAACTTTTTTTGCCGTCTCAAAGGACCAAATCAAATGATGGGATGAGATGAAACAGGCCTCGATGTCTCATCTTCAGGTACCACTAATTAATATGGATTGCATAAATAATTTTAATAATACATAATTCAAAAGAAAACGTTGTGCCTACGCCTGAACTGACATTTGATTAAAATACACGTAGATATAATTAATGTTTTGTTACACGACGGACTTGGCCGGACGTCTATTTGAGTTGCATATCTGGTTTATTAAATATTGCACCTGATTCTAGTACTATTCCGGAAATATGGATTGCAGCAAAATCATCGAAAATGTCGTTAAAGTCATCAGTATTGCGCATAATTTGTTGTATTATTTTGCGTTACAATACATACAATCAGTTTAATAAAGCTTGGCAAATTTTGTGAAATTGAAAGTAAAGGTCGATAAACTAATGTTACACTCAAAATTGGTCAAGGATTTGCATATGGTTAACATGAAATAAATCAACCTCATCTATATATTTCGATATGAACTTGCTTATTTGCAAGCAATATGCTTATTACTTACGCAAATAAAAGGAAATATCAACATTTTGTACCAATTTATGTGTAAATACTATTGCAATAGTCCATTTAAGTGAATTTCTGGAAGATATAATGGAATGGCTATTAGAGACCTTAGTGAATACGAGCTGTCACATGTATGCAAGTAATTCAACACAAATCAAGTGGATTTTAGACAACTGCAAAAAAATGCCAGTTAGCAAAATTTTGGAGTTAACTGGGTTAAAACTCATTAAAGGGAATTGTTATTTAAAGTTTGGCTATGTTAATAATTTTACAGTGCTGCTTCCTTTTCTAAGACACGAAAATTTCAAAAATGTTACAGAAGTTAAAAAGACACTTCTGAGTTAATTCAGATATAATAATAATAATAAGTTAAGGGAAGATTCACAAGGTTTTTCCCTGAAGAGCACAACAGATCAGCTCTTAGTATTTGTCATTGAGCTGTAGGAAATAAAAAAACAGAAACAGAATAATCAATATTGAGTCACGTTAAAGATTTTTTTATTGTAAAACAAAAATTACAGTTTGGTAAAATTTGAGAATTATTGGTATCTTGAAATTGAAAAAATATTTTCTGCCAATTTCAATATGTAGGATTTTCCGTGTCCGTTACACGATTGTCCCGTCTTTTTCCAAAAATTGAGTCCTTCAGATAACGTGCCTACAGGGCGGCAAATTGAGAGTTTATGAAACTTTGGCAGGTTTCTAATTGAACAAATAAACCTTTTTTTAAATTGAATTGGAGACCAAAGACATAAAATAAGACCGGATATAGCAAAACGTTTTTTAAAGTTTTCTCCATTTTTTTAAATTTACAGGGTGATCTCAAAACATAACTTTTTGGGTTTAAGGTTGTAATATTTTTCCTCTGGCCGATTTTTAAAACCTAGAACGCATGTTGAAGCTAAAACCTCATAGACCCCTTAAGATTTAAGTTCGATATACAGGGCTGTATGAATGGACGGATTGTTTGAAATAGTTCTCGGAATTTTTTAAAATCTGAAATTCGAATATTCGTTTAGTGGTTTATGCGAATAGTAAAATTATTCGAATATTCGAATATTCTAGTATTCGAATATTCGAATATTCAAGTATTCGAGTATTCGAATATTCGAATATTCGTCAGATATTCTACTGTTCGTTTTCCGTTCGTTCAGGTGTTCTGTGGTTTTCCGTTCACCGTTTTCCAAGAAGAAAAATCGTTATCTCATATCGTTTTTGGCAACTAGCCGTAACGGATAAAAAAGTGCCTTTGTCGGCACATTAATTGTAACACCGCGCAAAAGTTGATGACGCGAATTACCAGAACACAGAGACGTAATTTTATATTCATTTGCAAGAGAGTAAATATGATTATTTTCATTTGCTTGTAAATATATGCGTATTTGTTTAAATGCTTGTAGAATATGAATCATTTATTTTATAAAAGTATACAAAGTGCATATAAAGATATTTGCACCTTGTGAATTTGATAATGTTGGTGTATTCGAGTATTCGAATATTCGGATATTCGGATATTCGAATATTCGGATATTCGAATATTTGGAAATTGGAATATTCGACTATTCGAATATTCGAGTTATGACTACATATAATTATTCGCTTTTTGAATATTCGAATACTCGAATTATTCGAGTTTGAGTTTGAGTCCTAGTTTGAAAGTACACTTCCCTTGAATTGAAAGTCTACCAGAATTCTAGATTCCGACGGCAGGTCTAATTTGGCTGACTTTTAATGCAACCCTGTATAGCAAAGTTTTGTCTGAAGTCGACTATGAAGCTCTAGCTAACTTCAGCATCAGCTTTAAATCGGCTCAAAAAGAATAATGTTATCACCTCAAGCCCGAAAAAGTTGCTTTTTGAAACCACCCCGTAAATAAAGGAGATAGGCGAAAAATTAAAAAACAGTTTCAAGACGTGAGGTCTTTCTTTATGCCTTTATTATTGAAATAAAAACGACACATTTTTTTGATCAACTGGAATCGTGTCAAAATTTCGGAAATTTTCCATTCTTTCATTTTCCACCCTGTAGAAAGTATTTCCAATACACAATTTTTGCAAAGACGCAAACTGAGAAAAAAAAAATAGATAACGCTTCCAACAGAATTCAAATGGCTTGCCACAATCAGAAGTTATCCACTTTTAGGGTAAATTTGTGTTTTACCTATTTCACTACATATGTGATTGTAACTTATATTGTATTTTATACCTAAAGAGAAAACAAAATTATCCTGAAGCTCGATAATTAATACAGCCAGAAGTTTTTCCTGAATACCACATCAAACCGTTCCTCAATATCTTCAGCTTTTCAAAGTTACTATAACTGTTCAATACTTTGGCGCTAACACCAAAATGTGCTTTAAATACAAAGTGTAAATGTTAATTCCACATATTACCGCTGGTTTATATCTGCAATTTTTCCTCTAACTGTTATAAGGCTAGGAAGTACGAAACGTAACAACATTATAAATTAGACTGACAAATGAGGTTGCACCGGCAATTAAAAAGCAATTCCAAATACCTACATCCAATCAGTACTTAGAACTTCCAAACAAAATAAAACCAAGGATATCGGTTCTCGCTAACATTTTCCTAGTTCGTTACATGAAAATCTGTATTACCTAACCGGCTCGTTATACAACTTTCTATCTATTCCATTTCTCGCAAGTCCACACGGCTACGGTATGTGTAAAACTGTAATCAAATTGTACTTATGTACATACCAGTAAGTACCTTTTATTAAATTGGCCACAACCCTACAATTTTTAAGACCGATTTAAAAAACTGCGGAACATGTTCTGTTGCAATCTGTTCATGTACCCCACCGAATTAGCTGAATTATGTGTTTTACCATTTTTGCAGTACCTCGGCACCATTGAAAGTGTTTGAAGATAGATCTTCCGAAGAGTCGGTGGTGGCGGTTAGTGAATTAAATTGGTGCGAGTTAGTGTCGCTGTTATTTTTTTAATATGTCTGTCATTTAGTCGCATTGTGCTGCAAATGTGCTAAACATTTAAATTCGACTAGCAAAAGGGTAACAATATTCATAGCTTTTATTTAAATTTTGGCAACCACAGAGCATTTTAATTGAAAAAAATGTTTTTGGAAGACTGACTATTTCGCTCAAATACCCAACATTAATTTCGCATTAAAGCAACCTAATTCGCTTTTTTATTTGTTTCAGATCTAGGGCCCATCAGAATCCTGATGTCATAGTTCCTTCTCGGTGAAATCATGTTAGGGCCATCTTGTAAACGAAAATTAACTTTGGAAGCATTTAAGGTTACCCATGACAGACCTGTAGCCTTTATTGCTTCTCAGGTATTGATTACTTTTTTACAAACAAATTAAAAAATAACGGTAACAGTTTGGCAAGATCAGAATTTAAAACCAATGACACTATTAATAAAATTTTGATTTATTTGTCTGACTGCGTGTAATTGTTATTATATTTTGTCTTTCCTGGGTTTCAGCCAAAATGTGAAATAAAAATGTTCATATCGTTTACTTCACATAACGTTTCGGCGAGACAACAGCGCCAACACAAAAAAATGTGAGGTTTCAAGACAGTCAAGCCTAAAAAGGATCTAATGTTTCCCAATTATGGGTTTGTGTTGAATTTTAAACCCAGGAAAGAAAAAATAGAATAACTATTAATAAAAGTAATTACTTTTCTATTGCATTAAGACTAGAGTTTTGCAGAAAAACCAGTTCGTATTTTAGACACGTTTCATGCAAATAGCTGAGGTTTTGCATTAATTCTTGAACTTTTCAGTGGCAGTATGATAAATCCACAGCAAACATCAAATATTGCATCTACAGGGTGAGCACATGCATACTATTTTTCGTCGCATGGATTTTCACATACCTAAAAGAGCCAGCAGCAGGGAAACCAAGATGGCCAATTTACCTAACAAACTGGGGATTCACGCTCTGTATGTTGCAATCGTTTTTGAACAGTATAATGATAGTGGTAACGCTCATCGCTGAGAGATCAGCTGGAAAAAGCCAATGGAAGGAAAAAATATTGAAACTCTATCCCACTTACTGGGTAATTAATGTTATGGCAACCCCCGTTGCATTCACTATCAGTATTATATACTGGACTCTGATTTTTGGGGGTAAGTACAGTTTTTAGCGTTGCTACTTACAAAAAATTAGCCAGTTTCAAGATCCGTAAAAATTAGGCAATGTTTGAAACTGGTGAGATGGTGCACCCTTGAAGATGCAAGCCACTCGTGCTTGCGAAACGCCAGGAAAAAATATTTTCCACGGCGTCCTGTAATCCAGAAAACTCACCACTTTCTAACAATAGCCAACCCTATGCGCTTTTTTATAGACGTTTTCAAGAAATTCATTAATATGTTTTAAAATATGTCCTTATTAGATTGTTTTCGTGTTAATTAAAATTCCTTCAATCTGATTTTTAAGTGAATTTTGATGAATGCCAAAATATTAGTAAATTAAACTTTTAGCATCGTGTAGACTCAAAACTAAGCGTTTATTAGAGAAATACTTGCAAGATTTCTGGCCTTATTAGAGAAACACAACCCCTGCGGGAATATAGCGACTGACTAAACACCCTGCATATAAAAATAAGGAAACTTTCCACATCAGCAGAGCCTTAAAATGTTTCTATTTCTTCAATATACCAATCACCCTGTATACGATTTTTATTCCATTACTTCATTTTCTTAAACAACTGGAAAAACACAAAGCTGAAAAGCCAGCAGGAAGTTTTTTCTGTGCAATTCAAACACTTCATTATTATTTAAATTGCTCGATAGGCAGTTTTCAAACTAAAATTCAGTCGATTTAAGGGCTATTATTAAAGGATCAAATTTATTGATATACAATATGCAAATTCAAAAGTTCGAAACGTGAATGTCAGGCAACATAAAACGGAAATATAGATTCCACTTATTAATAAATAATGAGCGACTTTATTCGTTCGTTCATCTGAATATTTAATAAACTTCCTGTTCTGGCATTATACTAATTATAATTATATTTTCAACTAATGGCAGAACGTATCACTCGGTATCGATTGATGTTTGAGAGATATATTCCTTGAAACGATGTTGAATTTATTACACCTCAAAAATAAATCTATTAATATTAAACAGGACGATTACATTTATTAAGTGGTTGAACTGTAAAATATTTGGTATTATTTTAAAATAACTAATATTATATTAAGTTTTTTTCCATTTAAGACACTTATTGGTTAGTTTAAGTATGTTTAAAAACCGACGAATTTGTCTTACTTCTTCTTGTTCTTTCTTATTATTTAAGTGTATGAAATATTTTTGCCGAAACGAATCTGGCATGAGTAGTAGTACACATACACCAATATAATTATTATCTTTTTTTTTAGCTGAAGGTGCCTCATTTACCCCAATGAATTTTATTGTACATGGACTGAATTCTATAATAATGCTATTAGATGTATGCATTGTATCTTATCCAGTGAAAGTATTTCACTTTATCTATCCTCTGTTTTTGGCATTTTACTATACGATTTTCACGGTGAGCTTCTACTACGCTGGAGGAACGACTAAGTGAGTTTTAAACATTTTTTTCCAATAACCAACTAGCAGCCCATTACGTGATTTAATAGGCAATAGATAACAGTGTACTCGTCTTATGGCATTTCAATAATATAAATTACCGCATAGTGTAATTAAGTTGCATAATGCCCATTTCGCGGTTTTACGACGGTACTTGTTATACCGATGTTTAATTTGTATCCAATATAGATTCACAAGTACCATTTGAATATAATGAGCAGAATGGTAAAGAACTTTGCGATCTGCAAATAATTGCGTAATAAGTTGAGTCTCAGCTTTCACCAATTTTTTTCCGGTTCTAGGCAACGTTTACCAAACTTTGCATGTTTTAAAAAACAAATTTGTATTTTTTGTTTAGAACTGGTTCACGCTACATATACCCAATCCTTAAATGGGACCAACCAGGGCAAACAATGGGCGTTTGTGCCGGAGTGATGGTGCTCATGATCATTCTTCACATTGTCACATTCCTCGTCTACAAACTCCGCATCAAAATACACAACCGATTTTTCTTGCCGAAAATTGATCCACCTTTACCCGAAAAGGACCAAAATGCTGGACAACACGCATATGCTAATAAAGCTATGGCGAACGAATATGTTTAAAATCATCTTTGTGTGTTACACCGGGCTGTAATCAATATTTGACAAATTATTCCCTTCTAGCTATGTAATGTCACCTGAATTTCATCACTTTCGTTTCATTTACATCAACAGCATTCTTGCGATAAGGAAATTAATTGTTCCTAAGCCTTTTTCCTTCATAGTATTAGTAAGTCCTTTTTATATTAAATATGAGGGATTTTTTTCTGATACCCAAAATGTCGCTTAAAGTAGTCGTACTCCTAGACAAGAATAAAACTTTTTATACCAAACATTATAGAAATTTACAACGAACAATCTGTGTATCATTTATTATAAAATAGACAAACACCGATTTCCAGTTAAACGTTTTCGGGTATTGAAATGTGCAATAACAGTACAGGGCTTAAATCTGGCTGTGTCTAAAGAGACCCTCAACTGCAAAAGCTCATAAAATTTAAGTTAAAATTTCTTTTTCAGTTTTACCATCTCAGAAACTTCTGGTGAAAATGCAGTTAACAATTTCAAGCGCTTGTATTCTTACAAGAGGCTTACAGTTTTAAAAAAATTCCGGTCCGAGTATGTTTTTTTCTCTGATCGAATAAACACAATTTCCGGCCTGCTTCAGGGAGTTTCAAAGTTTTCATTCCAAATACTCAATATTACCAAAAAAAGCATCTATTTATTGTTTTTAATATGTGTTTGCGTTTGGAAAAATATTTTTTATTCAACAAAATGGGGTTCAATTGATACTTGGCCCCGTAAAAAAAAACCGTAAACAGCTCAAAATTGCATGCTTTGAAAACGCTTGTAAACGGCTGACTAATAATCGCGTTAAACATTTTGATCAAACAGACCAAACACTTTTTGGATATAAAAACCGATAAATATCGCCCCTAAAGAATATATTAAAATTTTCAAATTATGTGAATATTGACAGGCTAGACAATTAAATAAAATATCTTAAGAATCGATGAAAATTGCCTAGTAATCCTAATCACATTTTCGGTGAAGTATCTCAGAAACTATCTTTATCAGATTTTATAATCCATTCCTAACTTTTTAAATATTGGTTAAAACGATGCTTACGAGTTTTATTATGTTTTTTTTCATATAAGCTGGATTTCATGTTCCACTCAAGAACTCACTTGAAATTTTAAAAATCAGAATAACCTTTCTGAAGATCGAAGTTAACACTTTTTAAATTTATATTCAAACCCCTTTTTAACAGGAACATTTTTGCATTAGCATCGTTTTAACTCTAACGAACGCCAAGAAAATTGGATCATTTAAATCTCCCTCATTGTTGGATTTATTTGGAATGAGGACGCAAAATGACAAGAACCATTTTTTTTGATGATACTAAAAAATTGCAAGTTACGTAGTTGCAAGTAATACGATTAAGTTGCACTTCAACATCTAAAGGATCTGAAAACGTTTAAAAATCGTTATCAATAAAACAGTTAAAACTGTCGGTGAAGTCGTAAAAACCAATTTATACAGCGGGAAGATAAATATCTTCACTACCTAATAAAGCTGTATGGCATCGTCCCTTAACGCCCGCCTTAGGGGATTGCTTTGGTAAAAAAATAATACTGAGCAGGGCTTTGCCCCCGACAGCTTAAAAACACCAAGATCTTTAATAAAGATTAAACACCGCCTTTAAGTGAAAAAAAACTCGATGTGACGAAAGACAGGTTTAAAGTAAAATGCGATGTCTTTAAAGTATTTTGTCGTAGTTCCAATGGATTCAAATGATAGTATCGTCTTTTGCAAATGAACAGCGTCAAAAGTCTAATTGCATTAGGAAATTGAATGGAACACGATAAACCGCTTTTAGTGGTATGTAGTCTTCTGATATGGACACCAATATTGACTCTCTCTCTACTCCTAAATTTATTCTCTAAAGGCATTGTTTTATTATTCTTCCTGAAGTGTTTTGCGGATTCCGTAATAGGAATCCCATTACAATTCCCTGTTAACAGTACTAGCATTCTATGACCTCTAGCTAATAGCATTGGCTCAACGTTTTTGGTAGAATGTTCAGGGACACTGTTCAGTACTATTAGATCATAATATCGATGTGTGTCATTTTGTGATTTGTTCCATTGTCTAAGCCAGCAAACGATTTCAAAGTTAGTGGGTGTCTTACAAGAAATCAAAGCAGGTTATGGCGAACTTAAAAATCTAAGATAATTACCGCTATATTGTAGGCTTTTACCGATATATTATCGACAACCGTGACATAGTTATGTGACCTAAAGTAAAATTTAACGTTGGCAATTTTGAATATAGAAATTTGCCAATTATTTTCGTGCGTGGATAAGATTAATCCACGCTTTGTAGATGACTGTGAATAAGGATGACTTTGTCAATTAATTTTTAAGTGTTTCAAAACTGCTGAAAGCCATCGGTCATGAAAAGTTTCGATCATTCCCATCGGAAGATTCTCGTGAAATTTTCTTCAATTAAAATTTCCTGATTACCTCTACTTTACGACAAAAACAAATCTGAAGACATTGGGTCGTAAAAGAAACATCGCGACGATAATGATCAAACTCGATTCAAAGCCATTGTATCACCAGGATTAACGGTAATGTCGTGTTATTTGATTGTATGGAAGATAATTAGTCTTTCGATTTCTCGGGACCGAAATAATGGGCAAACGCGGTTGGGATAACTCATTAGAAAAACAGGAATTTCAGTGATGAACGAAATTTTTCAATTGAGACGCAACATTTATTTTCCGGCCAGAAGGCGTGTAAAGTAAGACTAAGAAATGTTTAAGAATGGGTTATTGATCTATTTTTATAATAAAAATACTCTATAGCAGAATGGTCTGAGTACTAGTGTTTAAATATTAATTTTACAAAATTTACACTAAATAACTCAAAGCCCAAACCGCATGTTTCCCATTTATGAGATTCCAGGATTTTTACGGAAGTGATAGATTTAGAGAACAAAAACACGAATCAAGTGAAATAATACATAAAAGCAACAAATAGACGCCAGAAGATTAACGGTAAATAAGCACAAAGTCCAACAAATTGAAAAACTAAATGTTTATTTATTTTAAGTAACACGAAACAGCCAATCTGGGGCAGACGTAAAATGACAACGGAAAGCAGATAGGAAACAGGTGCAGCCAACAGCACATGTTGAATTTTGAGTTAAAATGCATATGAAAAGGGAATTTTTCGTAATATTTTACTCAAACATGTAGACTATTAAAAGTAATTTAATTATTATTAACTCACAAAAGTGTTTCCTGTCTAAAAGTTCATAGAACTGTGAGTATTTGTTTAATTCTAAGTACGTTGCACGGTATTTTTTAAGAATATTTAAGACTGTCGGAAAGTGAAATTTCCTTACGCATTTTATTGCGAAACGCATACTTTTTCTATTTAGGAGGCAACATTAACATTTTTTAAATTCTTTATTTAAGTATTATTGTATGTGGTTTCAGTTAAAATCCAGATATCCATAAACCGCTAATTAAGTGTTTTTTAGTTAGAATATCTAGAGAGAAAATTTGGATATATCTGATTGCAGTTTTCAATAGTAAACTTAATTATAGTTTCAGAGGTGTCAAACTTCCAAGTTCGCAATTCGCTGAATAACAGCATGGTTACAGCATGATAAATATTAAATTTTTATTCAGACAGTCAAAGAAAAGCAAACATAAAGTTAGGAGAGTCACAACAAAGCCAGTTTCAGATTAATCCGTTGATTAAATTAGGCATTAACATTTTTTAAGTTCCCCATTTGACTATTATTGACTTGTAATTTTAGTTGAGCATAATCTAGATATAGACTTCTACGGCCAGATAATTCCGTGTTTGTTAATTAGAATATCTAGAAAGGCTATTTGGTTATATTTTAATTTTTCAATATTAAACTTGATTGTTGTTTCATCTGTGCTCAGGTGAAATGAAAGAGAAGCAAATAATTAGAAATATTTTGGTAAAACAGTTTTGCTAATTACAATTACAAAATAAATAAGAGTTGGATATAAAATGTAACTGTTTTTTCCATATCACCTCTTTATCCACATATTTTGGCATTTGATCCCAAACTTTCCATAAACAAAATGCTTTACTTATTTTCTGCTCTTCGAGCGAGGTAAGAAAAATGGGTGTTGTGAAAATTGAATTGAATCACAGTGATCGTGAAATTTGCGTTTTAGTTGGCCAAAACCCCAGGAATTTCAAACAATTTGAAATTATTGGCAATGGAATCTAGAAAATTTTCAAAGTATTGCAAGTGAAACATGTGATTTTCCACGCCTTTCAGTTGCCAATTTGCTCAAGTTTTGTAAAAATACGTTTAGAAAATTGTCTATTTACTTATAGTTAAGAAACATTTAAAAATAAATTATCAGTTACTAAGGTACGTTTGCGTCTTAATCATCCGTTGATATCTTGTAGTCGCTTTATTAGACGAATTGACTATGCTTCGAAACATCTAGGTATAAAAACTTGCTGTTGTTCAACGAAAAGTTTTGTTTTCGAAACTGTATGCCAGATTTTTCCCTATAAAGGGTAGATAACTATTACTTTTTTCGATAAACTTTAACTAAAAGCAAACAATTCTTTCATTCTGCTGGAAAATTAAGATGTTGAAAACGTAAAATGGTTGATGATTTTTTCTTGTTAATTAATAGAGCCCACCGCAAAGAATACACTGTATTTTAATCTAGATTATCATAGAGAGTAGTTCTTCTAGGGTATTGCGGTCGATGGTAAGCTTTCGAATACCGGAAACGGAAGAGTGATGGGAGAGCAAAAAGTCCTGTAGTAGATGAGCTGACAGGTTATTCATCTAAATATACAAGTCAATATATAACCATCCGGGAAAAGACGAGCTAAGCTAGCTGAGCGTCTATAAATTAACGGTGTTTTTTGCTTGAGAATATTACACTGGCTAGTGTAAATAGTACTAATTACGCTTATTTGCTGCAATCAACAAGAATACTACAGCACATAAGTTAAAAAAAGAAGTCGAAAATTTGCTGTTACTTTCGACCTTGCGTCACAAAGAGTCCAGATCATGCAGCAGGACAAGAAGGCAGTACCGCAGTACCAAAGCAGTAGGTAGTCTGCAATCACAGTTATTTGATAGCCATTGCGCGAAGTGCACAGCGCGTTGTGCTCTGCAGATCGTTCCTTCGTTCGATACACCAATTTGTAGTACTGCACTTCAGCAAAGGCCTTTGTTATTGAAATCGGCCATATCTGACCTATCTTGTCGGCAGGCAGAACATCCCAAAACCGCGGGGGACCGCCGGAAAAGTAAGATATTCACTACGTAATTTGTTGTTTTTTTATCGACCGGCACTTTTGTGTTTTGTGACATTGTTCTGTAGTTTTTATTGTTCCGCTTGCACCGATCATGCCGCTATAGAAATTGGTAAGTTCCATCTTTTAGCCTACAAACATGCCTCAGCACTGAGGAAATATAAGCAAATAGTGTCGGCTTTTACAAAATTATCTTCAGGTTTACTTGCGATTTGCTTTGCCGGGTTTGTGTGCTTAATTTTTGCAACTTTTCTTCATCCCGCAATATATTCCTCGCTGTCTACCATCTTCATCGAACTTTGCTACTTTGTTTTGGTAAAAGATACTTAAAGTCGGATTTATTTCGCTTATTGTTCAAACTAAAGCAAAAGCCGGGTCTATCGCTATATAAACTCAGTTGTGGGTTCCAGTGCAGCAAATTTTGCATCAAAATGCAGGCCAAGACGTTTGAATTTGTGCCACATTTTAACGTATTTGTCCCGAAAAGTAGAAGGCAAATGTACAATACATATTAACAAAAACTGGAAAAATGTTTTAAATCAGAGTAATAAAACATTTGGCGCACAAGCGTAATAAAAGAATGTGATGAAGATGTGTGATAGATAGGATCAGTTAATCTAGAGAAGCTTAAAAATACAAACCTTTCTTGAATTGCAGCTTTAAGTAGAATTCAATAAACTAGCATTCAGCCTCATGCTCCCTTCGATTTTCCAGATTAAATAAGCTTAGGTTTTTTTAAATAAAATTTGGTTGATTCAGAACAAATATAAAACATAAAGTATACATTTTTTAAATCAACTTCGACGTAACTAAGCGAAACAACTGGGTTAAGCCCCAAAACACGCATAGAAAAACATTGAATGTAGCTTTTTCGAAATCAAACTCGTTAAATGTAAAATTATTAGTTAAAAATTAATAACTGATCACTGAGGTGACGTGAAGCAAACCAAATCAATATAATTAATTTCTTCATGGAAAAATTCGCCAGTGCAGGCAAATGTTGCTCGTAACTCCTTCACTATAAAGTTACTTATTCTGTAATTTACGACTCGTGTTTATGAGTTCCTTTTCAATATAACTAAAAAAATCGTCCTCTCCAATACTTTACGGCAACAATTTAAAATGAATTTTCTTCGCGTTGAAACCGTTGTGCTTAAACAACAGAAAATTACTTTAATCAATTAAGACACAAAACGAGTTTTTATTTATTACGAAACAACGTTTTTAAAAATATTTTACGTCATTTTGTCATCGCTATGAATATTCTCGTTTCGTCATAAAAAGCCAAACAGCCAAATATGAAAGTAAATGTGGCTTCATTCGATTTTTTTTTGTAAAAACCCGCCATAAAGTCAGGTCCAGCTCGTAATGCAATCAGCTTGTGTTTTGCTAATTTAACTGAGTTAATTTAGTGGGGTTCTTGGAATTTTATTTTTAATGAACCCTCCGAATTTAATGAGCCTTATTTCCAATCGTTGCTGTTCGCTGAATTGTTAGTCACCATTATTTGGTGTTCATTTACTGCTGTCTTCTCTTCTGTGTTCTCATGAATATGCAATTGTATATATTTTCGTGTCAGTTGGTTTTGTCGCGAATTTACTGTAAAATCAATACTAGACTGTGCGTTGTCGTTTGCTAACTATTTAACATTATTAAAACGCCATTTAAATTAATGCAATATAGAGGGTGTCCCGTAAAAACATGCCCAAAGGGGCACTGCGACTTTCTCTGGCTCAAAAGAAGACCTAGGGTTTATGAACAAAAAATGTCTAGCTCCTCTGGCTATTGATATTCAAAGTTCTTATTTTTAAAAAAATCTAAAATATGGCGATAATTATACAATGGATTTTAATGAAACTTGCTGTGTATTTCTTCCTATGTATGACTCATGTTTTGATGAAGCAACCGACTTCATGCGCTTTAGACAAGGGGTGAATTCTTCAGTGTCTTGGTACAAAAACTACAAGAACTTGTGATTTGGTAGCTGAAATCATCTGATTTTTTCGAGTTGATGCACTAGTCCTTTTTGAACATTTTTGTGCTCTTTGTAAAATAAATCTTTAAAAAAAGTTTTTTAATTTACGACTGACCGACAATGTCAAAGCTTAGGCCCGGTTGTCTTTTCAACGCGTTTACATTCGAATCAGAAATCTCACCAAAACAGACGTTTTTAGCGAGTTTTTAGCAAAATATGGCCTTGACGTAGGAACAAATCCACATCAAGTTTCACTAAAATTCATCTGAGCGCTTTCGCGATATTACAAAAAACTTAACTGAAGTTTCGTTAATGTAAAATGTTAATAGACGTCTAAAATTGTCAGTTTGCAAGAGAGCAGAAATATTGTTTCGCGCCAAAACTATGAATACTAAAAGATTTTACAAAGAGGACGAAAATGCCGAAAGAGGATTAGCGCATCAACTTAAAAAAATCGCTTTGCTCAGCTTCCAAATAAAACGCTCTGGTAGTTTTTGTACCAAGACACTGAAATCCTGTCGCCTAAAGCGGATGAAGTCGGTTGCTTCGTCCAGACATAAGTTACATAGAAACACATTTTCAGCGAGTTTCATTAAATTCCATTGGTACCATTTCTCTCGATATTTCAAAAACAAACATTTTTTTGAAGAATTTTTACCATCAATAGCAGAGGAGCCACACATTTCTTCTTAACAAAACTTATTTTGAGCCAAAGAATTTTGCAGTGCTCGTTTCATCATGTTCCTTACGGGACACCCTGTATATATAATCGACGCGTGTCCATTTTAGCATTTTAAGAAATTGAAAAATTCTTTAACTTTCCAATATTGAATTGATGACATTACAAGCAATTATTTCTGCATTGGATCATTTCCATCTTTTGCGTTTTTGCCAAAGACAAAAATGGTGCATAACAGGCTCATTCTGATTGAAAAGACAAAGCAAACTATATTCTGTCATGGATAATAAATGCTTTAAAAGATATCTAAAATAACTGCAATATCTCAGGCTTGTAATCGCAATATTACCATACGTAACTGACGTATTACTTTTCTACAGACTTATTTAAATAGCTATAAGCTCATATATAGCGAGCTGGCTTTGATGCCTGAATGAGAAACTTATTGCCCATTAGACACATGACAATTAGTATAAATAAGACAGTTATATTTCCTGATGTCAAGTTTATAGTTTATATGAAATATCGAATAGTCATAAAAGTAGATGTTGGTGTTTTACAGCCAGACGAGGCGCCAAGGAACTTTGCACTATAAATTGTGATAAAAGGGCTGTTCTTGCATCTACTGTTTTATTCATTCATTAACATTGCTGGCAGAAAGCAACATTATTGCTAACCGATTCTATTTATAAAACGTGGCATCGGTGCATTGATTTGTAATCTGAAGAGTATCGTCGCATATCACATGGTCTTGGTTTTTCCAAACCTGGGTATACTTATGGTAGCATACATAGTACAATCCATATGCTCTTATAACTCTTTATAAGTCATTGAACAGTTGTTATTAGTTCTCGTGTACATGGCATTCTGAGTACGATGGTTATTCCAACAAGAAAGAGCAAACAAAAGGACTGTTAGGCCACATCATTGGAAACATTGTATTTCGAATGAAAGTTTAAATGGTTTTCTTGACGATTTTTCTCATTTCGATTCCTTGTTACAAACCAGTACAAATTGACAAATCCACACTTATTATTACGCAATTTGGTTTCGGAGTGTTGAGCGAGTCGAACCCAGTTGAAAGTGGGTGGAAAAGTAAAAAATCAAAGATATTCGCAGTCCTTTAAAAGAATATGGGAGCGGCAGATCTCACAAAGACAAACTTATAATGATAGCAACTAAAGAGGCTTCGAGATACTTTGACTAATCAAGTTTCCTTACTTAGGTCAGCGGGCAGGTTCATCCACTCCAGAAACCTGAAGACAAAGTAGCTGGTTATGCAAATATGTAATTTTTATTAGCGAGTGTCAAAATTATCGCAGTGGAAAATTCCAAGAGATGTCTTTGAATGGCAGAAATGTACGCCTTTGCTTGATTAGTGACTACTTACTAATCATGCAAATCTATGTGCTTACTCCATCTCACTTGCAAAGCATAAAATGCGCTGTAATCAAGAAGATTAAATTCCACTTCTTCAAAAAAATCAGGAAGGAATGCAAAAGTTGTTTACTTCAAATATCCGTTTAATTTACCAAGGGTATTATTAGAGGTGCATTAAACTAGCATGCCCTAATTAACGTTTTGCATATTTTGGCAACCAACTCTGAAGAAACGTTCTCGGATGCACCTCTTCGTGATCGAGGTCGGTGACTGCTACAGATGATGAATCCGTGCCACTGACACCTAATCCTTCGGCTATGTTGCCGAATATATATTGATTTACGTAAATATATACACACAAGAGTACATAATGTTGATGATATGACAATAATGAACCAATGAGTAGATCAAGAATCCTCCACTACCAAGCACTTCTGATGCCAGATACGAAAAAAAATTAACAACCGCATGCGCTTCCAAGTTTAATGACACCCTAATTGGATTTACTAAGTAATAAAATAATGAAACCAAGCGCAACTCTCAAAAGTCATCATTCTCAGCTCCGTGAAATAATGTTGCTTCTGTTGGCAATACAAACATTTCTTTCCAGATATAAAAGCAAATATATATTTTTCTTGCTTTTTTCGGTCCACGTTAGTTCTTCCTGCTTGGGTACTTGATGCTCTTCTTACTCACAATTTTTAATACCTTCAATCGTCACGTAATGCGTTCTATTCTTGATTACACAGTTTTTAGGTTTCTTAATGCTAGCAAGCTTATTTTATTAATTAACTTGTGCCCAGTATGTGTAAACACGTGTTGTACTGTTATATCAGAATATTATTAAAAAATTGGTTCCAAACTATTATAACCAAAAACATAGCAAAAATCATCTAAACATTGGGCGGCAAAAGCTTCGACTACAATATACAGGGTGTCAAATGTTTCTTTTCCGGTTTTTTCCTTCCACTGCTCTTAATTGACAATATACGGGATATTGTATTTAAAGCACATCAGATCTTTCAGTTTGATTCAGTTCATTCAAACGCAAATATTTTTAATGCCAAGTGCTAATATAGTTTAGATTGTTTCTGCTGCCAAATCCAAAGGTGTCTGAGAAATTCCGATTTATCAGTACCAAGAAAATTTGTAATTATATTTTCACCCCTAAAGCTGAAGCTAATTTTTTGGCTTATGTTTTAAGATAATTTAAAAATCAAGTAAAATATGGGATGTTTAGAAACAGCCTATACTGGGTGTCCCATGAGTAATGGCGCAAAATTTAACAACGGATTTAGGGGGACAAAATAATACGATTTAGCACAACTTATCTTAGAAGATAAGCCAAAAGCCGACGGCAACAGAAATACAGGGGGCCAAAGCTATTTTTTTAAATAGTCTTTTTCAAATACGTGCATTGACTTCAATACATTTATTTATTAAACGATTTTCTATTTTATGAAAATAGATGTATATTCCAAAATGCCTAATGTCTAATAATTCGCCTCGGATATTTATCGTTTGTTCATGCACAAAAATCGACAGGATTAAAATCCGGACTTCGTGCTGGCCATGGCGTTTGACTTCCCCAAGCCAACGATTCGGAAAATTTACACTTAAGTAATTTCTCATTTGCAGCTGATGAGCTGAAGCTTCATCCTGCATGAATATGTGTAGGGGTGTGTTAAAAAGTAAATCATTTTGCAGAAAATCGAAATACATATTTCCATTTAAATTGGATGGTAAATATGAAGACCAAGACAATCTATGTCATTAATGTGCCAAACTAATTGAAAAGCATCACAACATGCCAAGTTATTTTTTACGTACGTACCTATAAAATTAACTGTATCTTACCCGATACTTTAATTTCAAATATCTCGAGAACCGTTCGTGTTAGGGATAGAGACTAGGTATACGTTTTTTGTTTAGAAAATATTGGAAAATAAATATTCTAATCTCTGTCGTCAGTTGATAACTTTGACTGCCTGTGTTTCTGTTTTTGTTGACTTTTTCCTAAGGTAAGTGGTGCTAAATCGCATTATTTTCACCTCAGAAATTCGCCGTTAAATTTGATACCATTATTTATGGACACCCTGTATATTTTCCAATGTTTTTTTAATGCACATTACTACCTTTACTCTATGGCAGATCCATCCGAAATATTATTTTAAAAATTTGCTTAAAAAATTACCCAAAAAATGACTGAACAATTGTATTAAGTTCCTATGAAGCTTGTTAAAACCATCTTCAGTCGATATTCGCTTGCGATATGGAGATTAAAGCCCATGCTAGAACTTCTACAAAAGCAAAAGTAAAAACAATTTGTTGGAGTTATTGATGTTTTCACTCACAAATTTTATGTGGTTTTATTTTAACAAATAAAAAAAATGGTATGGTTAACTTCGGTTGTGTCACCCTCGACTTGGAGCACCTCCAAGTACCGAAGGCCGGTTTCGAACCTATCAGTTCCCGTCAAAACTCCCCGATTCGTGACTGCATCTCTCGTTATATAATAATCGTAGAAAAAATAAAATTGAACGATTTTTGCATTATCTTCCTTATCAATAAACGATCTTCTCGTTTAAATACGTACGAAAACCCGACGAGAAAGAGGATATATTGCGAAGATATCCAATTTCTTTAGCACTTTTTTCCCATATTATATGTAATAAAAACCGATACATTAAATACTGAACATAAAATAATCATGCGTGGTATGCACAGCATAAAAAGAACAGTAAAGCCAATGTAGTCAATAGAATGCTGTTTCTGATTGCATTCTCCATGGTGGCAAGCGCTGAACGCCCGCATAGTTGAATGAATTTGCTTGTAGGTATGGAATTATTTATGGAAAAGTGTCTTTTCCATAAATTTCTGTCTTTTCGGGTTTGTTTCATTTGCCCCAAATGAGGTTTGTGGGAAAGAAGACATTTGCCTAATTATTTACATAGAGCACAACATATGAGATAAAATATAAACTCCGTCAACAAACACATGCAATGAAAGTTTCAGAAGGGTTCTGGCTTCTGATTCCAGATATCCGCATTTATATATGATTAAATCAACTCACCGGTTGCAAAGTCCACAAAGCTGACTCATATATCTGAAACAAACAAGAAAATAAATGTTAGTTTGCAAATAACAACGTTTTCTAATTGGCAGGCCAACGCAAATTTGTAACGTTCTCATAAATCAGAGGTTCTTGTATGTTATCTAACAGCTAGACCAGTTTACCCTACTGACCTTATAAATACAACTACTGAGAAAGTAACGACACGTCATCTTTGATTTTTAAACGTTATGTACTTTCCATGTACAAATTGTAATGGGACCGCATGGCAACGCCGTTGATTCTTCATTGTCTCGCCTGCGAACTTTTTTGCTCATTAGTTCTCAGCAACGGACCAAAATAAATTAAAGTTTTTATTTCATTTTTGGACATATGGCGGAGGCGTATCAATTATAAAAACGTCATCACGCTCTCCCGAAACACAGGTGTTAATTTATAATAATTTAAGTGGAATTGGAATGTCGATAATGACATTTTAAACGCTAAATCGTGTCATGTTCACTGCAAAAAATTGCTTAATTGACCAGGCCGGCTTGAAGTTTCACCAAAAAAAAAATGAAACACACATCGATGCCAATAATACGTCTTCAATTTGCTTTCAGGTCAATCTGCTCAGCTAAAAGAAGTGTGTTAGAGGACTGTCAGGCGATGCAACCCCTTCTGAGGGCTGACCTAGCCCTATCTGCGCCGCTTTGATGCGCAGCGCATGTGTAAGCCGCGATCTTGTCTCGCGGCGCATCCTCGAGCCCGCTGGCGGCTCAGATGAAGACCAGGGTGCTGCGCAAACGAGCCCCGCCACTGCCGCGCAGGACCGGACCGGCATGATGGTTTACCCGGATGAGCAATGGGCTTGTTCCACTACTGCGCCTATGCTGCAGTTGTATGACGATGTCGGCTACAGAGGTATTTTTTTGTTTTTCCAACCCAAAATCTAATTTATTATACCATGTTCGGTTAGACAGCCGCTAAAAGCAATAGTTTTGAACGTTCTTTGCAAACTTTGCCTTTTCTGCTTCAGCCGAAAAAATTTTCCTTGTTGAGAATGCAATTCAATTGACACAAATCAGTTACACGATACAGTAGCTACAGAAAATCAAATTTTTGCATCCCATTGTTCCATCCATCCATTGATTTGGCCTGAAAATGCAAAACAACGGAATGTTGAGAAAATGATAGAAGAATCTCGGAGAAAAATTAAATGGCAAATATATTTTTCTATATACGCGAAAAACTGTCTCTGTCGAATTCCGGGCTTTAAAAACAATTGTACATACTTTCCTGACTGTGTTTCAATTCCAAATAAAAATTAATTCCTGGGTTTGAGTCATTTATTGTCTCTATTTATCAATTAAAATACGTTTCGGTGTTTTCCACCATCATCAGTTTTTATGTGTAGCGTTGTTGCGACGTTAAGCCTTGGAATATATAGAAAATATATGCCATAATTTTGATTTGGAATTTAAAAACAATCTAGAGGGTTGGCAAACAAGCTATTTTTCTAGCAGTACTGAAATATTTTTATAAGCAATTAAGCCTGTTAAGAAGAAGGATGATATTCAATAGAAGAAATCCGGAATTTTTAATCCCGCTTGGTGGCACTAAAATGTACCATGTTTGTTCTGGCAGTTTGTAAAATTTACTGCGAAAACTATTCAAAAAGCTTGAGGCAAGTTGCCGCTAGCAACAGTGCGTTAAGGTGTGTAGATGAATGGATTGGTGCCCACAGAAGAATAACTTCGACCGTCCGATCACCAGATCTTACTCCACTGGACTTTTTTCAGGTCGGTTATTTTATACAAAGGAGCAGTTTGATCATACTTTTCATACGATAACTTCAAAGTGTTTTTAAATTGTTCTGAGGCTGTATTTCGTTTAAGGTTGAAAGGCGCGCATTTGACCTGGAGGAAAATATGCTTTTTTAGTTCAATCCGATGAATGAAAATGTGTATGCTGCTGTTGCGTTTTTCAAGTATAAATTAGCTCTGGACTATCCATCTATAAAAACATATTTCGAACAAAACTCTAATTCTGATTCCCACAAGAGTTTTTCAGGTGTAACCTTTACGAATTCCTTCATGTTTTTTCCCACAGTGTCAATTAACCCTACCGAGTGGGAACCTTATTTATCTTTTCACTTATCAGTCTGGCATTTCATTATGAACTAAATTTTAATTTTTACCGCAAGCAGTCATGAACAACCGATTATTAGCAGCTCACTTAAATTGAAATCCTAAAAAGCTCATCCGCGAGCTTTTCGGAACTTTATCTCAGGTCGAGGTACTTATTGAGGTGCCGTGTAGGCAATTCGATGGTTGAAAGGAATTTTGAACGCAATATGATAGTTTTTTGAGAGGTCAGAGGACAGTCATGACATAGACCTGGCAACATAGGCTCGTCATCAGTTGTTTCTTTGTATCCGCATCCGCAGAAAGACAATGAACGGGTTCCGAGTGATTTTTTGGGGCCTCGCGTATAGGAAATCGGCCTTCGGTCCCGGGAGCCGGTTACAGAACCATCGTGCCGTGTAATTTGGTGAGACCGATAACCGGGTACCACTGACCACTGCCAGTCAACCGTTTGATAGCCTAGCAGACAATATGATACAGAAAATTACGTATCGGATGCTTAATCGTGTATAATGGTGCCTGATGACTTTAGTGCATAAATATCTTGACAGTACCTTTTGCGATCGTTATCTGCATATAAGCCACAACGGGTTTATGACGATTTCTCTTTTTTTGTCTAGCAATCACTTCATCGAAGATATTATCAAACTTAGCTACTGTTGGAATTGTTAGAAAACGATCCAACGTCCAATAACGTGAAATTTTTGATAAAGCTGAAATTCTGTCGCAGTTCGAGGTGTTGCTTAAGACAAAAATCAAAACCGGTTCAAACCTTCTGCTCGATCAATTTTTCCACAATAAAAATCGAATTAAAACAAGGGCAAAATAGTCGGTTTCTCATGAAGCATTGACATTCTGCTGATTCGATCCACTGTATAAGTGAGTGCAATGTCAGAAATATTTTTTTTTCCTTAGGGGTATAAATAACATGCCCCGGTGAGGAACTTTCGTAAGCGCCATGTAATTCTCTCGTATGAATCTATACGTGGATATTGATGGAACCAGATGGTCAAGAACAGCATGCAGCTTCCACGTTGCATTTAATGCGAAATAGGTTTGAAACTGGTTATTACTAATAAAAATTGGAAAAAGGACCAAAAAAATTAGTAAGCACTTCAAAACTATTGTTTGTGCTATCCTGCAAATTATGGTATGGACGAGAAGCTGCCATGCTCAACCCTACGTTTGTTATGTCACTCTACCGGGAGGCTCATGTTTTGGAAGTTTTCAGGTAAAAGACATTCCAAACCAGATTTATTAGGTTTTATCAAGCAAAAAAATCAGCAGTTTATTTTCTTAAAGAGCTATTTGTAGCTAGAAATGTGTTTTTAAAGCTCAAATTTTATTTCTACACACAGTATCATTAAAAACAGCTTTTATTAAGGCTGTATTTTTTTAGTTAAATTGACGGAGAAAATAAAATAGAGCACTCTGCCTGATTGTCAAATTTAATCGGCCCCAGGCAACCAAACAACGTAAATTAAACGTGAAATAACCGAGATAAAAGTCACCACTGAGGTCCCAAAATCACGTCTTTATAACGTCTGAAACATGAGTTTGTCTCATACTTGCGACGTGAGCTAAATGGCTAAAAATACGTAATATCAATATTATTTTGACGTAAAAGCTGGCAAAAACGAGCCCCAAGAAAGAGCACACGAGTTTTGTTATTAATTGCTAATATTCAGCTATTTTTCAATCGAACTAGGTTATTCCTTTTTTACTGCGTTTGAGGCTTGGAATTTGAGATAAGACCTTCTTGCTCAAAGACAGCTTTCGATATGAACCGTCGAAAAGGTCCTAAGGATTGATTGGATATTTCTCCCGTTTGTGAGGTGGGGTGTTAAGCTCTCAGAGCTCCATAAATGAGGACATTTTTGCTTCTGTCTCTTTGAAAGTTGGCAATTCCTGATAAAACCTATTTGGTGAAAGACGGATTATGAGATGGGCTATCGAAAAGGTTATTATGACTTCCGATATTTTCACCCGTTTCGGAGACATAATGTTTTTAAACTTTCTGACGCCTGAAAGTGGGCGAAGCTCTAGTCCCGTCTTTGTTCATCAAGAAATTTGTTCCAAACAATTCTGTCGCAGTTCGAGGTGTTGCTTAAGACAAAAATCAAAACCGGTTCAAACCTTCTGCTCGATCAATTTTTCCACAATAAAAATCGAATTAAAACAAGGGCAAAATAGTCGGTTTCGCATGAAGCATTGACATGGCTGATTCGATCCACTGTATAAGTGAGTGCAATGTCAGAAATTATTTTTTTCCTTAGGGGTATAAATAAAATGCCCTGGTAAAGAACTTTCGTAAGCGCCATGTAATTCTCTCGTATGAATCTATACGTGGATATTGATGGAACCAGATGGTCAAGAACAGCATGCACCAGCTTAGACGTTGCATTTAATGCGAAATAGGTTGGAAACTGGTTATTATTAACAAAAATTGGAATAAGGACCAAAAAAGTTAGTAAGCACTGCAAACCATTGTTTGTGCTATCCTGCAAATTATGGCATGGACGAGAAGGATAGAGATGGTTCAAAACTGGACGAATTGAATATAATCCAATATTTGCCAAAACGACTCAAGGAGCGACCTTGCGCATTATCCAAGGGTTAATTCGTAACCAAATTAGTCCAACAATTAGATTTGTTCAATTCGACTATTTCACAAATGTATACAGAAAAGACCCCATAATAAAATAAACTATCAACCATGCTTGGAAATCGAGTGAGTCAACGGTACAAAAATATACCTTCTGGAAAGAATGCCATCAGTCAACAAGAAGAAAAATTAGGTCTAGCTATTGCCTCAAGAAAACTGACAAATCATTCCCTGCGAACAACAGCCGTTTCTAAATTGGCTAAGAAACGGGTTGGAGAACAGCAGTCAATAAAAAGTACTGGACATTCGAGCACCAAATCTACAAATGGATGATGAACACCACCTAGAAATAATTGCATAAATGAGAATCAATGATGCTGATGTCCAGCCTAGTACGTCCAAAACAGCAGTTTCTTGAGTTTTTATTTGCTGCAGTTCTTTTATGACGATAATGTTGTTTAACTTCAATAATTATATTTAACAAAACTGAATTGAGATTTGCTCTGTTTGCTCGGGAAATTTGCAACAAAAGTGCCCTCGTGCATCACAATAAACAGATAATCTAGCACTCAAACTTGTTGCCTTTTTTCAACATGATTTGATACAAAATTTTCGGTGATTTTAATGCAATTACCCGCGATAACTTCGTCACAATAAAAACTAAATAAAAACAAAGGCAAAAAAGTCGGTTTCTCATAAAGCATTTCAGCACAGACACAGTATTGATCTAAACCACTGGATATGTGAATGCAATGTCAGAAATTCCTTTTTTTGCTTTTCATTTTACAATTTAAGCATGTACAAGAGCTGCAGCCGCATAGGCGTAACAGATTTATACCATTTCATTCGCAGGAATTACATGACACGCTACGAAATGGAAATGCTATCGTTTGAACATGGCAAAAAATTGAAAAACATGACTGAATTATACCATTTAATAAAACGACAATTATTATATATCAGTAGCGGGCCAAAAAAATCAAGGGTACAAATTTACTCTGGCAATTTTCTTCATCATGCGTGTAGTTTCACAAAAATCCTTAAAAGTTGGAATATTATATATACGCAGCAAATAATTTTTTAAAGACATGTTCCACGTAAAAGCTTCTGGTTATGTCACATGTAAGTACACCCAGACTAGTTTTAAACTTATTAGTTCCCAGCTTCAGGCATTTATAACACAATTTTCAAACACAAAATGATCATTGTCTCGTTAGTAAATTTTATTGCTAAATCAGAACTATCAAAATATTACATCGCAGTAAATATTATAACATTAGATATAAGTCAAAGTAACGTTTTTTTTCTCAAAGGCAACCCGTGGTTAAACGGCCGTTCCACTTAGTTGTCTATTGCTTGTTTTACAGCCATAAGTATCTTTATTGTGAGCTTAATTATGTTATATAAACACCATTAAACGTTTTATATCTAACAGGAAAGCGTTTTCTCGCTACAGCCCAGGTTAATTTCGAATAAAAGATAATGTAATTATACAATACGGTACAAAACCGATGCTAATTACTATAGAATTGTTTATAGTTTGGATAAATATGTTTTCTATTGTGGAAATTGAATTTTATTTGTTTGGCGGAAGTTTTATTCAAATATGCGTATTATAAATAAATACTAAGTCATTGGCGAACTTGCACCATGTTATTGGAGGCCAGTACTTTATAATTTATTCAACCGTGAGTCACATGTTTTGTCTTCTTAGGTCATACCGATATTATTGCGGGTATATGGAAAGAACCAATCTAAGAATAGACAAGAATTTTAACAGTCTTGTGTCGAGGAATTTTTTATTGTTTTTGTTCATGATAAAATTATGGTACGTGCCAGGATGTGATTATTACAACTCATAAAAATAACTTTTATTTCAAATCACTCAACTAATCCCGGCTATATATTGTCTGAACAATTGCATTATTTCAGATGCATTTATAAAACGCGCAATAGATCTCGACATCGAATGAGGAATAAGCGAAATTAAATCTGAATTGATGAGAACTTCAGGCAAATAAGCTACTTTGTCTCATACTGAATGTTTAAAATAAATTGTATCTGCTGAATATTGCAGGCATTTTAACTAAATTGCAATAACAGTTGGCTAAATATTCTCGATAATAAATCATGTTGCGCGATTGGAGCGATTTGAGTATCACGAAATTTATATTCGTAAACGAAGTTTGGAAATAATTTTAAATAGAAAAATACGGCGATGAGACTTTTTAAATACCGAAGAGAGAGAAAGAGTTACAAGGTAATTACAATCCGCAAAGAGATCAATGAGCCTCTAATAATTGAAACTCTCTTGAGTCCACAAACTGCATTGTAGACACTTAATATCTCGAAAACTCATGGATTGAGGCTTATTGAACTGTTAAACTCTTGAAAACCGTTTTTGCCTCATTAATACATGCATGATTTTTGCATGTTGTGTGTGTACGTGTACCATGTTAAAGTCTTGCTAGTTTTCTAGCAAGACTTTAACATTATTCTATTCTAAGCACATCTATTCTAAGCACATTATTCACCCTGCATAAGCTGAAAATTTTACAACTTTATTTGCTAAAAAAGTTGAAATCTAGATGAATTGTTCTAAAAATCTTAAGCGTGGGAAAATCGGTGCTAATGACCTAATTTCGGCCATGGCGAGTTAGAAAAAAAATTGCATGCATTAACCGTACAAAGGCCCGTCCTGAACATTTAATGGATCAAGTCAACAGCCGAAACCAAAATTTATTCTGAGTCTGAGTGCTCAACTTTTTGCCGTCTGGCTATGCTGCGAACATTCGGACTGCTGCCGAACTGTATAAACTAAGCTGTTGCCATATTTGATACTTTATTTGCAAACAATTATTTATTTTTATTTATTTTCTCCCTGAAAAATTGGCCCTATAGAGAGGGCGAAGGCTTATTTGTCGAACAATCAGGCTCCACCTGAAGGTGTAAACAGGATGGGCTAGTTACCGCCAATTAAAATTGATAAAAGCACGGTGGTTGAAAAGTGTATTAAAACAATCCTATCAGCTCCTGTTAGAAAACAAAAATGAATTGAAACATCATTTCAATTCGCGTTTATCGAAATGATAAGATAAACAGGTAGAAAAATCACTTTTGCAAAACGATTTTCTTGATAGTTATTTCAAAAGAGAAGCGCAATACTAAAAAATGCCTTATGCGTTTTTATCTTTCCTCACTGCAATTACTCGAAAGTGCAATGTGAAATTATTAAACTTGGTGCCCTGAAAAATTCACTCAATTCAAGCGATTACAAACGCTTGAAATTCCGAGAATTCATTCAGTATGAATGGATTAAGTAATTAATAACCGAATATAGAAACAATGAAAATTATAGTAGTATAGAAATACACTTTAGTTTCTTTAATAATGTAGTGTTTGGTAATTTTTTTACAGTAAACGTGGTCGAAGCATTGCAAGAATTTTGGCAAATGAAGCAGGCCCGAGGAGCGGATCTTCGAAATGGGGCCTTAGTAATCTACGAATCAGTACCTTCCAATGCTCAACCCTACGTTTGTTATGTCACTCTACCGGGAGGCTCATGTTTTGGAAGCTTTCAGGTAAAAAACATTCCAAACAAGATTTCTTAGGTTTTATCAAGCAAAAAAATCAGAAGTTTATTTTCTTAAAGAGCTACTTGTAGGAAGAAATGTGTTTTTCATGCTCAAGTTTTATTTCTACACACAGTATCATTAAAAAAAGTTAAATTGACGGAGAAAATAAAATAGAGCACCCTGTCTGACTGCCAAACTTAACGACCCCAAGCTACCAAACAACGTGAAATAAGCGAGATAAAAGTTACCACTGACGTTCCAAAAAGTTGGGAAAATCACGTCTTTATGACTGAATCATGAATTTGTCTCATATTTGCGACGTGAGCTAAATGACTAAAAATACTTAATATCAATATTATTTTGACGTAAAAGCTGGCAAAAACGAGCCCAAGAAAGAGCACACGAGTTTTGTTATTAATTGCTAATGTTCGGCTATTTTTCAATCGAACTAGGTTATTCCTTTTTTACTGCGTTTGAGGCTTGGAATTTGTGATAAAACCTTCTTGCTCAAAGGCAGCTTTCGATATGAACTGTCGAAAAGGTCCTATCGATTGATTGCATATTTCTCCCGTTTGTGAGGTGGGGTGTTAAGCTATCAGGGCTCCTTAAATGAGGACATTTTTGCTTATGTCTCTTTGAAAGTTGGCAATTCCTGATAAAACCTATTTGGTGAAAGAAGGATTTTGAGATGGGCTATCGAAAAGGTTATTATGACTGTTCCGATATTTTCACTCGTTTCGGAGACATAATGTTTTTAAACTTTCTGACGCCTGAAAGTGGGCGAAGCTCTAGTCCCATCTTTGTTCATCAAGAAATTTGTTCCAAATGATTCAGAAAGAAAATGTCAAGAATGCATAAAACTTCAGTTGCGTTTCGAAAAATTAATCTCAGTTCCAACTAAAGAATTTATAGACCATCTTTCTGTAAGCTGGCGCCCCATCCTCCATTTTCTACCCATTAATCCCCAAAAAAGTCACACGGCACTTAAGCATAAATTGGTACTTTTATCCTGTTTATGAACAAAGACCGACAACCGATTTCGTCCGTTGCCCAAAATAGACTAAACTAGATGTTCAGCTTTAAGAAAAAACTCATGCGATATTAAGATGTTTATCACATTAAGAACACACCGAGCTACTTACATAATAATATAATCGTTTGTTTGCTGGCCCTTCGGATGACTCATTGCTTAGATTTGCAGTTCGATTTCCGTTTTTTTCTTATTGACAATTTTCCAGAAATTTCCGATTTACGATTCAACTGGTTTGGATATTTAGCGTAAACAAAGTTGCTTTCTCGGCCAAAGATACACAAACAAACATTGACGTTCATGCGGCGACTTTTGTATGATAAATTAAATATTCGCTCTCCGATCAATCTTTTGCTCAATTTTCATGAAACTTGAAAATCTTTTTAGATTAATCTGCTGTCAATTATTAGCAGATCCTAACTAACCGTGCCATGATTTGTGGATTCACTTTAATTGCACGACTAAGAGCGACGGGACTTTTGCTCCATTTTTATGAAACTGACTTTGTACATCTTGATATGTTGTGCAAAAAATACCTAAATGTCAGACTTACATTCAAGTCAGACCAGGATTTATGAATGTTTTCCTCTATTCGTATTATTGAAAGCGACGGAATACTTAATTTGATTTTCACACGAGCTCTCACATCTATCTTTTGCTAGATTTTTAAAAACGCTTTCAAACAGCATTCTAGTACTGGATTTGTTAAACTGATTGATGACTGAAGAAGTTTACTTTTATTCAAAACTGGAAATTTTTCACTAATGATGGTTCATATCAAAAAAGGCGAGGTTTAAAGCTCTATTCCTAGATGACGACTAGAGCTTGATTGTTTAGCTGGTTCTCTAAGAATAGACCAAAAACTAACAGTGTTTTTGAAAACCCGCAGTAATTTCGGATTATTGCTCTTTGCGTGACAACTAAAACATAACTATCGCCAATAAACCTTCCCCAAAAATAAAGGACCTTTGAGCAATAAAACTTTGATTTAAATAATAATGCACCTAATCAAATTAAGTACGAATGATGATTTTAATTTGAAATGCAATAAACTAGAAATTTGTTGGTGTCAAGGTATTTATTCTGGGTAAATTACTTGCAGAACTGTCCAACCAAAGCTGAGGCAAGACGAAGTGCAGCCAAAATAGCTCTAATGAATTCTGTATTTAATGAGCACCCTTCACGACGTATTTCGGATGATTTTATTGAAAAGGCTGTAACAGAAGCCCGAACTAATTTCAAAGGAGAACCAGAAGAAGCTGATAACCCAAATACTGGGATAGGAGCGTTTAGATTTATGTTAGAGTCAAATAAGGGCCGAACGATGCTAGAGTTTCAGGAATTAATGACGGTAATTTGCCAATCAATTATACTTCCCCTGGATATGTTTGAATAATGTTTTTATTAGGTGTTCCAGTTGCTTCATTGGAATGGAAGCCTGAAAGCAATGCGCGAAAGACAATGTAGTAGACAAGAAGTGGTGGCGCACTATTCGAATAGGGCACTGGATGACGACATGCGCTCTCAAATGGCATTGGACTGGATAGCTAGAGAACAGGAGAATCCAGGATCGCTTAGGAAAGAGCTCAATCAGGCTGAAAGGGAATTAGAATCTGCAAGATTGGCCGGCAGAGAATTGCGCTTTCCAAAAGAGAAAAAGGACATCCTGATTCTTGCACACAGTCAAATTAATGTGAACTGAAGAACAATTTTACAGGCTTTCCCGAATATTTATTTGTTCACTTTTTACCTTTCGGATTAATTTTTTTTTTTTTATATTTATATCAGTTCAAAAAATTGATAGATTTTTCCAAAGAACTCTAAATGTCCCTGGCCAGTGTGGAAGTTGTGGTTATTCTGAATTATATTTTAAGATGCTTTCACTGAAACAATGCGAATAGTATTTAGCTTGTAAGTGGGTTCACCATACGAAAAATTCAACTGTCAGTACATAATAATCTCCAAAGTCGTTAAATCAAAAAGTAGAATGAGAAAAGAGCACTTTGAAAAAAATTAAATCATCCAATTATTTAACATTGAGCTGTATAATGTCATCTATAGTTTATGCGAGAAAAGATAAACTATACACTTTGCCATTTAAAAGCATTTTCTTTGTGATTTTAAGTTTATTATTTTTTGTATATTTAACCGCCCCTGTATAGTGAAATATCTTGAGACTGTTGTTATACTTGTCTTAGAAGTAAATTATTTAATAGTATAATAGTAAGGATATGTTAATACGTTTGTACATGTGAGTAATACTGTCATATCCTCAAAGGAAACTGTCCACAGATCTCCTATAAAGTTCTCATTTTAACATGGTAATAAAAAAAGCTTTATTCCTCATCCATGATAAATAATATTCGAAAATTCCCTTACTCGTTCAAACATGAGGAATATTGTTTTACGTATGTGTCATTTTCAAGTGTAATATTATAAGCGGTTGCATTTAATACTTTTTGCGTAGACTATAACTCTTAACTCTTCGATTAATATAATGCTATTGCTGATAAATATCGCTGCATATAGTATGTTTTGTTATATTTCCAAATATACAATTGATAACAAATTGTTTTTTTTTCGTTATAAAGTTTGCGAACGTACCTGATGAGCGGTATTTTACCAAAATCTCTCTCTTGAATTGTTCTTTTATCTTTATGTTTTTAAACCTAACATTATTCACATTTTTAATCGTTGGTTTTTATTATTCGGCCTTAAATTTATATTTGAAACTAATGGTGCTTGTTACCTGTATCCGAAAACCAGTTTTCATTTACTTTGTAGTAGGTACACTATAAATTATGCACAATTCGCGAACGAATTAACACTAATTAACGCATGAAATTAGCAAAAAACCGGGACGTTCCACGAAAATTTCGAAATGTCAAAAATTGGCAAGTCTACTGTCAAAGAGCACGAAACGTATGAGTGGAACCGTCTTATATATAGGGTGCACCAAAAAAAACGAAAACTAGGAAATGTTTTGTCATATTTACAAATATATAATTGATAACAAACTGTTTTTTTGTTATAAAGTTTGCGAACATACCTGATGAGCGGCATTTCACCGAAATCTCTCTTGCATGGTTCTTGTATCTTTATATTATTAACTCTAAAAGTTTTCACATGTCCGTTCGTTGGCTTCAATTATTCGGTCTTAAATTTATATTTGATACTAATGGTGCTTATTACCTGTATCCAAATACTAATTTTTCATTTACTTTGTTACTATAAATTATGCACAATTCGCGGATGAATTAACGCATCAAATTAGCAAAAAACCAGGACTTTCCACGAAAATTGCGAAATGTCAAAAACTGGCACATCTACTGTCAAATAGTATACATGTACATATACAACTACTCATACAAAACGTATGAGTAGAACCGTATTATACAGGGTGCGCCAACTAAAAGGCCACAGAGCTGTTCCCTCAGTTGATTCAAAAGTGCCACCCCTAAAATGTTAAATGGGAACGGTGGTCGAGTGATACAACAAATTAAAAGTTTTCTAGACGACTTTCTGGTTTTTTATGAACTTAAAAAAATTGCTACTTTGAAGCAGCCGCTGAGAGCTTTTCCTGTCGTGTATTAACCAAAGAAATAGTGCAAGTAGAATTTGGATTTCACTTTTTTAGTGAAATCAACTCTATAATTCATCCAACAAAAACTTCTACGCGTTTTTAAATTTAGCGCCTTTACCTTAGCGCCCGAACTATTTGATCATATACTCGGCTATTTTCGCCATACTTGCCAAATTGGAAGGCGCTGTTTCAGGTTATGTGTTTAGACGTTTTCAGAGTTTAAAAAATTACTATGTTGTTTACACTTTTTCATTGATATTTATGTTTGAAGCCGCTGCATTTACACTAAGTACTTAAAAAATTTTCATTCACAAGCATATTCGGTATCCACGGAAATTTCGTTGTCAAGCATCTAGCAACACTGTTCACTTTGTTGGCAGAGCAGTAGGAGGAAAATATAAAATATCCATGTAACTAAACAAGAAATTTAGTGCCGTTCACCGCTTCACAGTTCGTATTCTAACCGCGAGATATTCACAAAACTCTAATTAATTAACATTTCTCTCATATATCAGCATTCACACAAAGCACTTTACCTAGAGCCTTTTTGAAGATTATTATAGCGCAGATCAAAGATCGGAAAATAAAATCCCACTGTGTAGTTAGTGAAGTTTTTGTGTATTATAATGTAAAGAAGTGAAGCAACTAAATGCAGAACAACCCTGTAATGGATACACAAATAGCTCCAAGCGACAATAACAAGAGTTATTTCCTTCCAAAATTAAATGGGCCTTCGAACTCTTCCAGTGTAGTTCAAGACAACAGTAGCGATGTGGAAGGAAAAGTTAAAACGCGAATTTTATCAATGTGGAATAACATGAAATTTGGTAAGTTGCCTATTTTCCTTTTGGACTATTTTACGCCAAATCATAGAACTGAACTCAGTAGGAATGAAGTTAAAACCTAACTTCGCCAAGGAGTCTCCAGTGTGGCTTTTAGGAATGTGCTACAGAAAATTAGAGCCTCCTAATGAATCCACAGAGCTAGGAACAGACGTAGCAGCTTTCCAAAGTCAAAGTGATGTGAGTCTTTTTAGATAAAGTGCCCCTATTCAAAAGAACTCTCTGAAAAACTCTTACAAAAAATTCCAGATTTCATGCAGTGACGAAGAAGGCCTTGAGGGCTTCAAAAAAGATTTTATTAGTAAATTATGGTTAACTTATCGAAGAGAATTTCCAATTCTAAATGGTTCAACGTACAGTAGTGATTGTGGATGGGGATGCATGATTAGAAGTGGCCAAATGCTTATAGGCCAAGCCTTAGTTTTTCATTTCCTAGGAAGAGGTTCATAAACCAGCCCATGTTCTTGTATAATAACTGACTTGGAACCCTATTTTAGACTGGAGGTACGCTCCAGAACAAAAGGAAACTACAGTCTATCACCGGAAAATTATTAAATGGTTTGGGGATAAACCCTCAAGAAACAGCCCTTTATCCTTACATAGCTTAGTCAGGATAGGCAAAGGACTTGGCAAGAAACCAGGCGATTGGTATGGGCCAGGACTGGTGGCCCATTTATTTCGGCAGGCATTTAAAGATGCCTCAAAAGACAATTTTGAGTTTGACACTGTTAATGTTTATGTGGCTCAAAACTGTACAGGTTTGTCCAATCCATTTGACTTTGTATCTGGTAGAAGGCTAAGTTCATGAATTATTTGCAGTGTATATCAGAGACATATTTGCTGAATGTATTGACCAAGCAACTAATAAATGGAAATCGCTTGTTTTGCTCATCCCAGTAAGACTGGGAGCGGAAAAATTCAATTCCATTTATTCCCCCTGTTTAACGACACTATTCAGTATCAAAGAATGTATTGGTATTATTGGTGGCCGACCTAAACATTCTCTGTACTTTGTTGGATATCAAGGTGCGTATTTTTAGACTCACATTTTCCGAGCAACAGTACTAGAAATATGATTGTCGCTTTGTTTTATTACACATTTGTTATTGGTTTCATGTTTTATAGCCGCAGATTGCTTTTATCATGTTGGCTCACTTCCCACTCACGCACTAACAGGTGGTAATGAGATAAAATAATGAATAGAACCAACGCTATTTTTTATGGAAAGTAAAACAGGAAAATCCCAGTTAATAGCCTTTGATTAACATTGAAATTACCTTTGTTCAATTTTTTACCGCTTTTCATATTTCTCATTTCTGTTAAGCAACGATTTCTTTTCACTACAAGGTGAAACATTTCATTTGACCCCGCATTTAGAAGTTCAAAGATCAGGCTAATTGTTTCCAATTTAATTAGTATTCAAGAACCTTAGAATTAATTGTTTCCAATTTAATTGTAAACAAGAACATTAGATCTAATAATTTGCGCGAATTCTATGCAGCATTAAATGAATCCAAATGGGTCGTTTGGATCATAACAGAGAAAACTTATTATTTATATAAATTTATTATTTATATAAATAAATAATAAATAGGATCAGAACTTCGCTAATCTGGTTAAATATGAACATCTACAAGGTTATACAATAATACAGCATCTAAGTCGCACTTGTTTTATTTGTTTATTGCTATGTAGGCATTGTCATCATTCATCCGAAATTCAAAACAAGCCCTGTCGAAGGCCAGAAAATCCACAGGATGTTCTTTAATTGTAAGAGAATATTTTAGAATGTGATGCTAGATGGAAAATGAATTGAATTTATGAACGAGAATAGTTTTTTTTCCATGAACTTGTTTTCTTATTCCCCATTTAATTTCAAAGATAAAAGATTAAAAACATAAATGCCGGTCTATTGTTCGAGAGAAAAAATCTAGGTATATTTATAGTTGCTTAAATTCATTTGAGCAAAAACCATTGCCGCATCATGTATGGCTTTAAAAAATTTGTATTGAAAAACAATGTTTTGCGAAACGAAACATTTAAATTCGCATATCAATAACAAACATACTGTATGAATACAATTGCCGTTAAAAACTGATTAATTAGTGCAATGCCATCGGAATCGCTTCCATAGTTTCAAGATAAGAAGTTCCTCCTGTTGATAAGGTACCCAAGGTTCAAGATTCACATGAATTTATTTTTAATTATATTTAAATTTCCATTTATTACGCATGATAAGTTCATGAAAAATAACGCAGAATAACAGAACGATTTTGAAAAAATTGCAGAAAATGTAAACCGGCATAAGTATGCAAATATTATGCTCGATAAATTGTGTATAATGTTTAAATACATTGCCTAATACTGATAGTTGAGCTGCTTTACTTTGAATCGTTACGAAATAAGACTATGTCGACAATATCTATTTTTGCTTACGATAGCTTAAATATAATCGTATCAGCTATTGAACCTCTGTTCAAACACGAAGACTACTTAGTCGGGATTAAGTAGTATTAATTCCTGTGAGTACCTACTAATCATATTTACATACCACATGTAAAGTGAGCGTTGATCATTTCGCGTGAACAAAAATATCTATTTTCGAATGCACATGTGGGCACATGAGTTAAAAATATCATTAAAAGCTAAAATTATATCCAAATTTTCATCGAAACGCGATACTTTATTAGCGGAATTAAATGCGCTTATTTCAAATTTACTTCTCATAAACTTTATGACGTATTTCGCGTATAAAATATGCGATATTGATACTAGCTGGGATAACCTGTGTTTGTTTCCTTTTTGGGTTTCTATGTTTTAATCTAGTGAAAACTTGGGAATGTAGAAACGTGAGAAGTTGATTTACAGGCCCATAGGTGTGGCCATTTGCTTTAATTATAGAATAATAAAAATAAAAACGAGTAAATTATTTTATTTTTCTATCCAGACGACAGATTGATTCATCTGGATCCGCACTATTGTCAGGAAGTAGTGGATGTTTGGGCTTCCGACTTTCCACTAACAACCTTCCACTGTAGATCTCCCAGAAAATTGCCTATTAGCAAAATTGATCCTTCTTGTTGTATTGGCTTTTATTGCCGAACTAAAGAAGATTTTCTTACCCTTGTAGAAACCGTACAACCGGTAAGTTAAAAGCTTTTTTAATCAAAAAGTAAGCGTTAAAATGTATAGACTATTTTAAAAACCTTTCACTTCCTGAGTGTTTATCGGTATAAAATTGGGTAAAATTTCCGAGTTTTCAGTCAACTAAAACGCAACTTTAACATCGGATGCTTTACTACGTCCCTGAATGAATTAACTCAAACTTAAACTGACAAAATAACTTATCAAATCACTATTTTACCAAATGAAATCTCGAAGCGACAAAATAAGCGCATCAAATGCGATTTACATCATGAAATACCTTAATTGTGATAAATTATATAATTATCCCCAGAAATAGTGCTGAAAATATGAATAGCATTTACCAAACTAGCACACGAAAGTTGCATAATTCTGATATATTGGTTGAGGAATGCATTTAGCGCAAAAAGGATTCCACATGATGAATCATAAAAAAGCATTACAAAGCAGTGAATTTTGGATCCGATATTTACCAAAAATTAATTGAAAGTTTTAGCAAAACAAAAAAAATAGATTAATTTTTTAGAATTTCTGAAACACACATTACAAAAAATAATAATATTATGATTCAAGGAACGATATTTACAGAGGAAACACGGCCCCAACAAAAAAAACTAGTAAAAATGCCGATATTCAACAGTTACATCAAACAAATACGAACAAGTTTTATTATAAGAACATTTAAATTACCACTAATGATGGTTTAACCGAAAGCAATTGATGGTTTGACTGAAAAGCAACAATTTTGTTTTAGATTGTAGTTCCACCACATGGAGCAGGTGATTACCCAATGTTTACTTTCTGTGATGGATTTAGTTGCGATGCAGAATATGCGGTAACCAATTTTCCCCCTTCGGAATATGAATATGCTAACTATAACAGTGACCCTGATGATATGGAATCAGAAGCTTTCGAAATGATATAATAGTAATTCGTGTATGTGTGGAAGAAATCCTGAAACGTTTCCATAGTTTAGTTGTAGTTTTAGCGACGCTTTTCCTACCACATTTGGTAGCTTGATTTAAGTTTATTCTCAAGACACATATCCTGCAATTCATGCTGACTAATCCTAAATATAACTGGTCCACTCTTCATAATGATAATACTAATGAAATTGACTGGTGACAAATTTGTCATGGTATGTATTTGATTACTTATCTTTTGTGCAGTATATATTGATGTGCCTTGTCATCTAATTATGTTGAATATTTTTACACTATTTGTGAATACTCTGATATGGTACAACTTCTAATGGATCAATTCATCTTGATCCCAAGGAAATTGCTATTGAATACAGGGAAAATTATTAACTAATTGCTATCATTTTTGATCTGAACCGTAATCGTCATATTCCTTCCAGTCACATTTCTTTAATAGAATTAGGCTATTTATTAGTACAATTCCTGAATATGTATATAAATTGATAATACATCAGACTGTTTTTAGTTTAATTTATTTATTTGTATGTTGTAAATGATTTTCTACATATTACGTAGTCTAAAAATTCCCAATTTGTTAACCGTTTGATTTGAAAGAAATATATTGAAGGTTTAGCGTTAACATATTTGTGTTGTTTTTATATCCCATTGCAATTTAATTATCTGGGATTTTAGTGAGTGCTTGCTAATATAACACTTCAAGTGTTAATATACCCAAAAGAAAGCCATTTCAACCACGTGGAATTCGTTGCATAGGAATTCAATAGGCGTGACCAAGAAACAATCCCTTAATAAAATAATGTATTTATTGCAAAACATTTTACGTAAAATCTCAATATAAAAAGTATGTAATTGGCACGAATAGAAACGTCAAACTAAATGTTTTCCTTGGAAATATCCAATGGAGTAAACGTTGCCAATGAATCGAGCACTTTGGGCCAGATCTCATCTGATGTGTTACCGGAAAATTCTTGCAAAATTCCTTTATCTCTGTAAAATTCAATGACTGGCCTGGTCAGTTGATCGTATTGCTCAAGTCTTTTTTGAACAACCTCCGGTTTATCGTCCTCTCGTTGAATGAGCGGCTCCCCAGTCACATCGTCCTTTCCCTTTGGAAGTAAATGCATCAAAATCACCATTTATTTATGTTACATTTACGAACTAATAAATCATCAACTGGTATCTCAGATAAAATCCAGTTTTAAAGATCTTATCGGGAATGAGATAAGGGATTTCTTAACTGGAAGATTCTCAATATTCACGATTATTTAGCGACAAATAATTATTTAAAACGAACTATTCAACGACATCCTCATGAAGAATAAGCTTGGATAAGCGCAACTCTTACCGGCACTTTGGGTGAGTTGAAACCTTCATTGTATACTCTTCCACTGGGCAGGTGAACCCATCTGCCTTTCACTCTATCAATAATAACAGGGAATGGAACTACCAAATTGAGGGCAACGTCAAGTCTGTAAATTTCCCAGAGGGCCTTCGCTTGAGCTACCGTTCTTGGGAAACCTTAAAGTTTAACATAAGTAGTTAAAGAATTTTTCCCAATTATGTCCTATTTATTTATAAGTAAAAAAGTTAATTATATTTAGTTGTTAGGGAATTACAGAGAAGTAAATAAAATACAATATTAAGGACATCTTACCATCAAGAAGCCACACTGGGCGAATTTTATTTAGCTCTTCAGATATGAATTTGATCATAACTTCATCTGGAACCAGCTTCCCTTCTTTTATGTATTTTTGGGCTTCCAAGCCAATTGCTGCATAAGAACGTGACTTAACAAAACTGCATGGAAAAGAGCTTTAAACTTACGAGTCTTATTTTGAATGTTTTGCCTCAACTTGTCCCCACTAGAGACATGCTCCAAATTGAAGGTGTTAACAATTCTAGCTGATATTGTTCCCTTGCCGGAAGCAGGGGCACCCAAAATAAGGGACTTAAACAATTTTGTGGCCATTCTCACTAAACTGCAGCGAAGCTTTAGTTGATGTGTGCAAAGTTTCAAAAATACACTAACTGACCTTTGAAATAGTTAACAATTTCCTAATACTGTTGATAAGAACTGAAAGAGAGCAAAAGTACTGCTCTACTACTCCAGTGCGATACACATAGATAAAGACAAGGCGATACAAATCGCAGATAGAATTGAAGAAACTTTATTTATTTAATTATTAATTTAAATTTTTTGCTTTTGTAATTTAATGACATGTCAGTAACCTAAGGTTAGGTCCAGGGCGTTTATTTTCATGTATCTACCCGTGACATCAGGGAAGTTTGGTATTGCTGATTGCCTAAAATCGGTCAGAAGCAAATTTGATATTCACTAGCGATATTAATCTATTTTTGTATGACAGATTACCAAACTCTTGAGTCAGTCAGTTCTGTGTTTACGCATGATAGTAAGATAGTAAGATTCTCACACATGTGAATTGTCACTCGCCTGGTCTAGACTAGGTGAATTTGCTCTCACCCATTTTAGGCAATCGGCAATACAAAATTTCCCCGAGTGCTCACGTAAATGAAAATAAACGCCCACGGCTACCGTTTTTACGGTAGTTCTACCGTTTTTGTGAGAGCTACCGCTCTACCGCTAAGCTATTAGGATCTACTGCTAAACACGTTAAAAACTTTAAATGGCTATTGTATATTACACTATTTGTCAACAAATAAATTTTCGTATTTTATCAAATTGCACGAAATTCAAATGTTTTAAACTTTTTTTTACTATCTCATATTTCCACTTCTTTCTAATCTGAATGAAAATAGTAAAAGTTTGTAAACTAACGTATAAAGATAGATAAATTAAAGCAAAAACTCTTAATGGCCGCAGCTATTTTGAGTTACTAATGATATGCGCATATTTGAGCCAATGGCTTTTCATTAAGCGCATCAATAGCCCGAAGTAAGTCTTCTAGTGATTAAAAATCAATTTTCAAGTTAAACTTTCTAAATTGAGCTGCGGCTTTGAATTGTTAACATTTATATGACTTCTGGTCACCAAATCAACGACAACGACAATAAGAAGCTTTTCGAAATTTCAAAACATTGAAATTCAAATGACTTGCGTGATTTCGTATTGTTGGTACAATAATAATTCAAGTCCAGATAACATATATACGGCTGTGTTTAATTATTCCAAGTTTGTTAAGCAAAGTTAAGCCAATTCTCTTCAAACAATGTCTCAATTGCCTGGTTTTGTTAAGAGAATATTTACCATCCACCGCAAAATGTTATTAGTAAGTACCTCAATTGCCGAATTAATTTACCCAGTCGTAAAGGTGCTTGATTTTAGGGCCAAGTAAAGGCAAAATATATTACAAGAAGCCTTTTCACTTCATCAATTTTATTCAAGAAAGTTTCTTTCAATTTATCCGATATTGGTGAAGGTATTCGGGAGGTTGTAGTGAAAGAATGGTTCGTCAAAGTTGGTGATAAAGTCTCACAATTCGACAACATTTGTGAGGTACAAAGTGATAAAGCTTCAGTGACAATAACAAGTCGATATGACGGAGTTATTATAAAGCTTCATTATCAAATTGATGATACTGCTTTGGTTGGTCAACCTTTAGTGGATTTGGAAACAGATGATAAAATTGGTATGTAAAAGCAATTTTTTAATGAATGAAATGCCCACCAATGTTTCATCAGATACGCGCTTGTTGTACCAAATTATAATTATAGCATTCAGATAATTATCCCAACTGGTAAATAAACTGCTGTTGAATGTACAGAGTGTTAAGGAAAGTAGGTAAAACACTTTTCTTTTGATTCCCTGGAATTTTGTTTGAAATTTGACTAATAAAAGAATCCTCTTTCCCTCTCTCAAGTGTCTGCAGCGTCGAACTCATACCTCGGAAACGTTTAAAATACCTGATCACTCATAAAATATCCAGTTAGTTGTTATGACCTTTTCGATAGCTTGTCTCAAGAACCACCTTCCGCTAATTAGGTTTGATGGAAAAATCTTTAACCCTGAAGAGATGGAAGCAAAAATAAGAAAAGGTTTTAAACTAGGTATATAATTCGGGAAGATACAAAATATGTGATTAGTCAGAAAGATTCATTTTCATGGCGCGCTTCAAGAGTTAAAACCATAAACTTTCCAAATTGAGAAGAATTCGACTCTTGAGTCATCGAAACTTGATAATTTTTGCATATTTTTACCTGTATCTCACAACCAGTTAAAATTATTCGATTATTTGTTAGGGCTTTTTTTAGCGAAAATTTCATGACCGTTTTCAGAAATGTTTAGAGAATCGTAAAAAAATATTGCAGTATTTTAAATATATTTATTACAGAGATTAGAGTTACATTTCTATATATCTAAAATCAAAAATGTTTATGATTATATCGAAGTATGGCAAATATAAAGTTTTTCAACTAGAACCTTGAGTATTGTTTTAAAGAACGCACAACATCCTAAATGCAAATTAATGTCAGCGTCAACCGAAAAATGCTTAAAGTAATTTTCTTCTTCAAATTTTACGTCTATAAATGCCCCTGCCCTAAACTGAAAAACATTTTTTTAGTTGAATTCTCAATACTTTTTGAAGGGTGGCTTATTCACAATATCCTATTAAAAAATCTAGTACTCACCATTAAATCATAAGAGCAGCTTAATCGCAGATGCACAGAACAATGCACTTTTTCCGCAGATTTCTATAATTCGTGTAACAATTGAAATTCCTCAAAACGCAAAAATACTCACAGCTGAAATTTAAGGGACTATAACTGAGAAAATAATTTTTGTTCAGTAGAAAATGTAAAATTGATAAATCATTTTTAATAAATACAGAATTTTTTCAAAAACTCTTTGAGGCTATCGTTAAAATGCAAAACCAAAAAAACATGATTCATTAATTTTCCGTAAGAAACCGTAATTATAAATATTTAAAACTCTTATTTTAAGACATTTTGCCGCAAAAATATATGAGCAAAAACCGATATAATGCATAAATGCGTTCAGATTAGCTTTTAAACGCGAAATACAATGCTTTTTATTGAGCTGATTTAAAAAATATATTATTCTGAAGATGCTCAGGAATTGATATCGTTTTTAGTTTCAGAAAAAGTTGAAGCGATTGAATCCGTGGAAGTAAAAGAGACTGTCGATAATAGCAAACAGATTCTGGAAACACCAGTGACTTCTGGCACATCTTATGGTACAAGACTAGTAAAGTATAATATTAATATATAATTTTTATCACAATCATAGAAAACTGAGTTTTAACTCGACTTCTCCAATAACAATTCTTTGTTGAATTCGTCTAGTTTCTCGAGAACTTTATATCTAGATTAACTGAAAATTTGGAATAAAAATAATTATTTTTAGAAGGAAACACAGTGTTATGTATTCCGTCAGTGCGCCGACTGGCAAAAGAACATAGTCTAGATTTAACAGCAGTTTCTGGAACCGGAAAACATGGCCGAGTATTAAAAGAAGACGTTTTAAAATACTTGGAAGAACCCAAAAGACCAGTTTCGTCGAAAACTCAATCACCAGCAATTCCAAGGAATAACGAAAAAGGATCTGATGAAGAACTTCGGAAAGTTGAACCAATTAAAGGCTTCACCAAAGCAATGTTTAGGACTATGACGGAGGCTTTGGTAAGAGTAACGTTTTATTTTATATTGTCGTATATTTAAGGCATTTTTAGGCGATACCACATTTTGGCTACAGTGACGAAATTAAAGTGACTAAACTATCTGCACTAAGAAAGGAATTAAAGGCGCTTCCCGACCTTGATGTGAACATCACATTTTTGCCGTTTTTTATAAAAGCCGCATCAAATTCTTTGAAAAAATACCCGATTATCAACTCGTCCATTGATGAGAAATGCGAAAATATTATTTACTGGAAACAGCATAACATTGGAGTGGCGATGGCTACCAATCAAGGCCTCGCTGTTCCAGTTATCAAAGACGTTGAAAATCTAACAATTTTAGAAATAGCCAAAGAACTGCAAAGACTTATACAAAGCGGAAAAAACGGCACCTTTTCTCCCAGTGATTTAAGCGGAGCGACTTTTTCTATTTCCAATATTGGAATTGTAAGTCGTTTGACGCAAAACCACGATAATTTAAATAATACCGCATTGTTATTTATAGGTAGGAGGAACATATACAAAACCTGTAATTCTGCCTCCTCAAGTTGCAATCGTTGCTATTGGAATGACTCAGGTATGTTTACGTAAACAATATTCGTCATAATAATAGGACAGACTGGCGAAAAAGTAAACCCTTGTTGCGAAATCGAAAAAAATTAATAAAATCGGTTCGATTAAAACTTGAAAATCATTGCAAACCGCCAAAAGATCGCGTTTGAAAACTGGAAGTTTTCACGATCAAACTAGGATGGGCTTGAAGGATTTCCTCTGTGTAAAAAATGTTTTTGACCTCTAGGGAGCATCACACCTTATACATAAATATAAACAGATGTGCTTAAATATCAATCGAAACCAAGGCGTTATAAGTTACTGACAATTTCCTGTAAATGGCATTGTTCGCTAAGGATAAACAAATGTGTGACTAATTTTAGATATTGCCCCGATTTGACGAGGTAGGAAATGTAGTAAAGGAAGAAATAATCAACATAAGTGGTTCAGCAGATCACCGGATTATTGACGGCGTCAGCATGGCGAGTTTTATAAGGAATCTGAAGAAACTAATCGAAACACCAAGTTTACTGTTTTTGAATCTGTGAGGATGTGGAAGATGGCCATAATAAAGACGTTTTATAAATAAATAGTTTATTCTTATCTATGTATACGTATAAAATGGTTAATAAAACCTGAACCTCACTGTTAAAACGAGAAAAGTGTTAAAATTTGTTAGTATATCTTAAAACAAAATTAAATCTTATCGAGCCATATGCAAGAACAGCAAAATCAACTGGTCATATTAACAGATAATTTACTAGGTAAATTTCCAGCGGTACTCTGAGAGAATCCTGATGTGTCAGAAATATTTGAAGACACGAATAACAATAATATAACAATATAAAACAATTGCACTATATCTATAGTTAGTCTTCTGTATATCAGTTTTAAAATGTGAAGTTTTTAATCACAGTGTAAGTTATTAACCAGTGTAGAAAAAGCACCCACAAGTTTATATATGTAGACACTAAGTGGAGTTGGGAGCTTTTATCTCTGATGCCTTAGTTTTTATCCTAATTCTAAAAAAATATATTTTACAATATGATTCACTATCAAAACTATTAAAATATGTTCACACTTTGTCGAGAATTATCAATTACAATGTTAATTTCATTTATCACTTATTAGATTTCATAATTAGAGCACACTTTTAAGAATATTGCTTTTGGGATAATTTATAAGTTACATACGGGTTCTGTAATATTCTGGGTGTTGTTTCCATAACTCGCAACAACAAATCATCTAAATAATCCTCAAGGTCCTTTAGCTTTTTTTTGTGTTTTTCTAAATCTGTTTGTGTTTCGCTAAGTGCCAAAATTAAGTCCTAAAACCCGAAACATTAGCAAATCTGAAAATTTTGTTGTGTAGATAATGGACGTACTTCTCGAGTTTTTCCTTCGAATTTTTGCAAAAGTTCACTTGAAACGTGATTGGGCGGTTTTTCTGGAATAACTTCGCGCTCACCTCCTATAATAACACGCTCATGTGAATTACTAGCGGTTTTTTCATGCTTGTCAACTACGTCATACTTTTCCTTATCTAAAACCAAGCAACCTACATGCAATATAAGTGAGAAAATAACTAAATCTATAGTGAATGTGCTGTACCAAAACTCAGACTCCTCGTACCCTCCACGTCCTCTAATCAGCACTACAAGCGAGAAGAAGATCAAGTCCTACCTTTCCTGAAGTTGTTCTTCAGCTTCGTGAACATTCCATCCTTTTCCTCCTTCTTTGTGACTTCGGGAGTAGATTTAATGCTGATGTTATCGTCATTTTTAGACAAAGTATCAAACATTTCCGATTCTTCAACAATTTGTGATGCTAACTTGGACGAGTCCCACGATCGTCTGTTTAGAGATTCACTTGAGCCAGGCCTCAATGCTAAAATGCGCATTTTTTAATGGGCGAGCGCGCTAGAAGACACTCAAGTACCTTTTGGTTTATTGTTTCCAAATAGCTTAGTTTCCCATTCGTCTTGATGGGGTTTTGGTTCAGATCTAGGTGGTTTAGCGGGAGGACTTTTTGTAACTGCAGGAGCAACTGGAGATGAAGGTTCACGGCCAACATTTTCTTGAGGAGGTGTTTTGATTATAGTTGGAGGGGTATTTTGTACTTGGGTATTGGCAGTGATACTCAAAGAGCTCGCGGAACTTTTGTGAGACAAGTCGTCAAACTAAAAACGGATTTATGCATTTCGTGCCACATGCGTTGATGAAAGAATTCCGTTGACCACTTACCTTAACTAGCACGCAAACTAATCGCAAAAAGAAATTAAATTGCTAGTTAGAAGACTAATATTCATAAATATGCCAATCGTTTAAATAAAGCGCAACTTTGTGAAACCGTTTAAAAAGAAATTTAATTAATCGGTCATATTTTGGCTGAAATTTCAATTCATGGTGCGAACATTAGAATTATTCCACAGCGGTTTTGGGTGAATATTTCCAGCAAACGAGTGAATGCGTGATTTTCACTTACCGTGAACTCATCTTCGTCGCTAACAACTCCTGGGTCTGCATCTTCTAGAGTTTGTCGGCTTTTATAGTTTCGGTTTAATGTCTGGCTACGTATATTTAAACTTCCGACGCTTCCTATTGAAGAGGCGCCATCATCAGATTCTTCCTTCTTCTTGCCCTTCAAATGCATTTTCGACCCTATGGACTTGGCGAACTTTTTGATCCCTTTGCGCTTCTCCGCGCTGCCCAAACTGAGCAGGCTCCCTCCAACCGATTGAGCCACATGTGATAATGATGATCGATGTTTTTCCTTTTTGCTCAGATTTGTCAGACTGCCTGATTTTACATTAAACGCTATTTTTACTTCTAACTGTCCTCGATCTTTTTGTTTACCACCTACAGATAAATACACGCATGTTATTAGCATTTCTTGCTGCAAATATTAGATATAATTACCGGGTTTGGACTGTAAAGGGTAAAGCTTGTTTTTGGGTCTTTCGTATATATCTAAACTATTCAACGGAATTGTAACTCTGCCTAGAAACTCATCAACACCTAGGAAATTGTGATGTAGTGCTGTTAAGACTATTTCGGCAGTATTGCCTTGTTCAGGTATCGGTCTGAAAGTAAATGTGTTTCATGTGTAATATTGGATGGAAACTAGTCCTACGAGTATATTATTGGTTGAGGCACTGAGTAACTAACTAATGATTATGAGGAGGGAACTGTGGTCTCCAAGTCTTTAACTAAAAGTGAAATGGTAATCTTGACGGAACTGTTAGGAAACTTCCAACACTGGAAGAATTTGGCGATCGGACTTTTGTGCGAAATCCAGAAAATAACTGCCGTCAAGATTATCACTCCACTTCTATCCATACAATTCGCAGCTTGCATAGGACGGAAATAAAATCTCGACAATAAACTCGTGAGCTTTCTTCTGAAACCCGCAAAGAACGATCCTCAATGTCCACCGTCGTCCAGGTATAGCACGATAGACTTTTCGTCCAAAATTATTTAATTCATATTCGTGGTGATATTATTTGAGTAGAAATTATTACAGGAACGAACGGATAATAATGCAAAAATTAAGAGAATGAGAGGTGTGTTCAGTTCGGGTGCCCACTCTCTGAAGATGATAGCGACGCGTGCTAGTAAAACCTCAGAACCAAATACCTATCGACCACGGACTTAAACCTGCAAACCGGCGATTGTTCATACGATGACTGCGAAATTATTTGCCATTGTATAAAGGTGTAAACATTTTAATCTGTTTCACTTTGTCCGCTTCTGTACTTGACTCATCCGGTGGTATTGGTTGAATTGGTCATTTTTTTACATCGTTTTCAGACGTATTATCTCAATCCACAACCACCAAGAAGCGCAATTTTGCCATATCAACAATTTGAACATCAAGCAGCCGGATGATGACTGAAAGTCGAAACTTGGTCCACTTAGAGAGCCACACTCAGAGAAGGATTTCTCCGTTGCAAACTGCAGTCAAAATCATCTCTCGATCTTAAGCGGCTTCTAAAGCAATAAATGTCAAACTCCAAGCAACAACATCGCACACCGAATACAATTTTGAAAATTACTCAAAAAATTCCTGATGATAACTAAAAATCAAAACATTGCCCACGAATAGAATAGACTTTTCCGACAATAACAATAACAGCCAAAAACAAGTTCTAAACGGCGCGCCGCTCGAGTCTCGCCTGCAAAAACAACCGAAAAAATCGCATACAACTTTGGAAAATTTTCCAAAATAGCCTCATGATGACTGAACATTTAACAGAAGGATCCTCTGGTATAAATCTTACAAAACAACCTTACAAACCAAGGGGCAATTTTAAAATATCGTGCAAAATTGCCTGATGATGATGATGATCCCAAAATCGAAACTTTGTGGAACAAAACACATACAAAAGTAACTGTGTAGCTTCTCTAGCTCCATAGGAAATACATGTCATAATTCGACCTAAAAAACAACCGCAATTGATAAATTTTCGGCTTTCTGTTGTATTGGGTTGAGTTATGAAGAAAGTTCAAGTTATTAAGAGCAAATTGAAAGAAAATATTCATCATTTCACTTAACGTGGCATCTAATGGATTATTTAAGATTTTAATTGACATTATTATATCGTTAGACTGAAATAATCAGGTATGTTGTGCCAAGATCCTAATCAGTTGGTTGATAAGGGCCAACTTTACATATAGACTTTTAAACTAGCAACTTGATTATTGAACAAAGGCGTGAATCCTTTATAATTGATGGCAATGATGACTTGTTTTGCGAGGTAATAAACAGTATGAGTGGGTATAATGATACATCAACGATTATTATTGAACAATCCGTCTGTGCTATAAATCAAATTTATTAGCCACGTTTATAATAATGATAAAATTGATGAGATGGAGGAATAAGAAAAAACATTAAAGTTCCGTTATCTATCGTTTTGTATGTTGTTTAGTTGAAACAGCAAAAGGACACAAGAAACAAACATATGAAGCGCTCAATTCGGTAGATTTTAGATCTACCCAATTGAGATTCAGGTAGATGTATTGCAATCAATCCATCTGCTGAAAAGAAATATAGCAGAAGAGTATACATATTGGGAAGAAAAAGCTGTGCTTGCTATTGACCTACTAAATTAGATTTAAAAAAACTGCCTTTTAACCTAATTTTATAAATCGTACTTACAGTTCACATTCTTCATGCCATTCTACCGCTGCTGCGGCTTTTTCCTTAGTAGATGTTTGGTATTTGATTTTGCCAAGCCCTATAGTCACAAAACAGTCATTTGTATTGTTTTTTCCTTTTGTCAACAAACCCACTGCTCGCTGAACTATTAACAAAAAATATGTTATTGTTTTTGTGCTGGAAAACAACAAAACCGCTGATGAACTTGCCTGTTACTTGAACATGAGTCGGGATCCACATATTTACAGCACTGAACGCGAATTATGACTAATATTGTTTTAAATTTAACTAATTCGTGAAGGAATTGGCAATTAGATAAGAGAATACGTGGATTGGGTTTCAGTGAAATGTCGATTTCAATTGCACTAGTAAAATTCACCGTTATGGGCGTGTGGGAGAATTTGAATATAATTTGCGTTCGTTGGTTCCCCGCAATTATCACTACATATTTTCACTTTATTGTTCTCATCCTATTAGCCTCTTTATTTACCAATTAAACATTAATTATTGGGCTGACGTTTAGACGTCACTTGACCTATGACATATTTTGTTTACCTGGGTCGGGTTCAGGATAACATTACGATATTGACATGCTCGTCTTTTATCTCACTCGCCCACAGGCCTATTTAGGAAAACAAAGCTAATCGTCCTGTCATTTAATCATTTAAAAGATGACACCATGTATGTAGTGAATCTAAATAGTAGATATGATTTCCAAAGTAACTTTTATTTAAAATAATTTATCCAGTAGATAAGGTTTATTTAAATGGCTGCGGGATTTTATAAAAATTATTACTGAATTTAGGTATTAAATGCGAATGTTTGTTGCCAGGACGAGCTCCAAGCAAGCAAAGTAGCATTCATTTAGGGCTGATTTAATTAAGTGTCAATAGGGGCACTAGAGCTAATGACGTAAAAATTTGAAATAAAAGAACGGTATTTGCTGTTACTCATCACTGTCAGTGTCATTGGTCATCGGCGAATCTTCGGATGACGTTGCCTAGGTGACATCTTGACAACTCTAAAGAAACAATAACATAATTTGATACAACGTTTATAAACTCCTATAGATAGATAACAGAATTAAGATAACAGATCTTACATATCGCAAAAAAATGCGTTGGAGCAGAATGTTTTAAAATCTTCAAGTTTTGACAATAAGGTAACATATTCACATTGATTTTTGAACCATACAAATAAACAAAGTTTGGTGTTCAAAACAACAGCATGGAAGGGAGTAGCCGAGGAGATAGCAGAAATAAGGATATAGATTGGTCAAAATATGGTTTGGGCAACGAAACAGCCCAACGGGTTAGGGCCAACACTAGCGGCTTTGTAGATTTGAGTAGTGAGGGCCATTATGCAGCTGGTGGACATCAAGCTTCAGGTGCCAATGAATTGTTCGCAGAAGAACAGGTCTGTAATTCACCATGTATGACTCACATCACACACTAGCCCAAAAACCTGGCTGTTTTATTATTTCATTAGACCATGTCTTATTAAGTTTGGGTTAGATCATTTTAAAAGCAAGACGTTTTTAAACTGACTAACATAGTGTTTATGTCAAAGAACATAGTTTTTGGTGCAGTTTTATCAATTCACTTATTTCAATATTTCATGTGCACAATTCCACCTTTATAGTTTTGTTGCACACACTTTGATTTTCTCGCTGTCTTCCTGGTTTCCTGACAGCATTGGCGCTTATTTTTCTTATGTAACTTTATGCAACTTGAAAAACAGCAATGAATAATATGCAGAATAAAAGCTTGCAATCGTGTTTCTCTGGTCCGTAGAGGAACTAAAATTCTGTACTAATTTGTAACTAAAGAGCGAAAATAGCGCCTCACATTTGCTCAAAAAGTTTTCGAATTGAAACTGGTCAGAACTGTTCATATCTGTTCATCAGTGCATTTAAGCTTTGGAGCGAAATATTACTGAGGATGTAAGCCGCTCGCGCGTTTCTGAAACGTCTCTTAGGCGCGGAAAATATTGTATTGCGGACGTTTCACTAGCACAAGTGGCTGGCATCTTCAAAGATTGTTTGGTCCACGTAACAACCAGCTGAAAACAATTCGTAAATTTTTATATTCTGGGACATTCCGCGGTTAATAATGTTGGCTGTATGAGCTTTTTATCATAGTCAACTGATTTTATACATTAATTTAATAACTAAAGATTCAAATAAACAATGAGTGGAATAATGAATTATTATGAAAACACTTAAGCAAATGAAAATTGATTTTTAGGGTGACGTGCCTTGGTGGAAATCCAATTTTTTTATATCACAACCTGTACTTTTTGGTACATGGGATGGTGTATTTACTTCCTGTTTGATAAATATTTTTGGCGTTATTGTCTTTTTGCGTTCTGGCTGGATAGTGAGTCAAGCTGGAGTAATATGTGCTGTTTTGATAGTGTTATCCACAGGTTTGTATATATTTTTAGCATGAATTCCGGGAACGCTTGTATTCGTAAAGGGGTATCCAAAATAAAATTAAGCGGCTCTTCCGATTTGTTTGTTTAAAAAATTCCGCAAAAATCTTTTAGATTCTGGATTTTTTGTTATTCGAAATTTTTGAATTCAGTGGAGGAATTGGAAAGGGAAGTAAAAATAATTCTCAAAACATATCCAAGCTCTCGAATTATGATCGATAAACTTAAACAATTCAGAAATTCGAACAGATAACATTTCAAGAAATTCTAGTGTCTGGAAGAAACCTCAAGATGTGATAAATGGCAGTATAAATTAAATAAAGAAATGTAGATGAATATGAGCATAAACAAAGAAGATGGTTTTTGCGGTATTATCTAAACTAACATATTTTAGCGATAGGCGTCATATACAGGGTGTTACAGGGTTTTACACTAAATTTTTGAATTTTTGGAATTAATTTTATGAATCAGTTATTTTTAAGTTTAAAATGTTCCTTTCTTTACCTCGTTAGGATAGAGGGTTTTTCAGATAAATTCCTTTTAATAAGACGATACATACAAGACGCGTACATGAATATTGGAATTCCCCTTTTAACACCCTGGAGATGATTTTTCGTATATTGCCGACATAAATCTAAAATTAGTAGTATTCACCCATCTGCAAGGAATCCTGTATAGACAGTGTGTTCGCGATGAAAAAGACATTGACTTTGGATATCCCTCTATACAGGACGAGTCAGTTTATACTAACTAGCAGGTTTGTCTCTGAGGAGGATATTTTATTTACAAAAATGATCAACATTTTTTCTAGGCTTTATTTTTCTTGTATGTTGGTAAATGGAATATAATAACTATGAGATCGAATACATTTTCAATCATTTTTAAGTTCAATTTCCGGCTGGTATAAACTGACCCTGTAGATGTGTATTTTCATTTATAAAACATTAGAATGACTACCAATTTGAAAAAACTTGTTTTTTTTTTAGTGGCAACTGCATTAGTATCAGTATTATCAGCGGTAGGCATATGTGAGAGATGTAGAATAGAGAGTGGAGGAGTTTATTTTGTCTTGGGCCATGTTCTGGGTTCCAGGGTCGGTGGCTCTCTGGGCTTACTTTACTGTTTTGGGCAGGTAATTATTAATGTTTGATTTTGAAAATTTAAATTAAATTGTAAATACTAATAATTCTCTGTGAAAATACAAATTGAAATTTTGCATTTAAGGCTGTGGGTTGTGCACTGAATGTACTTGGTTTTGGGGAATCGATGGCAGAATTGATTGGTTTTGGCGATTCGGGATCGGCAGTGAGACTTATTGCAATCGCAGCTGTTCTTTTGCTAAGCTGCATTAACATAGCTGGAGTGAAGTGGGTTATTAAACTGCAATTTATTTTGTTACTAATATTGTTGTTAGCTGGCTTGGATTTTATGGTAGGCAGCTTTGTGCACTCGGATGAAGGTAATAGTGCAAAAACTAGTAGATTAGAGCCGATATTAAATTCGACAATTTGCAGAGAACGGCTTCGAAGGCTGGATTAGTGAAAATATGCAGTTGAATCTGCAGTCGAATTACACTGAGGGCTATGGAATGTTTGCAGTGTTTGGGGTGTTTTTCCCAACCATTACTGGAATTTTAGCAGGCATTAACATGAGTGGTGACCTTAAAGCGCCTTCAACTAATATACCGAATGGAACGTTGGCTGCTATCAGTTTTGCCACATTTTTATATTTGGTGTTCATTTTGTTCTTGGGAGCCACATGCACAAGAAAGGCATTGCAAGCCGATTACATGATTGCAGCTAAAGTATCCGCTATAGGAGTACTATTTTTAGCCGGATTGTATGTTTCCTCCATGTCTAGTTGTTTGGGAGCCATGTATGGTACTCCTAGGGTTTTACAATCTATTGCTCTGGAAAATGTGATTCCAGGTATCGGAATCTTAGGAATGGGGGTAAAATTATTCAGTGCCGATATCTGGGATAGTTTTTTAATTTTTTTTATTTCTATTTTTTAGAGAGGTCCTAATAAAGTGCCTTTATATTCAATGGCGGTAGTCGCGACTGTTACCTTTGCATTTATTTTAATAGGAAATATTAACACACTCGCGCCTATTGTAACGATGCCTTACCTGTTAACGTATGCCTGCATAGATTATTCCTATTTTGCGTTAGCGCAAACTTTTGACATACAACATCAAAGAGAGCAGCGATTTCATAGACCGAGAATTCAGGCAACTATTAGTGTAGATTCAGATAGCAACGATTTGGATAGATTGTTTCCGGAACGCACAAGGCACAAGAATCTAAGGGTGTGTATCAGCGATGCAAATTATGGTGTTTGTTTATAAATTAATGTTTTCTAGGGCGAATCAAGCTCGAATTCTAGTCCTTCTAGTCCAGCAGAATCTTCGGAAACTACACCTATTGCCCCAAAAACTCATATACATTCAAAGCAAAAGAACTGGTATTCGCATTTATGTAATCGATGGTTGTCGCTATTCGGTGTAAGTAAATGCAGGCATTAAACTCATGAAAATGTTAATTTTTCATTTTTTAGGCCTTATTAAAGATAATTATAATGTTCTTGGTCAGCTGGATGTATGCAGTTGCATGCTTTTCAGTAGTTTTTCTAGTCTGGTTATACATAGGAACGGCTAATCCTGCAGTCAAACCGGGATTGGCAAGTGAATTTCATTTTTTCCATTGGTTGAAGAGTGTTATTTTTCGATGCTTTGGGTATGATATTTATTCCTTGTTCTATCCGATATTTTTCGGCAAATGCAACCCTTTTTTACAGAAGACGAGTTACCGACTATGAGCAAATTATTGTAACTCCTGTTCATCCAGGTCTAGACGTTTCTACAGCCCAACTAAACGAAGACAATGAAGATTTTTCCAATAGAAGGAGATATCATCAATCAGCGACGGTGACGGGGCACATGGTCGATATAGACGACTAAAACGATTTTCTGCGACAGCTTATTTTCTAATTTATTTTGTTAACCATATACTAAATTATAACGTTTTTTTCCACCGTTTTGTTTCAATGAACAAGTTTCAAGTCCTCTGCCGTATGAGTGAAAGGAAAGTCTAATGGAGTTTGTGGGACGCAATAAAACAGTATGCAATGAGTGAGTTTTTGATACAACACACGTTTTATTACAAATAATAATTTAAATGTTTAATTAATAGTCTTTTATTTGACAGTGACCATGAAAAACAAACTTAGTATTACATGTCCCGTAAAGGAATATTCAAATCCTGACAACATATTAGTTTCATATTCATCTGAATACAAAAATGCGCAGATATACCAAGTGCACAAGCTATGTGAAATCTAAAGCACAACACTTATGAATAAACGTAAAGAAAAATGAATTGCCATTAACATTAGATACTTGGAAAAAACAGTTTAACAGAAGCAAAACGTTGCTTCACTGGTTAAAAATCAAAACTATCACAAGAACTTCAAAGCGTAGGTAAATAAACTATCTATTTCCTTCAAAATCGCCATCCTTGTTTTCGTCTTTGCGATTCGCTTCTGCTCTTCGCTTGCAGTTTTGGTTGTCTTGTCTAGCTCTACCACGTAACACAGTGCCGCCCGGACGTTGAGGTCTAACTTCTTCTTCCACCGAGGCTTCACGCTCAGCAGCCCGACTGGATCTGATTAATCTATTGAATGTCTCTTGGCAAGTTTCTTGTCCTGGAAGACAAGCCATAGTGGATAGTACCAATTCCTGGACAAAGGCACATCGTTCTTGACGCTCTTCACTCACGGTCGAACTTATTGATGGTTCCTCTAGTAAACCTTTGGAGAACAAAACAGTTAATTTTTCAATGGTCAGTTCATCAAACGCGGAAACTGAACCAGGTACAAAGAAAGAAGCTTAATATGGAATTATCTCTACTTACTCGTAAGCAAAAACTGATGACTATGTCCCTGAGCGGGTGCAGGCGTGGTATTATTGGAAGGTTGAAGCATAACTGGCGATGCGTTGAGCAAAATCGTAGATGTCCCAAAGTTCGAGGTGTGGGCCTCCCGTAGAGTTTGATTTTGAGTTGGACGTCTGGGAAAACGCTCCAGATTTTGCCTAGCGGCATTCACCTGTTGTCTTTCAAGTTGCAACTGCATCTGAAGCTGCTGAAGCTGAGTCGGAGTGCTACTGGTTGTGCTACTAGTAGAACGTCTCACGCCTGAAACGAGTTAGTTTGCATTAGTCTCTTCCTGAAAACCTAAAAAATTATATTCAAATGTCGATAAGATCTTAATTAATGTTAAATGTGCCTGTTAAAAAAATATTTCTGTAAGAATTCATTACTTGTAAATGATCAAAAGCATTCAATTGAACGGGACAGATGACCATTGAAAATCAGGAACGAGAAAGCAAATGGAAATTAACTTTCTACTTACCAGATAGTTGCGATAGAAGCTCAGCTATGGGATCGACAGTCTCTCGAGAAGAAGGACTCAAAGACGCCAATCCGCTTGAACTAAAAACACTAATCCACTATCCTTACAGAGCAAGGCAATGTTTGTTACATCAAAATCCAAAAAGTTTAAATGCCGATATATATGAACTGTATTAGCCCAATTAGTTTTTAATATGGGTTATAGGAAATTCACAAAGCCAAATAAATAAAATTGAATTCCTATCGGGGACATTAAAATAGTACCTGCAACATGTTAGCTTGCTAAAGGGATTGGATCTTTTTCAGCATGAAAATTAATTGAGCTGTTTGATTTCTTAAATTCGTCGTATTACTAATGAATCATTTGAGCCAACTGGTTAGGAAATTTTCATGAAATGAAGCAGCCCCATTTTAAGAAACATTACACTCCCACTGAAATGCTTTCGTTAAAATAAAATACAAAGTTGATCATCAGTTCACCCACTCAAGTTTCTTTTCTTTTGAACTTTCGAAACGAAAAACCTCATGATTTTCCCGCAATGGCCGCAAAATACTCTAGCTTTTGATAAGGACATTTTCTTAGTCAATATATAAAGGATTACCTGAAGTGCATGTTGGAGCGCCGTGGCCTCAGTGAAGAGGCTCCTCTTCCAGTTCCAGAGTGAGAAGAAGTATGTGGCATACGCCTAACATTGTGGCGAGCAGCTACTGGCTCGTCTAAGAAGGAAATTAGATCCCGGGGTCCTGAACGATGCTCCAGAGTCAAATGTCCAGCGAAATCGTCAGTCATCAAATTGGGATCGCCGCCGGGCATTGCAGCACATAAAGGACAAACCTGGAAAATCAAAGATTTGCATTAATGGGCGAAATAATAGCAATTTTGATTGTTCAACTTACCACCTCAAAGCTGGTGTCTTGGTGATCAGCAGTAACGTGTTCCTGCAATGTTATATCCGTGAACCCCATACGAGAGCAGTAAGGGCAGGTATAGGACTGGGGCATCTCTACAGTGCTTATAGCTTCACCTCCATAATACACGTCTAAACAAAAGCACGTAAAAATGATGTATTGATGAAGGGCTTGAATGATAAGGTGCTAAATGCTTTCGGTTAAGTAACTGCCTTACCAAAATCAGATCTGGTTAAAATGCATTGCATTGGATGATCTGTTGTATGACGAGTGTTGGTTGCCCCCGACTCGTAGCATACAGCACACAAGTCATAATCATAGCACACTAAACATTTATATCTGCGCCCTCGAAAATTGTTCTTTAAACAAGAATCACAGCTGACCCCTGTAATGAGAAAACCTACAAATTGATGGTTACACCCTGCTTTGTAACTTTACCTTCGTGCCGGCTCATTTTAATGATAACTGAATTAGAGTTGCCTTTAACAAATCAACATTTTATAATATTTATGCAAATAATGCTTTTTAGAATTATATTGAGTTTTTGCATATAACCAAAAAGAATATTCTCATATAGAGAATATGTCAAACGTCTGTTATGTTATGAGTTATGACAAGACATTGAAAGACACTAGCATAGATAAAGACAAGCAAGTGATCCTAAGCGGTGTGGGGGTAAATTAAGTCCCTAGTGATTTATTGTCCTAAGAATATTAGCAACTGGTAGTAGTTAACACGAATAGACCGACCTTTCAAACCTCTATCAACAAGCAAACTATTTAACACAAGTTTTAAAAGATTGTTTAAAAAATACAACTAGAAATGTTCAGATGGCAGTGACGGAACTGGTAAACTGAAACATTCGCCATAATGCCCCTGAAGATGGCAACCAACACTCGAAACGCACCTTTGTAGAACACACCAATGTTCCCAGTTATTGATCGCATTTAATTACGCATGAATCCCTAGTTGGGCAACATTAAACCAAGCTTTAAGAAATGACTAACTATATCCTGAAGATGACTTTTCCTCACTAGTATTCAAAACATGCCCTTTTAAAGCAACATTATTCCGGTTCAATACATTCAGCCGCCAATTGTTTTTCCCACAAAAAAGGTTTTTCTCAATTGAAGACGGCCTGATTTGAAATTTCAATTAGAAGCCCCATGACTAAAACACTGAATATGAAGCACCGCAAATAATTTACGAAAACTATGCTACTTGGTACGATTCTTGTTAATGGTGTAGTTTGGCTTAATAACCGGCATTAAAACGGTCGTAAAAATAGTCTTGTTCATTAATACATTAGCTTTAGCCCGTGATTTTAATTTTTGTTCTGACAATTTCATGCAGGACTTTCTCAGTCTTTTCTAAGTTATTTCGATGCAATGATGTTAAACATTTGAAAGACAATACAGGCGTAGGTGAACAAATTGCGTCACATTTTAAAATTTAAAATCGAAATTCTTAATAACGACTCATTTTTCTAATACAGCCTGAGGATACCAGACTGAAAAAAGGCCAAGACGTCGGGCAAATTCTAAGAAGACAGTGTGGTTTTTACACCGCTTTAACTTCTGTTACTAAATCAAACATTAGCATTGTCAGGAATAAGGGATGGTTTCTTGACGGATACACGAATGATTGAGAATTTTTTCCTTGGGAATTCGGTGTAGGCAGTGGTGAGAGAAAAAAACCCTTTTTATCGACCAAGGTGATTTATTTTTCCGGCTTCTACAAGGTTGGAAGATTTATTGCATAAATCTAACCCATGGAACACATGGGACACACAACTTAACACAGATATATTTATATATATAGCGTACTTACTGCTAATTATTTCGACAAATTTAATTCTTACGACTTGGACAAGATTTAACTATAACAGGGATGAAGCGATTTAATAATGGTAAAAAGCCGCATTGCTATATACAAGTCCACTTGCATCGGGACTAAAAGAATGCGAAACAACGTCTATTTCGGACGCTTAGAGTATTAAAAAGAGCATAGGAAAAAACGTTTTGAAGAAATGAATTCCTTAGAGTGTGTCTCTTGTAAATCCTTTCTATGCAATGATGTAAATGTAAATTCTACCTATGCAACATCAGACAGTATAAACCTAATGAAATAAAATGCATGACATTTTAAAACTACAAATCGAAACTATCAGCAACGACTTTTCGTTCTAGACTAGTCTGAGGATACCAAAATAAATATAAAGAAACGACGGCAATTTCCAAAAACACGCAGATCAAACTTGCCCATTATCAAGCATCGGAAACTGTTCATTCATTCACCATTTCAGACCCGTAAACTGCAAAAAACACACAATACACGGACGGCAATTTTCATTTCCAGGGGGAAATGTTTACAGAACCTTATGTTACTCTGCCGATCATCCCGTGGTGAAGGATGGCCTAAAGGCCCTGAAGTAAAATAACTTTGGCCACAAAGAGAATCAATAGAGTTTTTAAATAAGGTAACTAACTTGGCCCACTATTTTAGTGTCGCTGTGAGCGGTTGGTTCAAATGGTTCTTATGTATCTCATAAAATAATTGATCAAATTGAAGAAATTTTGATTTTGAGTGAAAAACTTACCAGACTCCGGGACTCTAGACTGATCTGCATTCGGTGTTGAATTGCCTTGCAAGCTCAAACGTCCAAAACCTGAGTATATTTTAAGAAAAAACATTTAGTATATTTAGTTGTATTAAAATAATGTAACAACCAAATGCAGGACGGGTTTTTTTCTAACAACGAATCAGTTTTTTGATGGGGCGCTTATTTAGGACAACCCTGTTTAAAAAAATTAAACAAAACTTGCGCACGTTTCTCGCTTATTTTTGTGCCGCTGTGAGCGGTTGCCAGGATGAAGGCATGGTATTTGTGTATTTCATAAAATTATTACTTAAATTGAACAAATCTGAATTTTAAATAAAGCACTTACCATATTCCGGGGCCCTAAACTGATTTGCCTCTGATGTTGAAGGGCCGCTTAAGTTGAAACCTCGAAAACCTGTGTACATTATATACGGAGATGCTGTTAAGTATTATACTTAGTTGAGTTAAAAATGTCGTACTTATGAAACAATCAAATTCAAAAAGTGTTTCCTTCCTAATGAAGAATAAGTTTTTTGTTGCAACGCTTATTTAGCACCACCCCGTATAAAAAATAAAATACTTGTATTTTTTCCGCAATTTTTGTGCCGCTGTGAGCGGTTGCTTCAAATGATTCTTATGTATCCCATAAAATAATTACATGAATTAGAGAAAAATTTATTTTAAATTAAACACTTACCAGGCTCCGGGGCCCTGGACTGATCTGCATCCGGTGTTGAATTGCCTTGTGAGCTCAAATTTCCAAAACCTGTGTACATTTTTAAGGAAAAAAATCAGTATATTTAGTTGAGTTAAAATAATGTAGCAACCAAATGCAGAACGGGTTTCTTTTCTGACAAATAATCAGTTTTTTTTTAATTTTACGCTTATTTAAAACAATCCTATTTAAAAAATTAAAGAAAACTTGCGCACGTTTTTCGCCTATTTTTGTGCCTCTGTGAGCGGTTGCCAGAATGAAGGCATCATATTTGTGTATTTCATAAAATTATTGCTTAAATTGAACAAATCTGAATTTTAAATAAAGCACTTACCAAGTTGCAGGAACCTAAAGCGAATTGCCTTTGATGTTGAAGGGCCGCTTAAGTTGAAGCCTCGAAAACCTGTGTATATTATATACGGAGATGCTGTTATTATACTTAGTTGAGTTAAAAATGTCGTACTTATGAAAGAATCAAATTCAAAAGTGTTTGTTTCCTAATGAAGAATCAGTGTTTTGTTGCAACGCTTATTTAGCACCACCCCGTATAAAAAATAAAATACTTGTATTTTTTCCGCAATTTTTGTGCCACTGTGAGCGGTTGCTTCAAATGATTCTTATGTATCTCATAAAATAATTGCTTGAATTGAAGAAAAATTTATTTTAAATAAAACACTTACCAGGCTCCGGGGCCCTGGACTGATCTGCATCCAGTGTTGAATTGCCTTGTGAGCTCAAACTTCCAAAACCTGTGTATATTTTTAAGGAAAAAATGTGTATATTTAGTTGAGTTAAAATAATGTAGCAACCAAATGCAGAACGGGTTTCTTTTCTGACAAATAATCAGTTTTGTTTATTTCACGCTTATTTAAAACAATCCTATTTAAAAAACTAAAGAAAACTTGCGCACGTTTTTCGCCTATTTTTGTGCCGCTGTGAGCGGTTGCTTCAAATGATTCTTATGTACCTCATAAAATAATTGCTTGAATTGAAGAAAAATTTATTTTAAATAAAACACTTACCATGCTGCGGGGCCCTGGACTGATCTGCATCCGGTGTTGAATTGCCTTGTGAGCTCAAATTTCCAAAACCTGTGTATATTTTTAAGGAAAAAAATCAGTATATTTAGTTGATTTAAAATAATGTAGCAACCAAATGCAGAACGGGTTTCTTTTCTGACAAATAATCAGTTTTTTTAAATTTTACGCGTATTTAAAACAATCCTATTTAAAAAATTAAAGAAAACTTGCGCACGTTATTCGCTTATTTTTGTGCCTCTGTGAGCGGTTGCCAGAATGATATTTGTGTATTTCATAAAATTATTGCTTAAATTGAACAAATCTGAATTTTAAATAAAGCACTTACCAGGTTCCTGGGCACGAAACTGATTTGCCGTTGATGTTGAAGGGCCGCTTAAGTTGAAACCTCGAAAACCTGTGTACATTATATACGGAGATGCTGTTAAGTATTATACTTAGTTGAGTTAAAAATGTCGTACTTATGAAACAATCAAATTTAAAAAGTGTTTCCTTCCTAATAAAGAATCAGTTTTTTGCTGCAACGCTTATTTAGCACCATCCCGTATAAAAAATAAAATACTTGTATTTTTTTCGCAATTTTTGTGCGCTGTGAGCGGTTGCTTCAAATGGTTTTTATGTATTTCAGAAAATAATTACTTGAATTGAAGAAAATTTTATTTTGAATAAAAAACATACCAGACTCCGGGACCCTAGACTGATCTGCATTCGATGTTGAATTGCCCTGCAAGCTCAAACTTCCAAACCCTGTGTATATATTTATAAGGAAAAAGTTTAAGTATATTTAGTTGAGTTAAGATAATGTAACAACCAAATGCAGAAAGCATTTCTTTTCTGACGAATAATCAGTTTTTTGATGCGACGCTTACCTATTGAGGACAACCCTGTTTAAAAAATTTAAGAAAACTTGTGTACTAATTATGTACGCCTATCTTCGTGCCTCTGTGAGCGGCTGCCAGAATGAAGGCACGGTATTTATATATTTCAAAAAATTATTACTTAAATTGAACAAATCTGAATTTTAAATAAAGCACTTACCAGGTTCCGGGGCCCTAGACTGATTTGCGTCCAATGTTGAAGGGGCGCGTAAGTTGAATCTTCGAAAACCTGTGTATATTTATACGGAGATGCTGTTATTATACTTGATAGATGAGTTAGAAATGTCGTGGTTATGAAACAATCAAATTCCAAAAGTGTTTCCTTCTTAATGAAGAATTTTGTTTCTTAATAAAATTAAAAATTTTCAAAATAAAATACAACTTGTGTACTATTTCCACAATTTTTGTGCCGCTGTGAGCGGTGGCTTAAAATGGTTCTTATATATCTTATTAAATAATTACTTTAGTTGAACAAAACTTGATTTTAAATAAGGCACTTACCAGGTTCCGGGACCCTAAGCTGATTTGCGTACGGTCTTGAAGGGCCTCGTAGTAAGCCCAAGCTTCCAAAACCTGTGTCAATTTATATTAAAATCGTGTTATTATACTTAGTTGGTTAAAAATTTCGTAATTATGTAAAAATCAAACCAATTTTTTGCTACAACGCTTATGAATTTAAAATGAAAGAAAACTTGTGTATTTTCTTCGCATATTTTTGTGCCTCTGTGAGCGGTTGCGGAATGAAGGCATGTCATTTATGTATTTCATAAAATTATTACTTAAAGCAAACTTATTTTGGAATGAAGCACTTACGAGGTTGAGGGACCCTGATCGGATTTGCATACGGTGTTGGACGGCCGCGTAAGCGTCCATAACCTGTGTAAATTTATACGAAAATGCTGTTATTATACTTAGTTGAGATGAAAATCTCGCAATTATGTGACAATCTAGTGCAGAAAGTGATTTTTTTCCGAATAAATATTCAGTTTTTTGCTGCAACGCCTATGTAGGACCGCGCTTAGAAAAAAAAAAGAAAACTTGTGCACTTTTTTCGCCAATTTTTGTGCCTCTCTGAGCGGTTGCGAGAATGAAGTATTTATGTATTTCATGAAATTATTACTTAAAGCAAACTTATTTTTGAACGAAACTTAATTTTAAATAAAATACTTACGAGGTTGCGGAACCCTAATCTGATGTGAGTACCGTGTTGAAGGGCTGCGTAAGCCCAAGCCTCCAAAACCTGTGTAAATTTATACGGAGATGCTGTTATTAAAAACTTAGTTGGATTAAAAATATCGTAATTATGTAGGAATCAAACGCAAAAAGTGTTTTTTGTTGCACCGCTTATTTAGGACCACTACGCTTAAAAAATTAAAGAAAACTTGTGCACGTTTTTCGCCTATTTTTGTGCCTCTGTGAACGGTTGCGAGAATGAAGACATGGGATCTACGTATTTCATAAAATTATTTTTTAAAACAAACTTATTTGTGAACAAAACTTAATGTTGAGTTAAACACTTACGAGCTTCCGGGACCCTAATCGGACTTGCATTCAGCGAATTGCCGCCTAAGCCCAAAGCTGCAAAACCTGTGTAAATTGAAATGTAAAAATTAAAAATGTCGTAATTATGTAACAATGAGGGTGTCTGTGTGTACTTTTTTCGCAATTTTTTCAATAAAACACTTACCAGGGTCCGGAAGTCTAGTGTTGGTTGGATACGGTGCAGAACGGCCGCGTATGACCAAACCTCCAGAACCTGTGAATGTTGATAGTGAAATGCTGTTAGTTTACTTAGTTGAGTTAAATGTGTCTTAATTATGTCAAAATAAACTGTAAATATTTTTCTCCCTAGTGAAGATTCAGCTTTTTGTTGTAACGCTTATTAACGACGTTTAAAGAATAAAACAAAACTTCCGTCATACTTGTGCCTCTGTGACCAGTTGCTTAAAACGTCCTTGCGTATCTCATAAAATAATTATATGAGTTGAATAAAACACTTACCACGGTCCGGGAGCCTAAAGTGGTTTGCATACGGTGCTGATTGGTCGCGTAAGCGCAAACCTCCAAAACCTGTGAATATTTATAAGAAAAGATTGTTAGTATATCCAAATGTTCATGCATGTGAAACTATATTATGTACTTACGCATTGATTCGTAGCGTAGGTTACTACGGAAGAAACTTGGTGCTGGGCCATATACAAAATTTGTGCCAAAAGCTGAAAATATATAATTTATTGGGTAATAGCTTAAATAAACATCCAACAACAAAGAAACAAACACTGAAAAGACCAGTGAACAAATCGTACTAAGGCTATTAGCAATTGCTATACGAACGCACAAACATGACAGAAAAATAGCAGAAAGACTGATGCAGTTGCGTACAAAATGGGAAAACAAATTCCACAACTGGACGATTACAGAACCCCTTTGCCTTATCAGACATAGCAGACAGTCCCGCTTTCTGTTCCCAACGACTCTAGAACTTTTTAACAGCCGAATTAAACAGATTGATAAATTTAAAACTTTTATATCATTTTATATTAATAACCACACACATGTGGAAGACGAATTTGGTTGATAGTTTTTTTCGAAAAAAATTAAAATTGTTATTTTCACTAATATTTTTCTTCACGGAATTGTGTGGGGTTGTAGTATATAATAATTAATTTTGGGTTAAACACTTACCACTGCGGGAATCGGAAGAATTATTTGCAGGCAATGATGAACTCGGGGCTGAGCTCGAAACTTGTGGATATTTATAAGAAAGCACTGTTAGTATATTTAGTAGAGTTAAAGGCATCTTTGTTATTTAACAATCAAATGTATAAGAAAACTCCAAATACTCATGAATATAACTACCGGGTGTCAATTTGAAAACTTCCCACCCTCAATATCTTTCTTGCAGGTAAAAATATGAAAAATCAGAAAGACCCGTCAATTTTATTTGTAAGAAGGACACTTTAAATTAATATTTTTCGCCTCCTTGTTTCAACCCCTTAGGAGGGGTAGATGTCACCCTGAGTATTTTAAATTGGAGGGGGGGTCAAGTGGAAAATCGTTTTAAAGGTTGTTCAATTTTTTTTATATTAGTTACTACTTTGTTGCCTTTTGTCCAGAGGTTTTCGAATAAAAGCGTTTCAAAGTTACAGAAACAATTAATCTTGCGTGCATTTATATTTTGCTTTTCAGATTAGTGTTTAAACAAACATTATGCCATTGGGTCTTCTTATGGTACAAATGATTAGAAGATTCGGTTACACCGTTAAAATCGTTGAAAGTCTGCCATGGGTTTTATTGTAAAATAATCAATAAATCTGAAATTAATTGTTAAAACTAGATTTTCTTCCTGTTATTCAACGATTTAAACGGTGTAACCGAATCTTCTAATCATTTGTATCACCCAATGAGAATGTTTGTTTAAAAACTAATCTTAAAAATAAAATCTCAATGCAGGCAAATTTAATTGTTTCTGTAACTTTGAAACGCGATTATTCGAAAACTTCTGGACAAAAAGCAGCAAACTAGTAACTAATGTAAAGAGAATTGAACGCCCATTAAAACGATTTGCCACTTGACCCCCCTTCAAATTTAAGCTTCTCAGGCTGACATCTACCCCTCCTAAGGGGTTGAAACAAAGAGGCTAAAAATATTAATTTAAAGTGCCCCCTTAACAACTAAAATTGACCGGTCTATCCAATTTTTCATATTTTTAGCTGCAACAAAGATATTAAGGGGAAAGTTTTCAAATGGACACCCGGTATATTACTTACGTCTTGACTGCTCAGAAGAATAGAAGCTTGGTCCGGAATCCCGGTTCATTGTGTGGGCCAACCCTGGGTCTATAAATGCCGGGTCAGAAGCTAAAAATAAGTTAATAATGTCATTATTCCTGTTTCTGGCTGTGTTCTTCAAATAATTATACGTAACTTATGGACTAATGGCTTAAATATCAAATAAGTGTTAATTTGGCAAATATTTACAAAAAGGCAAACAAATGTTACTTACAAACTTCATCATCCGTGTTTTCCGTCAAATCAATTATTTCTTCAGAATCAGTTGTCCCTCCAGTGTCCGAAGTTGAATCAGTGTAACCTCCTGTGAATAATTTAGTGTAGGGAGCCATTAACCGAAAAAAACATTTTGCCTTGAAGAAGTGCAATTATTCAAGTTAGGGTTGTATGTAAACATTCATCTTTAACCCAAAAGTTTGCCGCACAAAGCTGCATTAATTTCGGCGCTTTCTATCAAGGTTTGGTTCGAGATCGAATTTTAGATCAATATTAATAATTGCAGCATTTAGGGAAGACGCCATGTTTTAACATTTCACTTACCACGGTTACGAAAATCAAATTGCATCATTCTCAAAAGTGAGTCTTCATCGTCTGATGAATGGTCGTCTTGAATATTTGGATTTTCGTTATCCATTTTAAGCACTTTTCTAAGCAGAAACTTTCAATGCAAACGTTTTTTATGATAAAGAATTATCTGGAATACCGAAACAGCACTTCCCAGTTCGTTAGCCCAAGTAATACTACCCAACCGTCGTTTATTAATAGATGGACGTCACGTCAGAGGGCGCATATGATGGCGCGGGTAATTTGAAATCGTAGCAGATATGTGTTGTGCGCATTATGCGCGGTATTTGTTCATTTTAGGCAGAATTCTGTCTGATGCTTGTTTGGCCTTGATGCATGTGGTATGTAGGCGGGTGTTTACATAGTAGTTTGTTCATA